CCTAGCACAGCTCTTTTCTCGACATGACTCGTGGTTATACTGTCGAAATACTTGCTTAGTCACCCTATTCTCCTGGTCACTGCTTCTGCTCACTTTCATCCCCCCCCCTCACGATCATCTTATCAGGCCCATAATTGCCTGTCCATATGGCCTTCTCATCACGGCGGAGTTGGCTTGATGGCCTATATTTCTTAGACATCAATCTTGTGTTGCCTGTATCACCCATCATACAAATCCATTGCTCCACACATCTCCATGTGGTATACTGATACCTTGAGTACCCTTCGCTCTTGCGGACCAGATAAGTAGCATTTCTACGAGACCGAACTGTTTCAGACTTTTCTACAATGGTACCTGGGATGATGGACCTGGACAATAGCCACACAGCCACACCTTTGGTTGATCCCAGGTAGAATGCCTGAAAAGGTATGTAGCGAAGCAGCTTCTGCCCTTGAGGAGATTTTTGCACTCAATAACGAACTATCGTCAGTTGACGTATTGACGGGCCTCCTTTAGAGCACACCCCATATCCCAAACAAAGTCGATACACTGTGCAGCTGCAGCTTGCAATGGTGTCTTTTCAACAATATACATTGAACAACCGTTGATGTATGTGTGTAGTGGGAGAATTACCTGGATATGATGATGGACAATACCACAGAGCGATCTCAGCTAAATGCCTTGGTTTCCACGCACTTCATATACTGCATAGTACAGAGCGCTTCCTCGAGGCAACGGCCTTGCATCTTTTAGGGGCGAATATGCTGGAAAAGGTAATATGGGACATTGCGTTTGAATAATATGACTGTTAACATCTGCATTTGCTGCTCCTGCCGCAATGCAAAGTTGATTAGTTATCAAACTGGTACCCCAAGACTATCCTATTGAACCCTGTCCCCATCATGCACCGCCGACGAGGAATCTCCCGTATAACAGATAGGCTCAGTTTCATCTTCTACTATGCCAGTCGCATCCCCAGTCACCATCCGAGTGACAACACACACACATACTCACTCACTCACTCACAATGCAGTTGACGCAACAGCATTATCATCCGGTATCCAGAGAGTGGCTTGGAATGGCAATATCTCCTTGTGGGTTCACTAGGGAAATAGGGTTCAGATCCTGCTACCATCAATTAAGCATTATGGATCGCTAACCAGACGTAATGTACCAGCTTACGAAGTTCGGTCTCCTATCTACGAACCTTGGCCTAACGTTCCTTCCCTCCTATACATCGTATCGAGCGTTTCGAGATATACCGCTTCAGATGGCCTGTGACATGATGTCGGCCGGCCAGTGTGTTACCAAAGATACGCAGCTTGCTAGGACGATCACTACATATCGCAACCGTGATGTTCTTTAGAGACCTATGACCCACCATCGAACGTTCGATTAGATATCTGCCCACAAGATGGAGCGGCATGGAATAATGTTATTGCCTGGACCGATGCTCCTCACACTCAGACTTTTGGCCACCCGATATAGTGCGTATTGCAGGTAGAAGGAATTTCGGCATACGGTATCCTACCTAGGGTCAATTTAACCGGTCCGTGCGGGTTACGCAAACATGTACCGGGGAAGCACAAGCTCAGCTCGGTCGGTTGTCTGATGTCTCCTCCCAATGCCCGGACCCCCATAAGACGTATGTGCGTGGTATTCCGTGGACTAGCGAGTGACGGAGCCAAGCTCAAAGTATTCGCTTGTCAGGTGGTCCATACGCGGAGAATCCGTGTCGCTTTCCCTGGCGAGGGAATGCAAAATCACTTCCAAGTTGCCCAGTTGGGAGACCGTCAGGTGATCAGCTAAGATCCGTACAACGAAAATCAAACGAGACGTATATTCGCAGGCCAAGATCAATCCGTGGTGGGTCAGGCAGGAGCTCGCATACGGGGACGGGTGATTAGCGCTCCTTTCGGCTTACCGGTCGACCCAGACGTTAAGATGGCGTATCCAGAGCCATTAAAAAAGAAAGAATATAATGGCTCGGTATATCTGCAAGGGGCTGCAGATCGCATGACATGGCTGGGAGGCAATGAGGCTACTTGATGATCTCCAGTTATTGTGCTACTTCGAGGAGAGCAGTGGAGCCAACGACTGTCGCAAATTTAATTCCGCAGCCGATTTTCCACAGCCGCTCCAATGGGCGAGCAAGATCGAGTAGCACACACGGCCCGTTGGCCTGCAGAGCCTCGTAGATTTCTACCAGAGCCGAGCGGCACTTTGCTGACGCGATCGGCAGAAGGACAGTACCGAGAAATCAATCCCTGGCTACAGCGTTTTTGCACCGAGTGTAGATGAGACACAGTCCACCTCTGCACGGGTCAAATTACCATCACAGCCGCAGAGCAGAGCAGTGTTCTTGTACACACTTGCTGCTGGGCCATACCACCAATGCAGCTTTCCACTCGATCAGGGAACACATTACTTCGGCTGCTGCTCACGGGCGGTTTGTTCTTGGCCTACGGCAAGGCATGTCACAAATGATTGAGTATCCACCCATGCACGAATGAGCTCGACATCGAGTCGCTTCTAGGCGTTAGATGATCCTAGGTTCATGCTTATTGCCACCGCAGCGGAGGTCTCACTGACCTATGCTGGCAGACCATCCGCGCTGAAGCTTACTGCCGAGTCTTGAAAGCACAGATCCGAAACCTGGCTTTACAGCGTAGCCATGTTTAACAATGCAAATAAGAAATACGCACCCAATTCTTGGTGACTGCGCGGTAGCTTCGGGGGTACTTTGCAAAGCCCCCATTCCCACGGTCGGCAATCAATGAACCACACCGTCGAAGAAATTAGGGTATGACGATTGCTAGACACTCCACATGCATAACACGAAGACTACTTCGCAACGTAATGAAAGTATGCCTATGTGGTTGAGGACAAGGTTGATCCACTTGGGTGTTACTCGCGATGAGAGTACAAAGGTGCAGTCGATGTGGACAGTACTTCAGGCACAGTTCTGTGCATACACGATGGGCCTAGTTGTTATATCTCTCTGATCAACAACAGACCTAAGATCAAGAATTGCCTGAACAAGATTCAAAGGCGTACTCTAGTGGACCACACCTCGCTGTTTCGATTGCTAAGTCTTTCTATCTCTCCTGGGTTACCGGGTCTGTATATTAGAAAGGACCTCGAAGCAGTTAAGGTAAAGACGACACTCCGCAAACTCTTCGTGGCTAGCGTAAACACTCGATATCGCCAGCGATAGACGATACCGGGTTCTGTGGCTTCTTACTACTTAGCTGACACGCAGGTGAGTGCACCAGGGAACCGTCCTCAAGGGCCCTTGAGATCAGCAAGGTGATCGGCCAAAACGAAGAGGTATCCACAGTATAATAACTACATTGGAATTACCAGGTTAAACATGTGGTTTTGACCATGGTACAAAGCATCCCATATGCTAGGGAATGGAAATCCGCTAGATTGAAATACGTGATTGAAGGAGGACGAGAGAGCCGCAGCGATCAGCATCTGTATCCTTGCGTACACCAAAACAATTGCTTCAAAACTCCGGGAGATGTTTCTGTCTTAGTGTTGTTAAAGACGCGACCGGTACTAGCTATTGGTTGAATCAATGGGGCTCTTCTTGAGAGCACGGTACATAACATTCGCGACTATCATGATACGACTAGAGGCTCAATTGACCGATAGCATGAACCCACAGCACATTACCCCTGTCACTCCGCATAAAGACATAGGATAGTTGCCACCAGGACCGCACAGGATACGATGGCCTTGCAGTCGCAGGTGCTGATTTTCCGATCCACACAACGTAGGCGCTATTATATCCCTTAATATCATGTTCTGTCTGGGCCTCATATGTGGTAATATCGCCTACCTCTTCCTGAGACGATTATCCACCACAATTATTAGGGTGAGTCCCATCGTGTCACAGAAACTTTGAAATCTATCCACTTAGTACAATTACTTATCATCATCATCATCAGTGCCACAGGTACAGGTACACCTAACGTTGCGTTAATGCTTGAAGTAAGTATCTTCTCCTTGGACTGTCTTGGAATCATATTCTATCGCTAAACTCGCAGTATCAGCGACCTCCGTGGTGGTCCCGGCCATGGAGGGCTTCCCAAAGGACATTCCCCTGGTTTGTCCCTCGCCATTGCTCTGGTTCGATCAGTATACGGCAAGCTGGGCGCTGATAGGTTATGGTCACTTGCGCTGAACACGCGGATCAAATGGGGTGGGTATCGTTGCATCCACTCCTGGAACACACTGGCCGTCATTATTTGGGCTATCTTATGTGTGTCGGCCTTCTTGTTTTATACAAGGGGTCTCCCCGTAGTCAGGTGATTATATCTCACTGCATGTTGGGGGGTTTCTAGTAAAGAAGTTGTCTAGTTATAATTTATCTCGGGCCGATGAACCACAGCGACTCATACAACGCAAAATTCCTCACAGTCCTTGGGATTAGCGACACCGTTTACGCTGAGATTACACACTATATGGACTTGAATGGAGAGATAGAGGGCACAATTGACATATCGATCAAACTATTAGCAGGTTAGAAGAGTGTTCCTGCTGCTAATATATGTTGATAATTGTGCTTCACAATTATACACCGACTGTGCTTGCTACTACAGCTCTCACTAACAACATCAAGTCGAAAATATATATTCTCCTTCCGTCATGAAGCACCCATCCTCGCAAGGTCTACATTCTAACCTCACAACCCTCGGAGATATCACTCGCCATAAAAGAACGGAATCAAATCCACAGCCACTTCTAATCCCAGCACAATATCAAACAGCCGGTGCGGAGAACGAACAAACATCGGGTGGGACTAACCAACTACGACTCAAAACAACGGCTGGCGTCGGATATTCCCGTTTGGGAAAAGCCGCGCCCGTGCAAGGGATCCCGAGGCACGTCACTCCAGACAACATTCCGATTCGAATAAATACGGTACATTCCAACTCGGAACATACATTGCTCTCTCACAGTGACAAGTAGACCCAAGGAAAACCCTCCCAATGCGACCTATACCAAGAGCAGTCCCACTCCACAGGTTCCGCCCAGGAGGAAGAACAGCTATCTCCGCACGGGCGCCGTTCGCTCGATACAATCATGTAGAGGCCACGCGGCCAGCTCGCGCCGATTCCAACGGTCGCAGCTCCGTGCAATGGGGTCTCACGGGTCTCGTCACTGGCATTGGAGGGTGTCTCCTGGTTTCGCGATGGCAGTCATCAGATTCACCCCAGGTAGATTCACCAGAGGTCGATGGTGCGAAGGGTGTTCAGTATGCGGATACAGACGCTATGATAAAGGTACCCGAGGCTATATATCCGTTTCCGTGCTGTTATGCTGATAAGAGTTATGGCAGGGAATCACGATAATTGAGGAGACTTTAGGGAAGGACTCGGTCTCCTGGGATGAGGAGGAAATTGCGATTCATGGGTATTCTGAATTGTCCACTTCGAATTGCGAGTCCAGGCCGGTGGCCGTTGCTAGGCCGAAGAGTACGGAGGATGTGGCATTCATTGCCAAGATTTGTACTGCCTTTAAGATTCCAATGAGTGAGTTGTCTCTCGAGGCTCTTGAATTGGTCAGCATATAGTACTCACGATCCATGTAGTTCCTTTTGCTGGTGGCTCAAGCGTCGAAGGGAACTTCGTGGCGCCGTACTCAGGATTAACCATTGACTTCTCGGATATGAAGGAGATCATCTCGTTCCATCCGGATGAGTAGGTTGTCTGAAAGGAAACACGTACAAAACGAAAGCTAATTGTTCGATCAGTATGGACGTCGTAGTCCAACCGGGGGTGAACTGGGTTGAACTCAATACTCTCCTTAAGAATAGTGGCCTTTTCTTACCACTGGATCCCAGTCCCACGGTACCTTTATCCACTCCGGTGTTCATAGAGGGTTCTAATCAATCTACAGGCATTGATCGGTGGCATGGTCGCAACCAACTGCAGGTAAGTTTACGCTCGGTCACATCATCCGCAGTTGTTCCGGGGCCCTTTCTAAAAGCCACCTTATAGCGGAACAAATGCCGTGAGATATGGGACCATGAAGGATTGGGTCGTCAATGTCACAGTGGTCTTGGCGGATGGAAGGGTGATCAAAACAAGACATCGGCCACGGTACGTATTCTTCTGTGACCGTTATAACACATAAGTAGCTGACAGCAAGAAGAAAAACATCTGCTGGATACAACCTGACATCCCTGTTCACGGGGAGCGAAGGGACGCTCGGAATGATTACAGAAATCACACTGAAGCTGGCCACCATACCGGAGAAGCAAAGTGTGGCCGTTGCCACATTTCCTTCGATCCGCGAGGCAGCGGCGACCGCATCCAAAATAATGCGTACTGGGATCCAAATTGCTGCTTTGGAGATGATGGACGAGACTCAGATGATGGTCATCAATAAGAACGGAGGAGCAGGGGGTAGACTCTGGGAGGAGAAACCCACGTTGCTATTCAAGTACGTTTCCCCAAGCTACGATGTCGAATACCGCTAAGTGCCCGACAGATTCTCAGGAACATTGAGAGCTATCAAAGAGGATGTTGAGCGAGTTCGGACAATCAGCTCGCAACACGGAGGAGCAAATTTTGAGTTCGCAAAGAGTGAGGAGGAAATGAACAGTCTTTGGGCGGCGAGAAAAGAATCTTTGTGGGCAATGCTTGCGGTGCGACCGGAGGGTACTCAGATCTGGTCTACTGATGTTGCTGTGCCGTTATCGAGAATGGCAGAGATTATTGGTATCGTATACAAATGTCTCCTTTCTATGCTTATTGACTAACGTCTCCAGACCTCTCTAAGAAGGAATCAGGCCAGTTAGGGTTGTTCTCGAGCGTCCTTGGCCACGTCGGGGATGGAAACTTCCACCAAGCCGTGATGTATAATCCGGACGATCCAGAACAGAAGCAATCGGTTCGAGACTGTGTGCTGGCAATGGTACATAGGGCTGTGGAGATGGAGGGAACCGTTTCGGTTAGTCATTATCTTGTTTAACATCCAATGATCGGTTTCTATATACAGAAAGTTGGCTAATGATTTCCAGGGCGAGCACGGTATTGGCCTCGGGAAAAAGGAGTGCCTGTTAGAGGAGCTGGGACCTGAAACTGTCGGGGTGATGCGCACCTTGAAGCGCAGTTTGGATCCTCAGTAAGTGACGATCGGGTTTTTGCTCGCACAGTGCTAATGATCCTTCCAGTTGCTTGCTCAATCCAGGGAAAATCTTCGATTAGCCAAACAGTGGAGTGCTATTCTCCGCTCACGATTCAACATAGCGAGGAAACGGTAGAGATGATATGAGTTCTTGTAGCTAAGGTCTGAGCATCCTGTTTTTCACCCTAACCACTCCGGTCAAAGGAGATACTGTCCATAGAATAGACTGAATGTTAGTCCCTCTTGGTCATATAATCGTACCCCCGATCAACCATAGCCTTCGCGTTCCTGGTCTGCTCGTCGAGGTCCTCCTGAGGAAGGCCAAGAGACGCATTAGCCAACGCATACTTGCTCTCATAATCCCCGTCTCCATTTGGAAACAAGACACGGGAGTACATGGCCTGAAGAAAGCCATCGTGGTCTCCATTCCTCATTCGCTCGAGTCCCTGTTCATACCGCTCACGGCTGGACTCATATGTAACCGTCCAATCCTCATCCTTCTCACCGGTGACCCGCTTCCAACTCTGCAACATCTCCTTCTGAGTGACCCGGAAGCTGGAGATATACACGGGTTTATTCAACCAACGGCTCAGCGTCACACTCCGATCATTCTCATCCTCAGGCAACACCTTCATACTCAACAGCTTCGCGACAGCCCTCCCACACTGCGCAGGAGTACTCACGTTCACCTGAGTCTCCCCATCATCAAAAAACACCATTTTCTTCTCCGCAAAATTAAACCCGAACGTAGCTGGTCCCATGCTCACACTATGCCCATACCAGAACCCACAAATAAGCGCCACCCACGACGAAACACCCGTCTTCTCGATTTCGTCGAAAGCCCTAGGAAGCCGCTCCCAGCCTAGTCCGCTGTTCACTAAAGAGTCATTTGTGGCGTCGCAGCCCCAGATATTCGGCATCACGTATTTAATCCCCGCCTTAGCGGCGGCCTGGATAATCTTGGATTGTGTGTCCGGTGCCGCGGTAATGGATAATGTGATTATCAGGGCGTCCTGGCCCTCGAGGGCACTCAGGAGGCTTGCCTCATCGTGGTAGTCCACAAGCACGGTCTGGATGCCTTCGGGTAAAGTGCTTTGGCTCCCGGCGCGAGTCAGCGCGGTTACCGTGTGCTTGCCGGTGTTGAGGAGCTCTTGGGCAATAGGCTTGCCCACGGTGCCTCCGGCCTAGGTAGCTTTGGTGGTTAGTTGACCGGGACTAGCAGACTGGGGACGGATCTTGTATGCGTGACGTACACCGATGATTGCGACGCGCTGGATCTCATTTCTGAAATCTGAGCCTTGGCCTTTGACGTAGTTGGTGGTCATCGTGTTGTATGTATGAAGTACGTGAGGGTTTCGGGTTTCTAACTGTGATCATGTGTATATCTTCAACACCCCCTGGCTCGACGTTCCTTCGTAGTCATTTATAGCCCATCATGGAATTTAGGCAAGTCCATCTGGACGCTGCCTATTACCTCCGTTCCTGCTTATGTCCGGTTTTAGATTGGGTATAATGTCGGGAATCGGCCACAATGTAGTCCGTATAGCCGTGGCTATGGATCTGGTGAGTAAGACGGAGATAAGCGCACCCGAAAGACCGAAGTAGTTGGGTGGGGGCTGTTGTAAGAAACTCAGCCCCAGGACATGGTTGCCTTGTGGATAATTCTTTCGCTTTCTTCTTTTGTGTGTTTTTCCTGCTGTCTACTAGTGGGCATCTGGTTTAGAAGGGTTGAGACGGAAGATCTCCGCCCTTGGCGGAAGTCAAGTATCCAGGGCGGGAAACTATCCTTCCGCCAGGCCCATCCGACTACGGAAGCGTTGATAGAGACGAGAAAGCAGGGCGAGTCAGCCGTTTAGGATGGAGACTGAAGCTATGACTGTATGACCGGTTCTATCGATACGGCCGCTTGGTATATACGTGTATACCAGGCTGCGTTCCACACTTCATGATCGAAACTGGGTGGTCGTGGGTCATAGGAAATCTGAAATCCATGATTGAACCGATCCCCACTGTTACAGTTCAAATCCCCGTTCAGCTGGCTTCTCAAACTTGAGCCATTTCTCTGGCACCGCATGCATCGGTCCTGTTTCCAACATCTCCTCAAACCACTGACTGAACGCTCTAAACTCCCCCTTCGTTGCGCCCGATCCCGGGCCCAAATCGAAAAACCTGCCATCTGCGGTTTCGAATCCAGAGGGCACCACATCCGCAATGCACTGATCATTGAGAATACGAACCCCGCGAGCAATCATGCCGTTCATAGTCTCGGCGTAACGCTTCGCAAAGTCGGTAGGGGACTCGCCTTCTGGTCGAGGGATATGATTGCCTACTTCGCTTTGTAAGATGACGGAGTCGGGGTCGGCACCTTCGGCGATGAGGCGGTCGCGCTCCTGCCGCGCCCAAGTTGCGTAGTCCTTGGGAATCTCGTAGACCATGGGCTCGTCATCCGAGTCGTGAGGACCCTCGTCGTCTCCATGGCCTTGAGCGGATTCGGAGTGTATTGCAGCCGAGCGGTGGTCAGGGTCTTTTTCTTCGGGCATCGTAGGTGAGGCAGCAATTTCCTTCATTCTCAGGTGGCACTTAGTCTCCGTTGTAATTTTGCTGTGCTGAGGAAAAACTAAGAATAGGTAAGAACGACATGTGCAAGCATAGAGGAAGTCTCTGGCTTAAATACGCTGTATGCTGACTCAGAGAGCTGAACTACACTTGGATTGATGAACCAATCCATGATCGATCCGATACTGATGCCCAACGCTGTCTTTATCCGCGCATCGGTCGTGAGAAAAGTAGCATCATGACGATCACGCAGAGTTGTGGGCGTCTTGCCGAGGATATGGCTGCATATCCTGCGGGGCAGACGCGGTCAGACTATTCAATGTTGGCAAAAAGTGCCGCCCCGCCGAACGTATGATCTCCACGTCACGACAAATATTAAACTACAACTTACAGGCATAAAGAGGCCCTGGTGCTGCAATTGCTGAGGTATTTGTCCATCGTCCAACCTAAGTCGACTATCTATATCTTCTCTATCAGCATGTCCAATGCGCTACCGGCCAAAGAAGACCATGTGGACGTTCTCATCGTTGGGGCCGGACCCGCAGGCCTCATGCTGGCAAACTGGCTGAGCCGATGCGACATCAAGACGAGAATTGTGGACAAGCGCGGCACCAAGGTGGGTGTCTGCCATATATCGGCCACGAAGCGGTGTTGACGGAGCTACAGATCTTCAATGGCCAGGCGGATGGCCTGCAATGCCGCACCCTGGAGATTTTCGACTCGTTTGATTTTGCCCACCGTGCCTGGCGAGAATCAAACCACATGCTCGAGATGTGTTTCTGGAACCCTGACAAGGATGGCATTCTGCGACGATCGGACCGAATTCCGGATACCATCCCCGGGATCAGTCGCTTTCAGCAGGTGGTGCTGCATCAGGGTCGCATTGAACGGTTCTTTCTCGATTCCATTCAAGAGCATAGCGAGATCACGGTCGAGCGTGGCGTGTTGCCGACTACATTCGAGTTCGACGAGTCGAAAGCCGCAGATTTCGAGGATTATCCGATCAAGGTCACATTGCGCACGTTGTCTGAGGAAGAGGCTGCTCCCGCTCAGCGACAGCAGCACCACAGAAGAGCCGACGGCACACAGGCAGTGATCAGTGACGGGCTTTTCCGAAGTAATCTGGCTGCGGACGACACGGATGATCTCATTCGTGCAGCAAAGGCCAATACCAATGGCAGCTCCGGCGAGACAGTGAAAGCGAAATTCATGGTGGGTTGCGACGGCGCGCATTCCTGGGTGCGGCGCCAGCTGGGCTTCAAGTTAGAGGGGGACTCCACGGACTATATCTGGGGCGTACTCGACATTGTGCCCATCACCGACTTCCCAGATATCCGCTATCGGTGTGCCATTCACTCGGCCAATGCGGGTAGCGTGATGGTCATCCCCCGGGAAAACAAGCTTGTCCGATTGTACATCCAGTTGCAAACGACCGAGCATGCGCAGACGACAAACAAGGCGGATCGGTCATGGATTACCCCCGAGATTATTCTGCAATCTGCGCAGCGCATCATGCATCCATATAAGATAGACTACACGTACTGCGACTGGTGGACTGCCTACCAGATCGGGCAGCGGGTGGGGGATCATTTTTCTCTACGAGAGCGAGTCTTTCTGGCTGGTGATGCGGTGCACACACACTCGCCCAAGGCAGGGCAGGGTATGAATGTAAGCATGCAGGATAGTACGTACACCCAATATAGTATCTGGGAGCACCCCCACTGACCACTTCCACAGCATATAATCTGGGGTGGAAGATCGCGCATGTAGTCAAAGGGCACAGTGAGGGGTCGATTCTGAGAACATATCAATCAGAGAGAAGACGGGTGGCGCAAGATCTGATTGATTTTGACCACCGGCTGTCAAGATTATTTTCAGGTCGGCCAGCAAAGGACGCCGCGGACGAAGGGGTCAGCATGGAAGAGTTTAAGAACGCAATGGAGAAGGGGAATGAATTTGCCAGCGGGATTGGTAGGTTTTACGGTTCCCGGTTTCTAGTTGCAGGCTAATGCGAGCAGTGGTCAATTATGGTACTAGCGTAATCGTTGCGAAGGAAGGCGACTCTGTTGAACAGGGAGACGGTACTGAAGTTGCTGCCAACCTCCAATGCAGAGTGGTCAGCAAGACTCATCTGGCCACCAGGATCGACATCGGCAAGCGGATGCCAAGTTTCAAGGTGCTGAACCAATCGGACGCTCGTCCATGGCATCTGCAGGAGCTCTTGAAAAGCAACGGACGATGGCGGATTATCGTGTTCCCTGGCCAACTGAGCATGCCCGAAAATATGCAGCGCATGCAAACGCTCGGTGTCCAGCTCGGCAGTCTGGACTCATTCCTTCGCCAGTACACCCCGTCTGGCCAGCCAATTGACAGCTGTATTGAAGTTCTCACGGTCCATGCTGGACCGCGGACAGGCCTCGAACTTCTCGATTTGCCGGAGGCTTTCCATCCATTTGATGAGCAGACGGGCTGGGACTATTGGAAGGTCTTCGTTGATGATCAATCCTACCACGAGGGACACGGACAAGCATATCTCAATTACGGCATTGACCCTAGCCACGGCGCCGCCGTTATTGTGCGACCGGATCAATACGTGAGCTGGGTTGGTGAAGTGGATGATTATGACGATATGGCGAGGTTTTTCTCCGGATTTATGAGGGTTCAAGCGGCCGCAACACCTAGGACTGAGAATCGTCCAACAACATTCGCTGCGGTCGGGAAACTGTAAAATGATCCCCAGCGGCTAATCGCTGGCTCATAGACGAGCCAACCGACTGACGCTCGAGCAGTAAGAACTATATAGACCACGTTTAGCAGACCCATCATTTGCATATAGAACCGTCTAGTACACTACCAGCTGGTTGATATGGCTAAAGCCAATCCATATGAAGATATAAACTTTCGATAGTCGAATAGATTCCATGCGGAGATTTAAGATAGTAGAAGATCATTGGGCACGTGAGTGAGGCAACACAGCCTCGTCGATTGCCGAACAGGGACATAGCCACGAATTCCTTGACCTTCAACTTTTCTGGCTTTCCTTGTTCCCTTTATTACCCCCATCGCAACGTCTATGCACCATGGGCGACCCCTTCTCCATCACGACGGGTGCATTCGGTGCTATTTCGTTGGGAATAACAGTATGTGGTGGGATAATAAAGTATTGTTCCGCTCTCGAGGGAGCTGATGAAGAAGTCAACCGCATTGCGCAGAAGGCTGAGCGGATGCAGAAAACGATGGGTTTGTTGAGGAAGCTTCTGCAAGACAGCGCGCCTCTCATAGAGCGTGACTACGCTGATAATTGTCATCAGATGGTCGGTATTATTCAGGCAGGCATTGATAACCTCCAAGCGACAGTCACCCGGTGTTGGGGTGAACCCCAAGGCGCCAGCCCAGGGCGCCAGACAATGAGACAGACAGCCAAGAAGGCACTTTATCCATTTCGGCAGAAGGCACTAGGGTCAGTGAACAGTGCACTTGATAGCCTTCAGCTAGAGCTGAGTACTGCCCTGCATATGTAAGGCTTGCGTTGCGTGGAGCCTTTTACCATTGCATAGTTCTTGCTAATCCAAGAGACACAGGGCTCAGACGCAGATTCTCAACGCTTCAACGGCCATAATTTTAGCGAGGAATCTAGACACGCATATGAACATGGAGCAAAGCTTCGCGAGCCTAGAGAAGAAGCTGGACAATCAGAATTTGGCCTGCCCATTGTCCGGCCATCACCGTCATTGCTCAACGTCAGCCACAGGCCGGACACATGCTCCAACCTCATGTTCTTATCGTCGCAGCATCGACAACACGCGCAATGCTGCAAAGCGCTTCTCGTTGGTTTGCATGTTTTTTGGGTTAAGTGTCTCGGCCTCAGTATCGATCTTCAAAGAACCGCGGGGACTGAGACTAGCTCCGCATATCACATTTCGTGCGACCGTCCCGTTTGACTCTCCAGCCTTTGCGTTGGTTGACAAACTATCACTTATAGACTTTCGGTCAACTCCACAAAGTGTAGTAGAGCTTGTTGGTACTATCACTACCCAGCTTCATCAACTCTATGATGAAGGAAAGGCTCGACCCAGTGACATAAATCCAAATGGCCGTTCAGTTCTCCACGTTAGTGTTTCACCTATCATACGAGCAAAGCACGTTCAAGAGTTAATTAGGTACTTAGAAGCTATGTATGCTTAATCGCCATTTTGTATGGTTTTCGGAAGCTAGATCACAATATAACCAGCTTCTCAGTTATTTCACATGCAGTCACCTTTTGGCCGAGCGTGACAGATGGGGTTTCACACCTTTAGACTGGCTCATGTGGAAAAATATGGCTCCTTACATGTTAGATGTCCACGATCATTCTCTTGAAATAGATCAAGTCTGTCAGGGCATACCCACAAAAATGCTGCAATGTGGTGTTGTGGGAGAATTTGTTGCACGTTTCATTGGCGCTCTATCAAGAGATAAACGCCTTGTATACATGATAGAGGAGTGTAAGTAGATGGCCATTGACAAACTCAGTTCTCTTTATGCTAATACGCTACAAGGTCTTGATATCTCGGAGTTTGCTTGGGCACTACTATCTAAATCTCAGCCTGCTCTAGAGTCCGCACTGGAATCAACCCCAAGTTGTATGTATACCAGGATCGGCGACGGGAGTCCACTTCTGTTAGCAGCTACTTGGCCAGAGGGCCTAAGATTCCTATTGAGCAAGGCGAAACATTCCATCTCTGATCTTCATCACGCATTGTCAATCGCCATTCAACATAGCAACCGAGTCTCCGTCCACTTGTTATTACAAGCCGACATGCCACTTCCAGTTTGGGTCCTCGACAAAGAGACTAGCGTTGTGGTACAAGATCTCCTCATAGCTGAGGTCATTAAGCGGCGGGCCGAGCTCCGTGAGATTGCAGAGTCAGCGTTGACAACTAATGATCTGGCCCGTTTAAAACTCACGAAGGGACAACTTCCCGATGGGAATGCAGCTAGCCTGTGTAAGCTTTTAAGGGAAAGGGGCGTAACTGTACCCAGAAGATTGACAGTGGGTCATGACATTCCCATATTAGGGCTAACAACCTGCTTGGCTACGATGGAAGCTCTGTATCAGGCCGGGTTTCGGGACAAAACATCACCAGCTCCCCGTGATGCAGTTCATCCAATGACAACTCTTCGGCGTGCCAGGTGGCTAATAGATCGGAATCTAGATCTTAAGATATCCGAGGATGGTTGTTCTACAGTCCTGGAGCTGTGCAGTGCGTTCACACGTTCTTTTGATTGGTTGATCCACGAACGAAGCTTTGAAGCTCCACTAAGCTGCAAGCATGCTCGTCGGGTTGTGGCTGACTCATTTCACGCCGTAAGCAAACAGCATCAACAGCTCTGGCAAGATTGCTTGACCTCTGACGAGACAGACAATTGTTCATGTCACTGCTCTCCAAAGGGAGGTTGCGGTCCAATAACACGTATACTGCACCGCCTCTTTGGTAAGCCAGATAGAATCCCAGAATACTCAAGTATATTCGATTCACACACCTGCTATTTATCTCTCCTATTTGAACTTTTCATCCAGTCCCAGAGTGATTGCTTTGAGTCTGTTCGAGCGGTGCTACGCTATCTCACTTTTCAAGAGTTAGGACTTCGTCATACCTGCCGAGAATACCCTACTCTTAAGTGGCTCGAGCCATATCTGAGTGACGAAATTGCCGAAATACATGAGGAAGAGAGGCTACTGCTCGACGACCTGGAAGGCCTTGTCACCGAGTTCGAACATAGATACCTCGAGCTGAAATTGCCCTTGCTCGAATTTTTGCACGGGTACTGAGGTACTCGTATGAAGGAAGTACTGTTCAAACGACGCGATCCCGATTTGGAAGTTATTGAGGAAGCAAGGCAAATCGGAATACGGCTTAGCTGGGAGCCTATTGATGATGTCAAGCTCCACTTCCAGCGACCTTGTATACATGCGCGTCCTGTTGAGGAGATGAAGAGCTGAGGCTGATTGCCTTTATACATACAATGATGATATGGCTTTCGTTGTTCCATGCGCAGTCTAGTCTGAGATACAGACTGAACGATGGCACCTACTTTCGGTGTATCCTTTCATACTATAAATTACAAGAATATGTCTGGGTTTCACTATAGCTCAGCTCATGAGAGATACAAATGAATACCAATAAATACTGAGAACAGCCTCGTGGCCTATCAGAGAATGATGAACACCTAATGGTTTGTCACAATTAAGACTAGAACAAAATATCATTCCCATGAGTCGTGGACAATACTACAAACACTTGGACAAGTGATTACTACATGTTTCAGCTTATTATAATGTAGAGTCTAGGTTTACCATTGACCACCGATAGTAGACAGTTTATGAAACATCCAACAGGAGAAACAAATATCTCAGAGTTTCCCATCTTGAGAACCGGGATAACCAGAACTTTAAAATGGAATATCACTATGGGATACCAAGGTTGTCGTGCAGATCATTCAGCAGCTTGACCAAAAAACAGTATTATAAAAACAATCACATTAAACCTATCACTAGTTTCAGGTTATTTCACGTTTCATCAATTATGGATAAGAAAACAACAACATTGATCAAGTATCAAGAAGCCAAAAAGAAAATCCACGGCATAGTGAATGAGTAACGGAACTGCCCCGAACACCTCCAGTAACTTGCAATTTCCCTCCCAGAGGCCTGTATGTTGGGCTCTTCCTCCCTAGGCTTCTGGAGCCTGGAGAGCCGCATGCCTCTAGTTGCAACTGTTGGGACGGGGTCCCTCTGCAGAATGTTAGTATCTTTGCTAGTATAGGTATCATGAGGAGTCACCGTACGGCAACGACGAGGCTTGTCCTCTTCCCTGACCCATCCTCTGGGAGTCTTGTACCAGTTTCTGCAGGCGTGTAAGTACAAATCAACGTTTCGCGCTTTTAAAGCATACCTGTATCTGCACTGGAAATTGACATTGTCGCCTCTGTTGGCGCTGCCGGTTCTATCACTCGACTGGCAGGGATACTTGTAGTAGTCGAATCGACGTTCGACCCTGCAAGTGTCTCGCTCTTCAAGAACAGCGTCCTCGATGTCCTCAGGCTCCGCGGCCGGAGCAGCATTGACGAGAGACAGAGTAAGGGGGAGAAGAGCAGTGAGAAGATAGATTGGGGACTTCATGTTGAATGTCAAGTAAGAATAGTCGATTTCCTGTCTGTGTACTAACTGTGATTGATGTTGTTCTACAGTCGACTGATGGTGTGTGTATCACTGCTTTTATAGGTATCTATGCACTGTAGAATTGTGCATGGACAGAAGAAGAAATCTATTGTAAGCTGGCCAGGCCGATCGAGACAAGATCCAGCGGCTGGACCCCGAATCTCCTGACAAGAGAATGTCCATCTCTATTCGTTCCGTAGCGAATATGACATCCTTGGAACCATAACTGAGACATCTGCCGGATGCATACTGAAATAACGCGGTTTCATATTGGTTCATCTAGAATTGAGCTGCCGGATCCCCAATACACCGCAGCGGGATTAGAGTATGATTCACTGCTGACTGGACCCCGAGATCTGAGTTTATCCGGACCCTGCTTCATGAGTGAGACTTCATTCAGCTGGCTGCGATTTAGGGGTCCAACGCCAAGATGTGGCTTGTTTTCTTACCAGGTCATCCGGTCATAGCTTCTTGAAACTGGCCCGCATTTGACTGATCAGCGCCAGATATAGTAGCACGTCCCAGGGTCGGGATTATCTTGGGTACGGAACATCCGGATTCCTGGGTCCGCACAGACCACAGTATGTTGCCACCTGTGAAGCTTAACAGTCGTATGTTGAGTAGTTCTCACCTCACTAGGGGCATCCTGGAGAGAAATCGAAGGGGGCTGTACACAAAAAGACCAGGGAGTGCTACCTCTGGTGCTGTATCTTTTACGAGGCTCAGCTGTGGAACCGGTTCAAGCTAGTAGTGGGTATTAAGTCATGACCACAATGCGGTTGTTCTAGGCTCCTCCGTCAGCTGTGCTATCCACTGGTTCTCTGACGTCCACGGTTGGGCCGGTCTTGGCAGTGAAATCGCCCGGAGTCAAGACTGGCTTGGCATGGCCAAGCGTTGGCTTTTGCGGAGGAAAGTCTAGAACGCCCCAGCGGGAGTGTTGTCCGCCCCAGCTCAAATGTCACCTGAAGAACCGTTCTCCCAAGTCATCGACACGGATTCTATGATGATGAACGGGTCCCACTTGAGATTGTTCCCCGCGTGATTGTCAGGGAGCATACAATGGGTCCAGCGTTTGAGCCACAAACTTTGCCATAGAATGACGGAGATGAGCTCTTCACCGGAGACCCTGAATGCGGATATCTCAGCAATATTGGCTCATGGATGGCTAATTGTACCGGGCCCTCAATTTTGGGGTACTGTCAGGATAGTAGAATTGCCGCTTGTACTCTATCTCCACTTCTCTTACCCAATGTGTTAGAGTGGTTGAGAATAAGACAACCTGGGCAACAGTTCAAAGAATATGACCAGGTATTCAGAAGCCTTTGCATCACTACCCGCTCTCTAGGATCCACCAGCCCACTTGTCAAGGTTGATTCTCATAGAAAGCTTATGCAGCCAGGCCCCGGCGCTAATAAAAACCTCAATCTGAACTGTATTCCACTACCATTGCCCCGATTTGGCGCCCAATCTGCATTCTGGCGAACGTTGTCGAGATAATAATATAGCCCCCCGGCCGAGCTGCAACACATTGTCGTATGACATTTAGTATCCTAGACGTGGCTTACGACCGTGCGTGAAACATATCCAAAGAAATCATCTCATCTCTTTGTCCGATCAAGTCATAGCGCCTTCGTACAAGCTTGGGAGGCCTTCGGCCTCCCTCCCAGAGACTATCGCTATGCACTACATTCGATTGCCACTCTTTCCCCAACCTCGGTTTATCATTCCCCTTTGTCCACATTGCCAGAGATGCCCGGCCCGCACAGACCATCCAAGGCCCTGATCGGTCAAATACCATGGAAGCAATGGTTAGGCGTCCCGCATCACTTTCCTGCGTGGATGATCATGCAGATCTGATTCATAGGGACATCACCGGCAAAACCCCCCTGTACAAGCGGAAACCCGACCGCTGCCATTGGGGGCCGTGGCATGAATACTTGAACAATATAATTACATAGGACGGTCCTGTGGATGTATCCACTCGGGCAGGCCTAGAGCGACATTAACAACGTGGGTTGATATTGCATCCCACCTAGCATTCCTGCTCAAGCATTCCCTAAAGAGCTGCGGTCGAAAGTTACACAGGCACATTCCTGTGGGTATATGTGGCAAAGAGCATGTTCGTTGGAAGAGAGTACGAGAATAGTAGACGCTAAAGTAGCAAAGGGGCTATGTGCTGAGTTAGCTAAATTAGCATCACTGGCAGAACCAATATGTGGCGAGTAAGCGTGAGACATAGCACTCAGAGGATCTCCCTCACCGAGACTTCCAGTCTCTTCCAGTGTCGTGATTCCTTATTTTCGCCAACGTAGAAATTATATACGGGGGCTATATGACATTCCTAAGACCTAAGGAATAGTTTAACTGAAGGAAATCCAGTCTGCCCAGTCAGCTTTTCCTCTCGCGAGGTAAGGTATTGGTCTCACCTTGAGTTGATGCACAGATTCTCGAATTAGCAGTAATATAATCTCGTCTTACCCTGCCAGAACCAGGAATTCCTCTGTTTCTAAATGTTCAAACCAGTTTGTAGGAGCAATACTGGCGTCAGTGTAGTAATCATGTTTCGCACTTCCTAGATCAACTTGGAACTAGGGCTTGACAACAGCCGGCGTAATCACGTCGCCGAGACAATCAAATTTCGTCTCTGCCCTCACATCAAGGGATGTCCGGGGTACAATGAGGATGGACCTCGCCAGTCCACTACTGGGCATCCAGTAGGGCTATTGTTTGACGAGGTGGTGTCAGGTGCAAGAGAACAGCGATGGCCAGGTTGCCGCCCAAAAATATCAGTTGGGGTACGATTATTTCTGTTTAAAATGCATCGTACTTCTTCGACTGATTCGATAAGGTATGTTGGATACTGAAACTTAGCGCAAGTGTGTATGCGGCCGCGAACACAACAAGGTCCTTACCCACAATGGACGAGCTCTGAATGATACCTTCCCAGAGTTTGAAGGGCCAACTCACATGCCATCGCGGGTGATACCTGGTCGACGGCGGGGCTCATACTACTTTTCGTCAATACCATGGCGGATACCGTAAGCAAGGATTGTCAGATGGAGACATAGCAGAGCCATGGGTCATCGCCGCCGTTAAGGGACACTGTGAAAGGACCAATTGATAGGTTTATTCAGTCAAGGCCTAATAATTAGTGGCCACCCTGACCCGCGGATCTGAGGCGGTTCCGGACATAGACCAAGCTTACAGATTCTGGGATTATTGGGTCGACTTACTAATGTACGTGTAGTTTAGCGGAGGGTCAATCAGCATGGCTTTTCTAAGGACTACTGTGCTAATGTTAAGTGTATGTCGAGTTTCAGGTCATGGAGGGGAAACGCAATGGAAATCAGGCTTGTAAGTTAATACTGCCATGTTTTTGTGTGATCCTACCGACGTGCGACCAGTGAGTGCAGCAGAGAATAGTGAAAAATCACGAATTACGACGAAACCTCGCTGCTGTCAGAGACACATGGAGCAGGACCAGCTGTATATTTGCGCTGGAGATCAAATATTGATTCATAACCCCTACAGGTAGCCCGGGCTTTGACAGAGGCATGTCAAAAACCTAGCCTATCGAACTCGCTAGATCGCGATCCTGTCTGCTAGATGCTCCATAGGGCTGACGATACAGATATTAGCCTGTAGCGTATATCTCCATTACTACGATGTTTTGGTATTGATAACTCAAGACAGAGAACGAGCTTTTATATTGCACCGTGATGCTCATTGAACACGTAGGATCGTTTCTAAATACCCTAGGAGGAGTCTACACACGAGAAGACACCCGATACGCTTCCTTCATCATACGATGCTTGGATCACTAGCACCGTTGCATAAGTACCTCCAACGATGATGAGCATACCCGTGAGTATCATGAAACATGCAACACTCAACACCACCACTTCTTTCCATCCATTTCGATATGTTTTAAATGCCTCCTGTAACCATCTTCTCGCCGAGATTGACGGTTCTGTGTCCATATTCTGAATCCTGTCCACTGCTTTTGTAGGTTTTTTAGCAAGGAAGTAAAGAAGCATGAAGCCAGGAAGAATATTAGTAAACACGGGATTCACAAGAGCGCCAACTAAGCTCAAGAAACTGTCAAAAAAGGGCACGACTTCAACAATGACAAATCCAAATACAACGGTGACAAACATTGACGCAATCCAGACAGACCAATGCACGACGGTATTGGATTGGAGGTGTGGCGTGCCGCGAAGGATCCTGACGAACCAATATTTTGCCGCAACATGGCTCCAGAGAACGGCCGTGACCACCAAGCCCGGTAATGCGATGCCATATGATATCTTTTTAATCAAAGGACCAGCTGACCCTAAGGCTGGACTTGCGAGATACTGCCCAATTTTGCCGTAGATGATAGACGAGACGGCTATGTTTGTTATAACAATAAAAGACTGGCCACAGATAAGAGAGCGAGTAAATAAGTCCGGTTTCTTCATCTCTGCCGAAACAGAGAAAAATGTGCCTGATGCGCCCAAAGTAAATAATTGGTTTGATACTGCTGCCATGGCCTGGGAGAAGGTTGCGTTAGGAAAGGCACGGATATCTAGGTTGATAGGACCAGTCGATGGAGCTGCGGCTGGTCGACTGCTGGTAAGGCATGCAATCGCTGTGATCCAAATTGCGACGACAATGCCAGCAACGCCAATCCAACTGAGCCAGGATACCTTTTCTAGAGACCTGAAACCCGTCCCAATGACAAAGGCACCGGCACAGGTGACCGCGACGAAGACCATAGAGCAAGTACCATGATCAGACAAGGTGTTGAGTGCGACAGAAGTGGTGAGCATTCCTGCTCCCGCTACCAGGGCAAGATAGATGTAATATATTGCACCGGTTAGCTCTCGTGCTCCTTTTCCAAAGAGCAGCTCAGCCGCATCACCGATACTATACATGTGAGGGTAGTATTGCCGAGCGTTACCACACACGTATCCAGCAACCGTCGTTGTCAGGGCCAGGATTATGAAACACAAGATGCCAGGAAAGAATCCCAGGATGTGGAAAGTGGATGGAAGGCTAAGAGCACCGAGTCCAATCTGAAACTTGGTAATGAGGATGGCGGCTCCTTGCCATGAGACGCCACAGAAGTCGACATCGCCCCTTTCGTGATTGAAGAGATCTTGAGGTGCCTGAACAACGGGCTTGTGGCACTCACTAGCAGTCGCATCGTGGCAACCCCCATCATCAACGCCGTGTCCATACTGAACCGTGTATTTCTCTGTTTCCTTCATGATGACGGGCGCCTCGAGTATGAATGAAGTGCAATGGATTTTGTATGGAGCTCAAAGAGGTAAGTAAGGGTAATGGGATGTTTATATGCGGTCAGTGTCTGGGGAGAGCTATCAAGATGGAGGCTTATCTGCTCGGACCGAGCCACATGGACCTACACCACGAGAGTAAATAGAGGAGTGTGGGGAAGCTTATCAAGTGGGACAATGAATTCTATTCTAGATTGTTATCCGAACACTCATGGAGCAGTGTATCATCTAACCTGATTGCCCTTTACCATGGCCCCTGATACCGGAGTTATTCTACCAAAGCAGGAAGAGCCGACGTTGGATTTCCACTGATGGCCAAGGTAGGCGCTTTACCTTGAGCCCACAGCTATGCTAACCTCTTCAACAGTTAATTAGTTGCTGGGATATCAAGGTCTACCATTCTTTGGCAATGTCGGGCCATTGATGTGTTGCCGAGAGGGTGCGTTCAAGGCGTAAAATTTGCAGGCGGTATTCACATTGAGCTTCTAGTTGAACTACTCCAAAGTAGTTAGAATTACAAAGAACTGTCGGCTTTTGATCTTATGTGGGTGATTCTTGGGATAACGTGGATTTGACCAAATATACTTTTTCTATCGATTCTCTAATCAAATTACTCGGACCGGCTGAAGGCAATCCAAGTGTAAGTCTCCACAATGTGAGTCTCAGTGTGCAATAGGAATATTTCCTTGAGGGTCAGGCCTACGAGGCGCACTTGGACCGCTCAATGTGGCGTCAACATGTTGTACTCCGCATTCCTTCGCCGGGCCGAGAGATTGTCTGCCAATCTTTGCGTTGAGAATGTCTCCTTACTTCATGCTTGAATACGTCAGCTAGCACTCCGAGTTTCCAGTCCATCCATAACGGCCTTCCTTCACCATACCGGCTAGCGATCTACCCGACTGTATTTGGACCAGAAGACAAGAGTTGTGTGACATAACCCTGTAGGCCGGCGTATGCTCCGGTGGCATGCTTCCGATGCCAGCGGGAGATGTAGCTACATAAACAACGCGGTACGCAAAGGAATACACTGACAGTCGGCTTATGCAGGCCTTTCTGATCTGTAATTACTGGTCGAGGAGAAGCCACACGCTCGCATAGAAGCTGCAGCCTCGTTTAGTCCCTGCTAGAGGTGGATATTGCGCTTCGGGGCCGCATGCCGTGGACAGCGTTGGCACAGGTCCCCAAAAGTCTATTAGTGTAGTCCCGTGGCTTCTATACGGGAATAAGTCCGTCTTTGCAAGTTATTTCCCAGGATATGAGAAATTTAAGAGCAAATGTTAGTGATCAGGAATAGGCATTCACGGCAATGGAAGTGGCGGCCAGGCTGACGGCATCTAAGATGAACATACCGTACATATGCTCTGCCAGGTGCTGAGCTAGTACATGTAATTAGAAAGTACCGCCTGAAATATGTATATGACACTTGTTGTCTATTCTTCATCGACTGCTTGGCAAACTGTCATCTTTTCATTACAAAAAAAAGTGGTCTATCTACGAGCTTATGGACAATGCTCTTGGACGGATACTGCAAAATTCTTCGGATCAAGAACAAGTAATGGTGGTTGATTTCACATCTTGATGAACATAGTTTTGTAATATTTTCGCCTCGCTCCATCGCACTGTAGCATGTAAGATCTATCGTTTCCCAAGAGTATTGCCTATTTCTGCTGCACGGTTCGTCGCGGCCGTCACTGCATTGTCCACTATATCCTTGAACCCCAGTGCCTCAAAGGTCTGCAGAGCGGCATGTGTGGTTCCATTTGGGCTAGTGACATTCTTGCGCAGCTGGGCCGGGCTATTGGACGACGCGACGAGCATCGTACCAGCACCTAAACACGTCTGAGTAGCCAGCCGGGTTGCTTGCTCCTGCTGCAGACCCAGGGCGGTGGCACTGGCGACCAGATGTTCGGCCATGGCAAAGAAGTAAGCAGGACCGGATCCTACACGATCATCAGCTTGTTCCACGTCTGGAATAAAACTGAAAAATTAAAAAACCATAATGCAAAACTCACCGGACAGCCCGGTCACCACATCAAGCAACTCCTCCTTATTCACCCACTCCGTTACTTGGTTGACACTCCCTAGTAATGTATTCACCAGGTCTTTCTCTTGCTCTGTAACGTCGGTACTGGCGAATACGCCAGAGGCACCCTGCCTAAGCAGTGCAGGGGTATTCGGCATAACACGAACGCAATGCGCCGCACGATGGTCATCTGTCTGTAGCCACCCCTTCAGGCTCTCCAATGTAATCCCAGCGGCGATACTTATCACAAGCGGAAGGGTATCACGATGTGACCAGGCAGCGACAAGCTCCTCGCAGACGGTCTTTGCAACCTGGGGTTTGACGGCAATGATAACTAAGTCGGCGTGGCCGCCGGCCTCGAAGTTGGAGGTGGTGGTATGCACGCCCAGGGTGGCCATCCTGTTGCGGTTGACCTCGCAGGGTTCAGCGACCCAGATACCCTGTTTGGGAATCCCCTGGGTGATGAGACCCCCGATCATGGCGATGGCCATGTTGCCGCCGCCGATAAAGGCAAGCTTGCTCTGCTCGAGGGAAGACATGTCGTCTGTAGGTATCGCATTGTAAGCGAGGGGTATGACCTGATATATAGAATGAAATAGCTTGGAACATCCAAGCGCTCGACCTTGCTACCTCGACCTGCTAGTAACGTGAGGAATAGTGAGAGCATCAGTACAGTGGTTGAGTATGTCGGTGTTGTCACCCGACAGTCGGAACGGATGACCGATCCCACTCTCCACCAGTTTATCCTATCTGGCAGCCTGTGCAATGTTTATTTCATAGCCTAATAAGATTCGTATTGGGCTGCATGGTAAAATAACAGCGCTCAGTCCGGCATATAGTGCATCTCTTTCCGCTGATAACTCCAATCCGTCGGTATTTCTTTCGTCGAGTGCATAGCAAATGAGCCTCGGGCCGGGGATTTTGATAAGATGACATTTCATTCGACGTACTCAGAACGCTGCTACTACCCGGGTAAGGATGCCGTGCCAGATGTGTTAGTATATCAATAGCGAAAATCCATGGAAGTAATCTATCCTTCCCACTTCCAGATTCCTCGAACGCATCCGATACAGGCAACGCCGGTCAAAGGCCAACATCATCACTCTCCATAATTGAATCGAAAAAGATTTGAAATGGATGTTGAAGTGAGGCAGTATCATCTTTCTCCCACATACCATATCCCCAATTCGCCCAGACCTCTCCTACACTACAAGAATGTTCTAGCCAAGCGACCCGACAGCGGCCAATGTGACCCAGGCGAGGTTTGGGATATGTTCACCAAGAATGAATGGAATGTCCACTGGATATTCCGTTACGGCCCAACACAACTATCTCACTACCATTCCAAGGCGCACGAGTGTATGGCCGTCCTTTCTGGTACTGCCAGTATACGGTTTGGTGTTGCTGATATGTCGCCAGATATGCAGCAGAATACACACGGTTACGCTTGGGAGGAAGGTGGTCTGGTACTAGAGGCCGAAGCCGGCGACGTTTTTATCATTCCAGCTGGCGTAGCTCACAAAACACATGATACCAAACCTGAAGCCGAGTTCGCGCTCTTGTCACCGGGAAAGGGACATGGGATTGAGGACGAGGACCCAAAGAAAGCGTTATCTGGGATCAAGCTGGATGGGTTTACCATGATGGGAGCTTACAACGGAGGTGACTGGGACTTTATCGCGACTGGAGGCGACTTTGAACGAGTGTGGGCTGTTCCAAAACCAAAATACGATCCTGTCCTTGGACTGTCAGATCAAGGGCTTTGCAAGACATGGCGTGGAAGTGATGCTGTGCCCAAGGCCCATCTCTAAAATACATGGCTCAGAGTTTGTATGTTGGTATACATGGAATTTCAACGCTCCTAACAGTTGAATAGCATTGTATATCTCACAGGAATGAAGAAAGTAATCAAGGTCTCCTTAATGCAACGTATTACTTAACTTTAATGCCGAATTGGGTGGTGTACAAGACACCAACCAAACATCAATGAATGAACAAGGACAGCCCAATGGCCTAACCAGGTCCACACGCTGGCCAAGTGAGTTCCAGCAGCCCCGCTGACCCAACCAAACAAGGGAAGCAGGCATCGAGGCGCTCGTAGACCCTTATCTAGACAGACTATCATGTCGGATGTAATGGCCGAGGCGCATACTGCGGGGTTACGCTCTTATATTTGGCCATGTCCGTCCATGCAGATAAATTCAAGACCATTAATTTGGATAGAAGTCCAATACTGTCAGTCGCATTCAATTTCCACCTCTGAATGTAGTCACTCTCGCCCTGCATGGAGAAAACACTTAGTGATCCCCCGAGGAGACGTTCAGTCAACGCGTACGTTTCTCCGTCCCCAGCTCCAGATGTTTCGAACGCCGAGCGTTGCCGATGCAACTCCTGTACGATTTCTTTACTAACTCTAACAAAACTTGGCTAAGCTGCCTGCGGTGTCGTCAACACAAGATAAAATGTAGTGGCGAGTTTCCGTGTAGGAATTGCAAACGCCGTAAAACGAAGTGCATATTCGAGGGCGACGACAATAAGATCCAAATTACCAAAAGACACTTCGCAGAACTGAGGCGCAGGACTGCTGAGCTCGAGGAGGAGAACCGGGGCTTGCAGCAAGAGCTGTCGAGCAGTTCTAGAAAGACCCTCTCCATGGATCCCGTGGATCAGGGAGGGTTCGTGGATGAACAGGCAAATGCCTTCAATGGCTATGGGTCCCCAGTCTCCGCATCTGGGGTTGAAGATGCAAGAGTATTCAACCCATTATCCACAGGGCCGCCCAAGTACGTGCGAGATTTGGCGGGAAATCCACGTATGTTCGGACCATCGTTGAGGACAGTAGAGCCAACAGATTGACTGGGCACTTAGATTACTTGGGACACACATCGAACTGGTCCTTGACAATCCGCCTCCTGCACCTCACCCATCAGGCCGAGCGTAACTACCCCTTTCCCAGTGCAGCTCAGCATATAGATGCCACCACCTATGATTTAGGATGGAGCGGCCTGCGGACAACTATCATCCCAGATATTAGAGAGCTTCCGTCGCTAGACCATGCTCTTTTCCTGACTAATGCTGTAAAGTTCCATACAGGCCAGATATTTCATCTTTTCGATGAATTATCCTTTCTGACTCAGTTACACGACTTCTACGGCAACCCAGTCGAGAAGATTCACACAACGGGGTTATGGTTCATCCACTTCAGTGTCATAATGGCTCTTGGGAAAGCCTTCACCGGGACGAAGCGTCGAGGAAGTGTTCCACCAGGCGCCAATCTGTTCATGATGGCACTTATGATGCTCCCAGACTACTGCTATCTATGGAGACATCCCAGCACATCAGCGGAGCTGCTGTGCTCAATGGCACTGTATCTGCAATCCATTGATTGGAGAACCCCTGCGCATGACATGGTCGGTTTTCCTTTCTCTTTCCTGCCTCCTCCCTCCTCCCTCTTATCGAGGGACCAAGATCGTGGTGTGGAGATCTGTAATTTAGTAGTACTGACCAGGATGGCACAGATTGGGAGGGCACTGCGAATGTTGCTTGTCCATGGGTACCATACCAGCATCCCTTTAGGAACTTTAGATGAACACGAGATTCAACGGTCTCGGAAGATTTGGTGGACGGTTTTCATCATTGAGCGTCAGTTTACAGTTCTGATGGGGGTGCCCTTGGGGATCAACGATAACGAGATCAGCACACCACTACCTACGTACCCAGAATCTCCCCATGAGACCATCACGATGGCTATGCACGTCAAGTTATCTAAGGCATTCGGTCAAGTGATGAATAGTATGAATTCCTAACTCCCGTATGCAGTACACTTCAGATATTAACGCTGATCCAGCTCTCTATCGGAAAGAGCGTCAGATAAATTCTCATTTCGTTAGGAGCACGCAAAGGGCGTTACGAAGTGTTGCCAATCTCGCGCCAGAGCTCACTGGCTACTTTCCAGTGCCCGAGGAGGGATCAGTGAACGGCATTTCACGCGTTTCGGGATATCTGAATCTTTTGTACCAACAGGTAAGGTTGTTCTGAAGCACTGTCGCACTCATGTTGCTGGGTATAGATTCACTAAAATATATGTATAACGGTAGTGTATCATGTTAGCAACTCGCCCATTTCTTTTCAGTCTCCTCGAAAAGCAACTAGGGTCTGGAGACAATGCGACACCAATACCAGCCGCTATAAAGTTCCTCTTGCAAATGTGTCTCGAGTCTGCCAAGAAAACAATATATATACTGCGTGCTCTTCAGGATCAGAGCTTACTTGGTATGATTGTCCCCAATGACATTACTATGTAAATCCCATTTGACTCCTTGTCTTTAGAGACATTTCTACCATTTGATCTTGATAGTGCCGTCTCTGCTGGCCTAGTGATATATATGGCCGCCTTTGTTAGCCTGCACTCAATCGAGGAGCAATCTCGTCTACGAGATACACTGTTTGATATACTAGACCATCTGATTAGTGAGGGAAACCTCGTAGCCGTGGATCACAAGATGGCACTGGAACAGTTAGACGGTCTATCAAAGAATCTCCATGCACAAATGAACGATTGCAACCATTGGCCTCGGCTTGAACATGCCGAAATCGTGGCGCGAGAACAGTTGAACAGTAGTGAAACGATTTGTGCAGAAGGGGCAGTTCAGTCCGGAGGTGCCCCAGACAATGGGGATGTGAATACTGGTATGATGACCGGTTTTGCGGGGCCAATGGAGCTATACGCCTGGGAACAAGAGTTGATCCCGACACGGCTGATGACCGTGGTAGATATGCTGGACGGGATTAATGTGCTAGACTGGGCAACCTTCCCTGATAGTTCTAGTTCCCTGGATGATCAATTGGATAGTTGTAGCTGTTAAGTTGTTCCGAATCATTTAGGTTGTAGTTGAAGCCTCCTACTCATCTACAATCCATACCACTCTGGCTGCCTTTATGTATAAACGCTTCGTCAATCTAAATGCTAAATATTGCGACTATCGCACATGTTCCTCCAGCTCTTCATTGTCAACAAACCCTGTGTGATCCAAGTACCACGTCATCGCCTTGTCCTCAGACTGTGGCCTTTTTTCTACCATCGTCCAACCATTGCCGAACCAACCAAACTCATTCCCATCCCATGGCTTTGTCTCAAAATCCTCCCATCGTACACGCTTCAATGCCTTTACTGCGTGTAAACTGCTTCCAGGCCACAAAGCAGTGACTGGGCCTCTCTTTCGTTCCTGTAAGGTAGCCCCTGGTGGTGTCGACTTGTACCAACTGGCACATTCCGCGCTGTAAACCGTGCGCTCGAAATACTTCTCTGTAAAACGGGTAAAGCTCTCAACCTGATGTTGTTTAGGCTCGATTTGTCCCACGTTGTCGTACTTCATTCTAGAAATAACCTCTGCAACGTAGCTATGGAGCTGCTCAATCATAATAAGTAGATTGCCCGCCCCTTGGAAAGAATTGGGCCCAAGCGACTGGAAGAAGTTGGGAAAGCCATCCGTACAGAGCCCAAGATATGTCTCAGGGCGAGTGGCATACCGTTGTCGCAGATTAACGCCATTTCGACCAAGAATTGGAAAGCCGCTTCCGGGACTCGTCTCGAAACCTGTGGCACAGATAATTGCATCAACAGGTCGGTGCTTTCCGTCGGCAGTAACAATCCCCGTTTCATCAATACCTGTGATTGCACTTCCGATGACATTAACTTTGGGGGAGGTCAGAGCCTCCAAATAGCCAGGTCCTGGGGTCAAACGCTTGCAGAGAGGGGGAAAGTCAGGCAGGAGTTGTTCCAAAAGCTCGGGTTTTGCTTCCAGCCTGCGCTGCATGTCTGCCGTATATTGAGCCGTGACAACCTTCTGGATATCACTTCCTCGCTGTGACTTGGCGTAGAGCGTCTGTATCTCAACTTCTAGGCTTCTGCGGTATTGGGTGTACGAGATGGGATCCTCTCGCCATGATTGTTTCTCCTCTTCTGTATATTTGAAATTTCCCCCAAGGCCTTCGGTTCGTGTGGCCAGGCGATCTCCACCGTGCTGGTTGGAAATCCATGTCTTTCCGCGCACATAATGGTCCATGCCCTTGACCTGATCAACTAGGGCGGGAACAATTTGAATACCACTACTTCCCGCCCCGATGACAGCAATATGCTTGTCCTGGAAATAAACGAGCTGTTAGTCAATCGTCAAGGAGTTATTAAAGCCAAGATTAAGGGGGAAAGACAGCGATGTAGATTTGGAGGACGATGAAGTTGCCTACCTTGCTGTCAAAGGTTTCATCCCAGCTGGCACTATGGAGCAACGGCCCGTTGAAGTTGTGCAGCCCAGGGATGGATGGCCACTTCCACTCGTTGAGGATGCCAGTCCCTGTCATGAGAATATCTGCAGAATCTTCAAAGACCTCACCTGTCTCCACGTTATGGATCTGCACAAACCACTTTCCTGTCACATCGTTCCACCGTGCACCTACGCATCGGCTCTGGAACCTAATGTGTTTGCGAATATTATATTTCTGAGCCACTCTCTTCCAGTACTCAAGAATTTCCTCTGAGCCCGAGAAGAAATGGCTCCACCCGGTCCAGGACTCGAAACTGAGCTGATAGGAATGGGATGGAACATCTATGATTTGCGTCAGCCGGAGGGGCATCCACCGGGATCACTGTTAGGGTCTAGGGTCTGCCATACCACACGCACAGCCGGGATATTTATTCTCGTACCATGTTCCCCCCAGCTCCGGATTCTTTTCATAAATGATCAAATCCAGATCTGGAACAGCCTTCCTGAATTGGATCCCCGCGATAATGCCTGAAATTCCGGCGCCGATGTAGATGACCTTCAGGGGCCTAGGCTGATCGATAGCACGCTCGGAGATCAATGGACTACTGTACTCGTGTTGACCCAGACCGTACCCAGAGTGTTGTGCGGCGGAACGGCCCATCCGAGTGGCAAAGCTGGGCTCCTCAGCGAGAGAATTGATTTCTTCCGTATGAACTTCAACCGGGGAAGTCTTCATGTTGGTGGTTTGGAGGTTGGAAAGTGTACCAGTTGCAGGTAGTGTGATGGTAGACATGATGCTTGATAATAACCCACTCTCTTCTTTCACTTCAACAAATCTGATGATTGTATCTTCTACAGCACTTCCTGTCCGAGTATTTATAACTTTCATTCCAAGAATATGATGATAGTGATATAGAGGTCCGAGCATGGTTGTCTCCAACGCCGGACTCCTATCCGATATAACCCTGGAGCAGCCACACTTAGTAGAGAGTTGAGTGATTGGACGATGTTCAACACATCCACTTGGAGACTTGATAACCAAAGTCAACTCTATAGTTCTTACTGTTTAACAGCGTCGTCGACCGCTGATAAGATCGGGAGGCGTCCGACGATCCGCCTCGCACTGAGTTTTCGGACCCCTTCCCGATCATCAACACCAATTCCCTGAGGGGTCATTCAACTAAAGGGGGGGCTGGATCCTCATTTGGGTGATACAGCAATCATGGCTCTGGTTTCATACTCAATTTTCCGGTGATGACTCGCGTGTTAGCGAGTTGAGATTCCACTACCGGAGGTTATGAAGAGGCAGGTCGTTCGTTCAGTGTTACCTTGATTTATTATTTGCCTTGCTTGAAGATGAGCTAGAGCGGGCATGAATGAGCATTAACCGGGAGCATTTGCATTTTTCAATGTTTAGGCAGTATACACCGATTCGTACTATATGACTAGGAACATTCTCCTAGACGGACTATCAGGTTCTGTAATTGCCCAAACGCAGCACAGGGCGTCTTTCTCATGAACCGTCAACAATTACTCTACTACAATTCTGGAGCCTGGACCGCGAGATGGTCTTGGCTTTCCTACCGCTCCCGCACAATACTGCGAACAGGCCTTTGAGTGTGTCGTATTGCATCGCACTCGGAGCAGCGGAATCCAACTCTTCCTGCCGCTTATCAACAAATTTCACAGTATTGAAGGTCGACTGGGAGAGCCCTTTTCAGAACGATAATCTCTACCGAAGAGCGTTATAATCAATCAGATATATGTAATCCCACGTTGTCCCAAGCAGGTTTATCTCGGTCCGCTGGTGCTTACTTGGCCCTCACAAGCCTTGCCTGTAGTTTGAGTACCACCATCTAGCTTAGTAGCAACGCCCTTCGTAGATTATATAGGTCTCCAAGTAATTCGTATTCAGAGATGATTACGTATGTGGCAAATAAGCTACAGTACTGGATATGATCGGTGATGGCGATTGGAAACTGGGCTTCTCGAGATTCCTGAGACATGTACGGACATACTATCAGTTGAACAAGCGGAGTGTATTTCTTATAAATCTGCTTCGCTTTATACACAACGCGCGCCATCCACGAGAATTTCAACACCACTAATAATGGAACTCGCAGGCTCTGCTAAGAAGAGAGCAACGTTGGCGACATCGGACGGCTCGACAAGGCGGCCAATGGGGATCGCCTCGCATTTCGCTTTGATGATCTCGGCAGGAACAGGCCCAGCCTCAATACCAGCAAACTTGTTCAACAGTGGAGTGTTTCCGGAAGTAGGGCAGATAGTATTAAAGCGGAGCTGATCTCTCGCAAACTCCAGCGCCATGGATTTGGTGGCCGAAGAAACCCCAGCCTTGGTAGCGTTGTACCATGTCTGGGTCGCGCCCGGTCGAATGGCATTCTCACTCGAAATGACAATTGTGGAGCCAGGGCCATTCTTTTTCATCTCCGGGACGAGAATCTTAGACGCAAGGTAAATGCTTCGGACGTTGACATTAAAGAGACGGTCAAATTCTTCAACGGTGACATCCAGACCGGACTTGTTCGGGTACGACCATCCGGCATTGTGGACGACGATGGAGGGTGCTTTTCCGAACTTGGCGATCGAGGTTTCAAGCTATAGAACCCTTGGATTAGCAACCCTGGACCGGGATATCAGTAGGGTTGCTGGACAGCCTTACAGCCTTCTTCCAGCTTTCCTCCTCGGCAACGTTGGCTTTGATTTGATAGGCCTGATGCTCAGGGTAGCCATCAACAAGACCGTCAGTGGCCTGCAGGTCCATGCCTAAGACTACCGCACCCTCGCGAATGAAGGTCTCGAGAATTCCACGTCCGAAACCCTGAGTTGACCCGGACACTAGGGCTATCTTTCCTTCGAGGCGGCCAGGCATGTTGGTGGATGGACGGAGAATACTTGTTTGAATGTAATTGAGTGCGAGAGTGCGAGAGTGCAATGATTGAGTCGAGAGTACAATTCGTCTCACATTTCCAGCTCCTTTATACTACTTTCTAGTAACATGAGGGGTAGTTCTCCAGAAGGGCAGGCTGTGGTTCTAGGGCCGAGATGGAGGGCGGGGAAGTCGGAGGGCGCTTCCGGTATCGTGGACGTGTGTCAACTGGCTTCTCCCCGTCTATGTCTCTTGCTCTGCCCCCCCCCTCCCCCCATTCATCTCGGCCCACCCAGCCTGCCAACAATTCCTCCATGGCGCCATCGACTGCTACGCCGACTGACCTGCATCGTGCTTCCGCGTGAGTTGTCTCTTTGCAGAATGCGCTAGTGTAATGCGTTGCGACTCAGTCAATAGTAAAAGTACTGATACGACAGGGCCAGTGCCTGCCTCGCCTGCCGGAAAGCAAAAGTGCGTTGTCTCATCTCACAACGCCGTGACCGATGCGATCGATGTATAACGAACGCTTCTGAGTGTGTTTTTGCCCAGACAAAGAGGGCTAGAGTGAGGGCACGGCCGTATCCACAGGGCCCAAGACGTGAGCCCAGAACTGCCGAAGCTGACAATCGACATGCCGTGGAAGAAGTGACATCTACTACAAATATAACTAGTGTACCACAGGATGAACCCGGTGACATATCTCAGCCTCGGACTTCTAACAGCCAGAGAGCTATTTCCATTGATGATCAGCCGCAGCTCTTGCAACATCAACAGCCAGTGATTACCAATGCAATCCGCGCAAGGATCATCGCAGCGTTGGTCACTCTCAAGGGAAAGAGAGGCGCGCCTTTCAGCTTTGTCACATCGGGAGATAGCCCCACGTTTAGTGTTAGGAATGACGGGCATAATTCCCAACCAGAATCTTTCGGGCAGTCAGAAATGACGCCTCATTCGCTCAAGCTTTCATGGCTCCTCCGTCCTTTACACACCGATACTCATCAGAATGTGACTGATGATGCCCGTCGGGCCGCTGGCGTAGTCAAGATGCCCACCTACCTCTCATCCATGACTCTTGGTCAGACCATTAAGGACCCGATTGAGGGGGGCATGATCAGCCCACAGGCATCAAAAGCACTGTTCGAATTCTTCATGATACACATGAATGCCAAATGGGAGTACATCCTTGATCCCAAAGTCGATACTCACGATGGTGTTCAACGGCAAAGTTCCCTGCTATTTACCTCGATCCTCTTCTGCGCATCCAAGTTCGCCAACTATGTTGATGGTTGTATAATCTCGGTGACAGACCCTTTCATACAAAGCCGACTTTGTAGCTTAGCTCGAAACCTGGTCATCAGGACGCTGGCGGAGGGCGACAGGTCCATTGAGACGATGCAAGCACTTTACTTGCTAGTTTGCTGGAAGGATGCGGATGACGACGTCTCATATCTTCACAGTGGCTACGCCTTCCGCATTCTCGATGATTTAGACGTGGAGCAAAGTGATGGTGACGGGCGGCAGGTAGCGAGACGCCGGCGAATATGGCTAGCATTATACCGGCAGGACAGACAACAAAGCCTGTTTTTCATGCGAAGGCCATCGCTAAGTCGAAAAGATGAAGATATTTCTTTACTTGGTGATATGGATACCTGGCTGAAAATGCAATGCGTGCTGCCATCGGACTTCATTGCCTGTTGTAGCGCTGACTTGCGACGTATTCAGTCAAGATTGCGCGGTTTGGTTCAACGGGCGTCCTCGACCATGTTACCGTGTCTTTCAGAGATCATGGATACGGAGTTGGGAGCGTGGAGATCGAAGTGGAAAAATTATTTCGAGGGTAAAATCAGGACGCAATCCAATGATGATATGCTGCTCAATCTGGATTCGTACCATCTCACTGTGCTGATAGATCTATGGGAGCACAGTGTCAGGCTTAATGTCGCATCCGCTATACTTCGGCAATCACTGATGGCCTTAGTGGCTCCATGTCTGGATTCTAGTCGGCAACCGGGCAACATCTCTACGGATCTCGACTTGGCGACCATCCAACAGGCGCTGCCTTCTAATCTCCCCGGGCTCACTAGTAGCGTTGAAGGCGCCTTCGGCACGCTGCGTAATATGATCAATTTTCCTCCCGATGACCTCAGAAGAGCTCCCGATGCCGTGCTTCTATTGGCTCCAAATGCAGCATTGTTCTTATGTCTACTTCTGTGTCTTCCGGGCAACAGCAGCCTTGGCCCAGCTTTCCAACGAACTGCCATCAATCTCATTCGGGACATCACTCATCACATAAAGCAAGCCGTGCTTTCACCACAAGATACTATAGCTCTACATTCTGCATATTTAGACTCTCTGGTAGACCTCTTAAGCCCCGACACATCCCAATACTCGGTTGAGCAACATGATCTCGGAATGCAGCCAATCTATAATGTTCCGCACATGAACGTCGGGTCAACTATACTAGATTCTGATGACCCAGCGCTGCAGGCAGCTCGTGTTTTGGCAGATGGAATTGGCGGCCACAACTACAGGATTAACGATTCTCATGATGGAATGTTTAGCCTTCCAGAAGAAGATACCAGTCAAAACCTGCATGTGCAAATTCTGGCTAACTTGTTAGACGGAGATCTCTTCTGGGAGCCGCCCCCCTGAAACGAAGTATGTGAGAATTAGCTCATTGATGACATCGGAGTCATTATTTCTTATAGTCAAGGGAGGGAAGAGGTGGAGACGAGAAGCTAGTCTCTCTATGGTATGGCAACTGAATACATGATAATTTCTAGGATGGCCCTAAATTCTGTCATTGAATTACTGTTTCGAATGGTGAGAGGGGATTCTCAGAATGAGATGTCTTTGTTTCGCTGTATATACTGGATGGCGTGATTGTACTTGGAGGGCGGTCATATATGAACGATGGAAATGTATCTTCAGCGATCATCATTGAAAGTGTTAATTCCACAAACATTTTATCCTTTGCTAAGTGCATGTATTGGCCCTTTATTCAGTTGTCTCTGGCTGAGCTCATATGTTGGCTCATCTTTCGGCCCGAGTACAACTGGTAGCAATTGTATCCTGGTCGGGCCGAGATATACTTGCACGGGGATCCTTTTTAACATTCCTCGCGATAGATTTTTGTTCATTTTCCTAAAAGTCCCATTGAGACATCCTTCTTTCCTTGGGAATTTTGAAAATGATGTTTTCTGTACCTGCTAGACAGCACCTGTTCTTTGTGACTCGACGACGGCCCTTGACTCTGGCGTCTCGCTTCAACACCAGGCTAGTATCGACATTGAGGAACCCAGCCAGCAGATCAAATGACTCTCATTTCAATAGCAAAAGAGCTGCATATGCTGCAGGCGGCACCGGTCTGGCCATTTGGGGATTGATGTGGACGGGGTGCGAAGCTCCGGACGATGCCCGCGACAGGAGGGCCCTCTCGACGGTTCCATTAACAAAGCTCGTCTCCGGCTGGGTGTGAGTACTTCCTATCAGCGATACAAAATCATTCGTCATTCATCCGCTGCTAATGACTGGTGTATAGCGCGTTCGCGTTCTGCTCCTCCCCGACCTGGGTGGGCATGAGCGAGTCTCTGTACAACACTCTCTCGAGAATTCCCGTAGTGTCTTCCATCACCAATGCATTTGTCATGCAGACATTCTTTAACCAGTTTCTTGGGGGGCAAACAATCGCTGAGTGCATTCCCAAGATAGAGGCTCTGCACAGGGAGGAAATCGGTACCCTTCTTGGCTATAACATCGAGGCGGAACTGGATGGTTCCAGCAAGGATATGCAACTCATTCTCGAGCAGACCCAGCATGTCTTGTCTTCTATTGAGGCTCAGGGGAAGCTTTCTCGCCGGCTGTGGCCCGACACCACGGCTACTGGGGGTGATAACCGGTGCTGGGTCCGAATCAAAGTGACTGGTCTATTGCCCAACCCAGTTGCTCTTTACCATGGCTCCAATGCTATTCTCAAGGCAAGGGCAGAAAAGGGATTGGACAAGGACGTCCCATACCCTGGGCTGCCCCATGATGGCGACTGGGAAGCTGCGCTGCATGGAGATGGGGTGACGGAGGCGGATCGTAAAGAGCTAGTAACCCTACGCGCCGTTCTGGAGAAGATTATCAGCAAGGCACGAGAGAACAATGTGCGCATTGTTATTGATGCCGAGCAATCATGGTATCAGCCCGTTATTGACAGTCTGACCGATGAGTTTATGCAAAAATATAACTCTTTGGACGGCCCTGCTACTTGTATCGCTTCGTTCCAAGCTTACCTCCGCAGGTACCCTCAGTTCTTGGATCAGCAAATTGAGCGTGCAGATAAGAAGGGATATAAACTCCTCTTCAAGCAGGTTCGGGGAGCCTATATGGTCACTGAAGCGGCGAGATGGAAGAAGGAAGGCAGGGAGGGGCCAGGACCAGTGTGGCCTACAAAAGCAGATACCGATGCCAGCTACAATTATGGCATTGAGAAGACTCTCTCCACCGTGGCTGATCAAATTCAACAGACTGGCCGGTCCAGGATCAGTGCCGTGTTTGCTACCCACAACTCTATCAGTGTTGACTTGGGGATCAAGTTACTGGAGAAGTATGAAGTGGCAAAATGCAAGCCTGGTGAGGACAGACTTGTGATTTCAAGTGAAGCTGCTGGTAGCATTGCATTTGCACAGTTATATGGTACATTACTTACTACCCTCCTTCTCTAGAAGAAACTAGTCTGACTCTTCACAGGAATGAAGGATGACCTTACCAACGAAATCACTGGGTCTGTTATGACTGCAGGCGGATTCCCGCTAGTCGTCAAGGTAAATACTACATACTACTATAGCAAGCTCCCGTTGTGATCATGCTAACTTCCTTGTCAACGCAGTCAATGAGCTATGGTGACCTGAAGGAATCTTTGCCATTCTTAGCGAGGCGGGCTACGGAGAATAAGGCGGTTCTGGAGGGGCGAGGCGGCGCCGCTGCTGAGAGGTCGCGTTTGGGTCGTGAGATTTGCAGGCGTCTTCTACCTTTCTATTCGTAATGGACCCAAGTGTTCAGGATGGCAGGACCATGACTACTTTAGATATCATATCATCCCGCACAGAATAGGAAGTGAACTATTATTATCGATTCTGTATTGCAAATTAATTTGCTACGACTAGGGGGCAAATGAACGAGAATGTAATATCACCCTTCAGTCTCCATGGGAGGGTGTTCCACGTTGTGCGAAGGTTTCTCGGACCGACAGAGGTTCACTCACAATTTGTTGTTCGTCGGCTGGCGACACCGAGTCGGACTCCGTACTCTCTACAGGTGACGTTTAGTGTGTGCCGGCCCGAGGGGCTGTCGGCATATCTCGAAAACCATAAATAACATCATATTCATCTTATTGTCCATCTGCAGTACCATTCATTGTCATTGGAATACTATCTCGACTACGTTGTACCTACACTCCAAAATGCCAGCAGTACAATATCCAGAGCCTGCGAACGCTGATGGGGTACGTCCCTCTCCCCCAAAAGCAAGATTTATAAGCACGGACTAGTTCTAACGTAATATGATGTCCAAGCTGTCTTACGAGCCTGGCTCAGAAGAGAGGAAACTCTTGAAAGCCGCTCTCGCGGAGATGGAAAGCAATGTCGCCGAGATCCCAAGTATTATCAACGGCGAACGCATCCGCACCGGCCACAAGAGCAAACAGGTCAACCCCTGGGACCGATATGGCGCCCCTTTGGCAGAGTACCACCAAGTGGATGCGGAGACCATCAAGGCAAAAGCCATTCCAGGCGCTCTAGAGGCAAGGAAAAGCTGGGCCAATATGCCATTCAAGGACCGTTGTGCCATCTACAAAAGAGCTGCAAAACTTGTCGAGTCGCCCAAATACCGGTGGAAGCTGATGGCGGCCACCATGATCGGTCAAGGAAAGACATGCGGGCAGGCGGAGGGCGACTGTATAACGGAAGTCATTGATACTTTGAATTTCCATGTCTATTTTTGCGCCCAGCTTTACGAGCAACAACCCCCCAAGCAATTTGACTCGTCTTCCAGCCGGCTGGACTATCGACCCCTGGAAGGCTTTGTGCTCGCTATTTCGCCTTTTAACTTTACGGCGTTGGGAGCACACATCGCGTTCACGCCGGCTCTCTTGGGAAATGTCATCCTTTGGAAGCCCTCGCCCATGGCCGTCTTGTCGAACTACATCCTCTACCAAATCATGGAGGAAGCGGGTATGCCAAAGGGCGTTGTCCAGTTTTTGCCCGTGGCGGATCCGACTACAGTCGTTGAACCAGCCCTCGCCAGTCCTCATTTCACCGGTCTACACTACACCGGCTCCTCAGCCGTCTTGCGCACACTGTGTACTCAAATCGGGACAAATACGCATATTTACAAGAATTTCCCACGGATTGTTGGGGAGAGTGGTGGCAAGAATTTCCATCTCATTCACAACTCCTGCAAGGATGACGTCGAGTGGCTGGCATCCGCAGCAGTGCGTTCGGCGTACGAGTTCCAGGGCCAAAAATGCAGTGCCTTGTCCCGTTTGGTTGTTCCCAAAACCATGTGGGAGCAAGGGGATCTGAAAATAGCGCTAGTGCGAGAAGCATCCAAGATGACATACGGCAATGATGTCAAACAGCTTCATCACCCTTTAGGCCCCATGGTCTCGGAGGCATCCTTCCAGCGGTTCGAACAATTTGTCCAACGCGCCCAGGACGACGGCCATGAACTAATCTACGGCGGCAACACAGACGGCAGCAAAGGTTTCTTTGTTCAGCCTACTATTTTTGAAATGAAACAGACGGTCAACCGTCTTGAGTCGGATTTAATGACCAAGGAGCTCTTTGGGCCCCTCTTCGCCGTTCAGACATACGATGATACATCACCAACCGGGTTTGAAGACGTATGCCGGCTTATTGACAGCACGTCAGAGTATGCTTTGGCCGGCTCTGTCTTCGCCCGTGATAGGCAGGCTGTCAAAATTGCGGATGAGAAACTGCGGGATTCGGTTGGGATGTTCTGCATCAATGACAAGAGCACCGGCGCCATCATCGGCGCGCATCCCTTTGGTGGAGCCAGGTCCAGCGGCACAAACGACAAGGCAAACTCGATGAATGTTCTGCTCAGATTCTCCAGCATTCGGTGTGTCAAGAATTCTTACATCAGCAGCAGCAGCACCCTGAGTGCCTGCCATATCCCTGAGTAGATCGGGGAGCAATAGGATCTGGTAGATTAGGATGAGCTTTAGCATCTCGCTTTTAGATTGATTGGTTCAAATGAAGGTTTTATTATCGCATTACGTATCAGCTACTCTTGAATAAAAGACATCATTACAGCTCTCAAAGTCAGTATCAAGTACGGAGTACATCATAGTAAAGTCTTCTAGCATGTTTGAGTGTAGGAACTAGGACTAATGTAGTACATACCCTTAAACCAGAAAGAAATGTAATAAACCAAGACAATCCGATATAGTTCTTATCCTAACATTTTCCAGCGCACTTGACCACTACGTGATACTATTCCTGCGACCGCGATGCATGTTCATTTCACGCAAATCTTCACCCCAGAGCAGTGGCCATCGGATTTATCCTCCGACTGAGGTTTTACCCCGCGGGGTACAGGCAGAGATTCTCTCGACGGACCGAGATCGAGCATCTTGGCACCCATTCTCGGGCCGCGAAGCTATAGATAGTCCCCTCAAGGGGTGCGTGGCGCCATGGCAAGGTTAAATAACCCATCTTTCACACTCGAGAGCATTCACAAAATTATTGAGTTGAAAATCACCTACAGGCGTGCCGGTCATCCAAACATGGGAGTTACCGCTGAATTAAGAGTTGCCGTCATTGGCTGCGGTAAGTAGTATGCCTTAATTACTATCTACAGACAGCATTAACCCCGTTGCTGAGCAGGAACACTGGGGACTGCAATTGCTGCCGGTCTTCTCAGTCCAAAAGAACCGACTGAACTCAGAGTCAAGCATCTTACGGCCACGGTTAGAACCGAACTTTCAAAACGGCGCGTTGAAGATGCCTTATCCCAACACTCGTCACAACTCACAGTCCTTACCGAGGAGGAAAATGTCCGCGCAGTGCGAGAGGCAGATTTGGTATTGCTGGCTATAAAGCCTGTCAAGAGAGCAGACGTCTTTGCTGTGCCAGGTTTCAAAGAGGCTTTACAAGGAAGACTAGTTGTCAGCATAATGGCTGGTATCACCACCAAGGCGTTGAATAGCCTGGCCTCGGCGAAGACGCTGCCTCAAACAGTGGACGCGCGCTTCAATGTGTGCGTGCAATGCCCAATATGGCGGCCAAGATCCGAGAGGCTGTGACACTGTACACAGCTGGCCCCGGCACCTCGAACGAGAATCTCGAGATTGCGTCCTGGGTATTCAGTCAGGTTGGGGAGGCTCATAGAATCCCCGAAAGCTCTTTTGACATCTGTGCTGTTCTAGTTGGTTGTGCCGGCTCCCTGCTGCTCCTTGCGATTGATGGGCTACTAGATGCTGCCGTTGCGGAGGGCGTGAAGAGACCGGAGGTGCAAAACCTGGTGGTAAACAGTGCAATTGGGATGATGAAGCTGGTACCTGCTGGCGATCACCCTAGTGTTCTGCGAGAGAAGATTGCTTCTCCCGGAGGTTGCTCGATCCGAGCTCTTCTGGAGTTGGAAAGGCTGGGTGTTCGCGCGGCGTTCACGACTGCCATCATGGCGGCAGCGGAGAAGTCTAAACGCATGTCATCGTCTTGAAGGCTTGGTATTTATTAGGTAGTCCAAACCTATCTCCTATATCCCTTGGCAGCATGAATCTAGCCAGCCATAACCTAGCCGTAATCATGTAAGACCCCAAAGAATCGAGGTGGCGCTGTGATGGCTAGCCACATATGTAGTTTGACATCATGCCAACAAGGATCGTTTTTCAATTCGTCATTCATTATAAAAGCAATGGTAGATTTTCTATCGGTATCGATAAGTCTCGGTCGGGAGGCTCCTCCGACTGCCAGGATCCTTTCCCTGATATATAAAAGGAGCCACCCCACCCTAGCTAGCATCAAACCTCCCCTGCCGCATTGAAAACCTTTACCTCCATCTCATCCCTAATACCTTTCTCCCATTTAGATCATTCGTATTGGTGTATTATGTCCCTTGTCCAGAAGCCTGTTCATTTGGCGTTTCTCGGATGTGGTAAGCTGCCGGTGCTATTCCTTTTGCCCCCGCAAGTTGGGGCTGGAATGGTAATTTGACAACTTTCTTAGGCCATATCGGCAGAGCTCTACTTGGAGTTCTACTTCCATGGGTCGCCCGACCTGGCAGTCCAATTTCTGAGGTCACCGTTGCTCTTAGGCGTAAAGAATCGGAAGCCCGACTTCGCGACCTGTGCCGCAGCAGTCAGGCACCAGTGAACATTATTTCCAACCAAAATATCAATGCCGTCAAGAACGCAGACGCCATTCTTTTGGCCTTCCCCCCGGAACAGATACGTAAGGTTCTTGAGCCGGTCGAAATGCGACGAGCCTTAAGAGACAAAATTATCATCAGCATTCTCGCGAGAACACCTCAAGGCAAACTAAAACAACTAATCGGAGGAAATGACAAGACAACTGGCCTGGTGACGAAAGACATCCGACTCGTTCGTGCAATGCCAACCATGGGAACCGAAGTTCAGGAATCGGCGACTCTCATCGGCAACCCCAGCAACCCTGCGGAGAAAGAGGCTATGGAATTGGCGATGTGGATGTTCAATTTGGTCGGGAAGGTCTTTAAAGTCTCACCGGATTATTTTGACACCGCAACTGGTATGAGTGCATTTTGCAACGCGCTCACGACTGTAGCATTACAAACCATCACGCAAAAAGCTGCTGCTGAAGGTATTCCATTGGAGAATGCCGTTGCTATCGCTTCCCAGTGCATTCGAGGAATGGTGAGCATGGCTTTGTCCGGAGCCAGTCCGGGGCAATTGGAGCATTCATTATCCGCACCAGGGAGCATAACTGGGCAGGCGATAGCTGGGCTCAGAGATGGCCAGCTGTCGACTCTTCTTGAATCTTCACTTTCCGCAGCTATTGTGAGGGCAAGAGATGAGCATTCATAGTCTACAACCCTGACTCGTGGAAGCTTCCGTGTGATGATTGAGAATGACACTTCCAGATGCTAAGGTAGTTTTCCTGCACTGCCTGACACAGGAAATTAAGTGAGCACACGTTGACATTGATGAGATGAGCGCAAATTGTCAAAGAGATTCAGTACCTCAATGACAAATATACGACTGGTTTTGAAAACTCGGGCCGGACTAAATTCCATCCCAATGCGGAAGCTGCCCTATAGGGTGCAGGGCATTATTGATAATCAGAGATAGTATACTAGTCAGATATATGAAATACATGAGGGTTTTAGAAAACGGTGAAAAAGGGGCATCAAATCTTTGGAACGCCAATCAAACCAAGTGGTTTAGATGCAGTGCTGCCTCACCCCGCCCATCTGCCGCAGCCTGCTGTAAATTTAGCAGCAAATTGTAGCTCGTGTGTTGATCTTTTTGAAATAAAAGCACCTGTCGCTTACCGAAACCGATGTTCATATATTCCTTCTTAGCGGAGCTATCCTCCCTTCACCCACCCGGCGGCAGCTCGTTTCTTTCCCACCACCATCGGAAACAAAAGCAGATTTAACCGTGATGACAGAGCCTTAAAGGATATCCGCAAAATACAAGAAGGATTATTATAAGAAACTGATTAATGTGAAACTGGGCCTTATAAAAACATGCCGGCCGTTTCTTTATATGCACAGCGTCATGAGTAACTACACTTCAAGCAAAATTGATGAACGCAATCACTCGGTTGGGCATGTGGGCTGATAAGAGGTCAACTCGAAATTTGACATTAACCAACGAGCATCCCTTGTTCAGCATTTTGAGTACCTGGAAGCCATGCGGAGGTTGAACGAGAATCCGTAAATTGTGTTGGCATGACGCTACTGCACAAGAGAGAGTGCAAGCAAGCGGGCACGTGTCCGTGGCCGAAAAAGGGCAGGGAGAAGACCCAGAGACTAAGCTGTAGTCTACCCGTATACGACTAGTAGTACCTCCCTATGTTTTTCGTTTCCCAGTTCATTGGCAGTCACGCACCAACGTCAGACCTAGACATGTATATCCAATCGGGGTACTTGTGCGCGCGGCTCCATTGCTGCCCTATTCACTCCGTAGAATCTGAGGCATATGCGACTTCGCGCTACCTTACCGCATGAACATAGCTCCCTATAGTGGGCTGGACATTAAGGGCTAGTATCAGATAAGGATGCGGGCCCAGTGCACAATGTTCCGAGGTGGTCAGATCTACAAAGCGATCCCGAGTACTAGATATAGCCACAATTCATCGATGGCACATTCATCACCACGGCGCTAGTTCTGATAGAGTCACAACCTGTGCATCTTGAGTCTATCCTACGGAGTAGGTCATACGGTATTCATTTGGCTGAGAGGTGTAAGTTTAGGATATCATCTTTATCGAGAAGACCCTCGATGTAGAGAAACGGCTGAAGCGGAATACTGGGAAACACGTCAGCCTAGACTTGTGAAAATTCGAACACAAATTGTAGAGTGCGGCGATAAGGGTTCACAAAGGATTTCGCAACTGGGCCAGAAAGGTCGCTATCATTAGACTCCGGCTATGGTCTGATCCGCCTGGATCGCACCTTAGATAGCCCTACTACTAAGTATAGATACGTTTGCCGCCGTGATAAGTAGCCAACAATCAGAATACTTAATGAGGATGAGAGATAACCATTATTCTGAAATCTATAAAAAAAAAATATATCAAATTCAAAATACAATTAAATTACGTATCTAAATCTCTGAGCCTTCAGGATGTAAATGTACGGCGGTACCTCGATATAGTCCGCCGTATAGGGCACAGTCACGATCCCGAGCGGTGATTGGTCCGTTTAGAAGATCCTCGGATCAGCCACGCAGATTATTCGATCAGCCGAGGCACAGAGAAAGAAATCTACATCTCACTGGGTCATTGCACAACCGCCGCCAAGCATCAGGCGATTTCATCATGTTATGACCTTTAATCGGAAGAAACCTCATTAATGATTCCAACTGGATGATCATCTCCCTATAAAAGGAACCCCCTTGAAATATAATCAACCCTGCTGCCGTCCGGAACCCCGAGAAGAGCCGTCAGCATGGCCGATTACTTATTATCCCAAACGCTCTCGGCGCGCTACTACCAGCCCGATCGGTTTCCGCACATATCGGAGGCAATCGGCGCAGAGCCGGGATCGGACCATGGTCAGATTCTTGAACAGAGGAGCTCACCCGAGCCCTCACAGTCGGCGAACCGAGTGAGAAAACGCGGTAGACCGAGGATAGCCTCTGGCAATACCTCTCCTAGTGTAATAAATACTCTTGCTCTGTGGCGAATCATTCTTTGGGGCAATGGCTAATACTAGAGTAGGACCGTCGGGCTCAGATCCGGGCCGCACAAAGGACTTACCGACTGAAGAAAGAAGCCATGTTTCAGGACCTGAAAACACGGGTGTCGGAACTTGAAGAAAGCATGGCCAGGATATCTCAATCGCTATCCACATTCTACCACATGGCCATTCAGTCTGATCTCAATCTCACTCATCCTTATCTCTTCCAGCAACTCAACTGCACCGTCTCCCAGGTAAAGCGTGAAGGCAAATCATCAAGTGATAGCGCGTTATCACTTCATCATATAGAACTCGCTGCTTTATCATCGGCAAAGGCAGCCAACGACGCGTGTACCTTTGGATACACGATGAATATGAACCCCGGGGGCAGTGGAGCGTTCTACAAGCCACCAGGAAGTGACCGCATTCGAGTATCACCTTCTGCCAGATATGCGAATCGCTCATATTTGGGAAATCTCCCGAGAGACATCGAAAGACCATTAAACGGCAGCGCTAGTTTCACATACAGTTATAACGAATCGACCTTCGCTCGTCGACTCCACCGATACTGCATAGAGTACGCCTACCAATTGTTCACCGATCCGCGAACGGACCCCCAGGACATCTATCGTGTCTTCCGCCTCGTGACTTGCCTGCGTCAAGAGGATAAAATGGCCCGCTGTCTTGCTTCCCTCCTCAGTGCAGGCCCAAAGGATCCCCTGGAAAGACCAAAGGTGCCTTTCTACTGCATTGGTGGTGCCGGCACGCATTACCCACAGATGCAGCCTGATGGAAAGCCTCTGTATCCCGAGAATATGAGACTTCCGGGCCGAGTCCTTGGCTCGATTCCGGGCAGCGCTCAGGAGATGGACAATAAGCCGTCATCGGAGAAGAGACAGGAACTTCTTAAGATATATGGGCTGGATGGTACCTGGCTTGATTGCCGTGATGTCCAGGGCTATCTCGAAGAAAAGGGGTTCTGTCTCGATGATTCTCCGTGTATCTTCGCCACTCCGACGTCTGAGAATCGGGAGAATACTCCAAAGGCTGCACCGAATCAATCGAAGGACATTCCTATGGACTTGGATGATCATCGTGAGCTCAAATCGCCTCCCCTACGCAATTTCGATGAGCGCAATTCTGAGAAAACAGCCAGCGCGACAGGACAAGCGACCTGGGTCCTCAACATTGAAGAATTCGTCCAGGGTAAGTGCTCCGAATCATAATATTCGAAGCTTGAGATGCTAATATGTACTAGCGCTTTTGAAGAAGATGGTTATTCTGGGACGAGCCCCCGGCTTCCGACTGACTGACGTCGAAGCAGCCTTCAAATCAGCAGCAAATGTATCGTCGAGCTAAGCTTGCTTAGCTTGCGATCTAAAAGCCCGGGATTTTCAGGACACAATTGTCCATTTTTGGTGTTCTTTTCTCTCGCCCTTATTTTTGATCACCAATTTTCACATGTCTGGGGATAGGCTTTCTTATCAACGCCCGTGATAACAAGGCGAAAATCTCCAATGGCTGAGGAAGAAGCATCTTTTTAATCATAATGCTAATTCAATTTAACGGTATCATGTATGAATGATTGAATGAAATGGATGACGGGGTTTACAAGCATGGGTTCCCAGAATGAAAGTGTATTCTTGCTTCACAGTGCCAATCGTCCCTCTGACAACCAAATTGTTCGGCAACAAGCTAAATTGGCAGCAATCCGTTGCTTATATCAATGGCTGGAGCTGACAGGGAAAATCAGATCGTCTTCTCAGTAATGCCTGGCCTGAATGAAGAATAATTGTTCACTAGGGTATGAGAGTCGTGTGACTCGTCGGCACGGGCTCCCATTGGCTGACTCGACCTGCAGACTACTACTAGTATGATGCAATGCCGCAGTCCCAATGCGGCATTCGGACTTCAACGTCACCGAACGCCGACCTGTCGCCATTCTTCCTATTTAATCACAGCTGGATTACTGCGGTCATCATCAGCCGGAAGAATTTCTCAGGGTTCACTCGGGTTGTTATACTCGTCGTATCGGCGCTTCCACTCCAGACTCTTGAGCTCTCAGCCACCATGGTGGGCATCAACGACGTCCGCAAATCCAACGCTGCTCTCCACGCCCGCGATGGAGACTTCGTCGCGGTTTTCGTGGGAGGAACCAGTGGAATCGGAGAAGCAACAGCCAAGGAGCTAGCTAAGGCGATCAAAAAGCCGACAATCCACCTCGTGGGACGGAATCAAGCCGCCGGATCGAAGATATTGGAGGAACTTAAAGCAGCCAATCCCGATGGGACCTTCCACTTTATCCAGTCGGACGTATCACTTCTCCGGAACGTAGACGAAGTGTGTTCGGAAATCAAGCAGAAGGAAAAGGCGATCGATCTATTATTCCTCTCGACGGGACGTCTGGCAACCTCGAAACAAAGCAAGTAGAACCACGCATTCCATCATCGGAGGACCTAGCACTGACTGTGAAGTAGACACCACCGAGGGCCTCGAGAACAACCATGCCCTCCGCTACTACTCCCGGATGCGCTTCGTCCACAACCTCATCCCGCTGCTTGGCGCATCCAATGGCCCAGCCCGCGTCGTGAGCGTCCTAGCCGCCGGCCAGGAAGGCAAAATTGAAGAAGATAACTTCGACCTTCAGAAGTCGTGGTCCTTCATGAAATCCAACACGTATGCCGCCACCATGAATTCCCTCGCGGTAGAGCACCTGGCCACCCTGTACCCGTCCATCAGCTTCGTTCACGTATTCCCCGGCATCGTCCGCACCCCTCTCATGAACAAGACCCTCGGCTGGATCGCAGGCCCCATCGTTACCTTCCTATCGCGACCGATGTCGATTTCTCCGCAGGAGAGTGGTGAGCGGCACGTGTTCATCTCAACCTCCGCTGCCTACCCACCCGCGACGCCTGAGGACCCGGCCCATGCGGGCGTGCCGCTTGTGGAGGGGGTGAAGACAAGCGTCGCGTCGACTGGGAAAATCGGCGGAGGATCGTATATCCTCAACTATGATGGGGCCAATGCAGCACAAGAGAAGATCATGAGCGGATATCGAGCGGAGGACTTCCCGAAGAAGCTCTGGGCTCATACTCTGGAGACGTTCAAGAAGGTGTTTGATCCGGCGCAGTAAATGTTCATATTCATGGTTCAATACTTAATTAAGTACATAATGTTTTGTCTACCAGACTGTCCAGAAAACCAAAGGGGGCACGATTAGTAACCCAAGTCTTCCTACCCGCAATCAACACTATCATCTATGCAAACAGCCTCCGGCTTCATTCCGCCGGGACCCAAATAGACCCGCCAAGAGGATCGACATATACTCACGGAACGGAAGGTCCTTCGCCCAGGTGGAGTAGAATGACGTCATTTCCCATGCCCAGTGGAGGCTTCATCTTTCTGGAACACTGCCACATTAGTACACATATAACTCAACAGACGCCAAATTTCTTCAGAAATATACAAACCTCTACAAAGGTCCTCCTAAAGGAATTCCATCTAATGCCCTCAAACATAACCAAGGCCCTCTAAATCTACATCCCAGATCACAGACCAAGAAAAATGGGCTGGAACCTAGATTACAGCGCTATAACCCCAGGCCCAGGGGGCACAGTCATGCTGGGCGAGAAAGGCGGTGCCGAGGCCGTTGCGCGCCGGGTGAACGAGCGTCGAGCCCGAGAACGGGAGCTCGCCTTGCAGGAAGGCAGATTGGCGGACGATGCCATGTCGGAGACGACGCTTGTTCCTCAGCCAGAGTCCATCGGTAGTGGTGTGAAACTGGGGTCTAGCGGCCACGAAATGGTGCCGGGTGGCGAGGAAATGGCAAAGACTGTGACTGAGGGCGGTGCTGGGGAGGTTGGCGGCGAGAAGAAGAGTGGGTTTCGGGCCAGGTGGAGGGAGTTTAGGGAGAGGAATTTGCCGTGAGGGTTGGCTTTTGTTGGTTGAATTGTTCTTTGGTAATATCGTACTTTGCTTATTGGGTTGGTTGGGCTTTTTGTTTAGGCTGTTATTGCTAGGTATATTACTTGTATCGGATTATTCTGTGGAATTATGCTCTTTGATAACGGAGGAAGCCAGATGGGTTAGGAGGGCAGGATTAGTGGGATAATACCAACAAAGGTTACCGGTAGTCGCTCGGGCAAGTATGAGAAGGAAGTCGGATCGAGTTGACAACAAGGTATGAGCCTGACGGTGAGACTACCTTGCGAGATGCGAAGCCAAGTAATCCGGAAAGCAACGTAAACACCAGTTCGGAGTACCTTTACAAAGCCAATAATGCTAGACAGGCTGGAACTTACCTTTTCCATTGTGATACTAACAAAGCCAGCAGATCAAGTGTGGATGTTTCCACTTACTATCAAAGAAGCACTTTAATAGACAACGGTATAACCCGTTAACATGAAACGTTCCCTTCGGCTTCTGGTCTCAAACATGGACTGTTCCCAATGATCCCATTACAGGATGTATGCATATACTACATATGCCAGATAAACTGCCTCAGGAGCCAATTGCTATAAATGGAGGGATAGCTGTCACTTTCTTCATTCACATCTGTCTTCTCTATCACATCAGATTGACTTCTTTGGTGGTCTTTCCTACTATTGCATATCAAAGACAACAACCGCATTACCTTTCCAAGACCTAGACTAACTACAGACAGGCATGGCGGCGCATTCACAAATACCATTGTTCCCCGCATGTTTTCCAAATTCGATACCATCTGATTCCGCCCTGGCAGAAACATTTTGGGCCGTGCAATATCTCAATAATTGGTTTTCAAGCATCTCTGCGGCAGAGATTCTGAATTCAGCAGAGGATCCCAATACACTACGGTGGGACACTGTATACCATCTGTGTGTCAATTCCAGTAAGGAGGTGGTATTACGACTTCTGAGACTCGGGCTTCCCTATTCCGTGCCCTGGGATGCAAGAACTCTATTTCATGCCGCTGTCCGGAGACAAGATAACGACCCCGAGATACTAGATCACCTACTAGCCTACCTACCCCAGGACCAATATCTTCTGGCTTTTCGGCCGGATGAAAATGGACAAACGCCTCTACAATTCGCCTTGAACCAGCCCCACCTTGGTGAAAAGGAGGAGAGGCTCTTGAGGTGGGCACTCCATGCTAGGAGCCTGGGGTGGGATATGGACTACACTAGAACACTCACTATTGCTGCGCGGAATGGGCACATTGTGGCCGTCAAACTTCTCCTCGACAGTTTGCCTCATAGCAGGGATGGTATGAACAAAGATCCATTAATTTCGGGTTTTCAATACATGACAGAAGTGATTGACAACGACGCACATTTTGCAAATGGATGCGAGATAGTCAAACTGCTCGTCCGGTATGAACGTGCATTACGCTTGAACTGGACAGTGGCATAGGCCTTCGAGATGCAAGTTGTTAGTCTTTCAAGCTATGTATATAGGTAGACTTACTGTTTGACTCGGTGCTATAAATACAAATACCATAGACTTGACTGATGCAGTTGTCCAATGCGCTCTTTTATCTAGGATAATACTGCTTTCGCATATACGCTATATGCTTCAGACCCAACAGCTATTGGGTGAGTAACTGGTTCATATCTAATCACAGCTTTTCTGCGTATTGATCTATATCTAACCGCCAAACAGCGATAGAGGCTATAGACGATGTACCATATTATGTCTGTGGTGATTTGTTATGCTCTTCGACAGCCAATGAGATACGGCAATTTCCATTTTATTGTTATGACGCCAGGAGTGTGGGTCCATTACAGCATTTCTTAGCATATGGCAACTTGACATAAGAGAGGATGTGGATCTAGCCGCGGGGGCGACCATATTGGCATTGCATTGTTCATAAGTTGAATATATCAGAAAACTCGAGCAATAGAACATCGTATATCTTACTACATTGTCTACTCTGGTTTCCCCCACCGTGAAGCAGCTATGGAGCCGCCTACGGCCGCTGACTGAAATCATACGAGTTTCCAAATCCCCTATTCAAATACCGCGACATCGCCTCCGACTCCGCAACCCAGTCAACAGGAGTCTCAAGGCCCGTTTCATTCTCCACCAGGGACTTCAAATCCTCTGCAAATTCCAACCGCATGGGGTTTCGATACCACGGCGCGAAATGAACTACGATCATTAGCCACGATCGCTCTTCAATGGACATGTGAGACTTACTCATCGCCAACATGACCCTAACCTCATCAGTTTGATTTCCTATTCCCGCATGCCACAGCCTCAAGTCCCTCAGGACCAACGCACCCTTAGGAACAACAGGCTGACACGGCGGCCGGATCATCCTTCGCTTCTCTAGGATATCCAGTTGAATTCGCCCGCTTGCTCGCTCACCGTGCGTCCCTTCCTGGACGTGCAGTCCCGAATCGGTGTGTGTTCCCAGCCATATCTCTGTCGACCCATTTTCGGGAGTCATAGTTATCAGTGGGATGTTTACGACGTAGGCGAACGGGTGCGTGGGGTGGGCGAAATCCGCGTCAGAGTGGACTGGCTGAGACATGGGCGGGTTTTCAGCTGTAGGTGGCATAGCTGAGTTTCCAGAACAGAAGGTCCATTTTGGACGGGGCCCTAGTGCCGTTGAGGTTATTTGGGTAGCAATGGGATCTGGGCCTTCATTAGTACGCATTGTCCATTCAGTAGAGCATCGGGCACACGTACTGAGGAAGATATCAGAGTCAAGGTATTTCCGAATAGGCGGAGGATCCTGCTGGATATTCCCGGGATTGTAGTTGAAGGGGCTGTTTTCTTTATTCCGCAGTGTCCATGCATCCTCGACCATTTTGTGGTTTAGTCGGTCTAGGGCATCGTGGGGCACGACGTTCTCCACTACAACTAAGCCGTCGTGGTGGAGACTTCGGATTGCGATCTCCAAATTCTGCGGAGAAAGCTGGCGGTTCTTGATTTCTGTCTGTGAGGGGGAGATGCTCGTTGGGAAACCTGATGTGTTGCGATGTTGAGTGCAGAACCTCGCAGGCCTGCACACTCTAGTGATTGGGGTGATGCGTTGCATGTTCGTATGACGAAGGGGCTAGTATGGTGTGTTGTTAATTAGATGTGGTCTATTGTATGGCTGAGTAGATAAGTACAGTGGAATATATTCTCGTTGCATCTTTCAGGGCTAGAGAGTGTTTTTTATACTCTTGTCTACCAGGGTGTTCCGATGCATTGTCGACGATCAACGCTCGGCTTTCGCACTTCGCATTTCGTTTTTGGGTGGGTCTGGAGTTCCGTGTACCCCGGATGGTAGTGCGTGAGCTTATTTTAGTTTACGTGCGGCCGGCCCATCAGCACAGTGGTTATAAAGGTCCTGTGGCAATAGGAAGATCCACTTCGTGACGCATTTAGCGATGGGCTTGCATTCCGGCGAGGACTCGAGGATAATGCGAGCTCCAACCAGTTCGCTACTCCATCATGCCCCGACCCTTTCTAACAAACAGTAGGTCTAGCCCATTCTCTCGGAGCTGCCCCAGTACGCTAATGCAGTGCCACAATTCCTCCTTTGCTAGGATGGTACACTAGACCCCACTTGGATCCAATCTGGCTCTGATAAAGCTTTCTATTAACATAAGATAGTCAGCAATGCAGATCCAGAAAGATTAAATGTGAGCCTGACGAATCAGTTCCAATAGATCTGCAGGTTAATCTACATAACAGGTGATGGACATCGACCTGTGTGTTTTCGCTGCCAAAAAGCTTCTCGAGATTGCCAGTGGAGCAACCGCTCCGCAAGAGAACAACAGTCCAGATCGCCCACTACCCCAGATCAAAGCTTAACCACCAGTCGCGATCCGCCGAGTACATATCGACGAAAGATCCTGGAAAGGCACTCCGAGATCCCCAAATTGCCGCAATATTCCGTTACTACATCGAGCATCTGGCCGGATGGTATGACCTCAACGACGTAAAAAGACATTTCGGTGACATAGTCCCTTCTTGTGCGCGCAAAAACTCGCTCCTTCTCAGCGCCATTCTAGCCTTTGCCGCGGCGAGTCAGAGTTCGAGCTTCCTTAAGAAAGACCTCTGGGACGTGGCAGAGTCATATCACCTTGAGAGTGTCCAGGCCCTGCTACAGCTTACGGAAGATCCAGATGAATTCCGGACCGGCGAGACACTTGCCGCTATTTGTCTTCTGCGATCTTATGAGATCATATCCCGTGCGCATCTCCCCGGTCTTGTTTGTAGTGTGTGTGCTAACATGGAGTAGAAAATGTCAGCTGTCAGAATCATCTTCAGGGGTCATACTCCTTGTTAGCAAGTCGGCCTGCTGGGCTTGAAACGGGGTTACTCGGTGCCGGCTTCTGGAGTTACCTGCGAGAAGATATTACCGTGGCGCTTATAGAGAAGCGAAGTCTTATGATAGAGCTCTCTCAGGAACAGCTCCCTCCATCAATCGAGGGTGAGGATGACCTTGCTAACAGGATAACGTACTTACTGGGCAAAGTTATCAACCGATGCCTCGATCAAGATGCGTCGCCGTTAGAGCAGCACGAGTGGCGCTCGCTCAGCGACGACCTCGATACATGGCGTGCATCTCTACCTGCTTCATTCGAGCCTATTAGTAGTCCGGGGCTATACGGACAAAGCAGCTTCCCGGGTATATGGACCGTCAGTGGATGGCATGGTATAGACACTTGATGATACTCGTTCAGGTATGGAATATGTGAGCTGACAATATCAGCCTCGAGCCTGCAATACTACCACACGGCCCTGGCCATCCTGAGCGTTGCTGAGCCGATGCAGACAACAATGAATACACTCCAACAAATTGACCGAATGAATGACTTTGAGAAGAAGCTCGACCATCATGCAGTCCAAGTCTCCGCTCTTGCGATATTCAGCAATTCCGCGCCCGTGTGGGTCAATTCGTTTGGCCCGATTTCGTTCTGTTAGTCCTGTGCACAGAACCGCTGAGGTTATTACTAACTGGAACAGGCGGACCGTGGTTGAGAGATTCACAGAGAGTTCACGAATTAATCGAGGAGACACGAAAATGGGGAAGCAAGACCGGCTGGCCTGTGATGAGTATAGTAAAGTCGCTCGCGCGATCGAGGACTCGAGGGTGAAGATATGGCATTAGTAACCATGGGTCGTGTAGGGCTTATCCGAAAATGGAACCAATAAAAAGGGCTTGTGGTTTAGTGGTATAACGCTCCATTCGCATTGGAGAGGTCCCGGTTTCGATTACCGGCGAGTCCACGATTTTTGCTTCCGACTCTGTATGTCTTTTTGTCTTTTTTCGAATTATACATATATGAGCAGGTCAATTATTCATGCTTAGCTTTTTATTTTAACATTTTAACGACTATTTATAGTAGGATCTTTATCGAAATTCTAGCTCGAGGGCTTGGAGTGTTGGTATGGCTGGATACCATCGGTCTTGTACGCAGGAATCTATTCGTATTACCCGTCAGAAATATATAACCACAAGCTGCAGTCATGATGAGCTCTCAACTCACCAATTGGTCGACAACATTCTCTATAATGTCCACGCAGACTCTGGACACAATGTATTCCAGTTCGTTCTGGTACCCTAATTAATAATAGTAGTAAAGAAATGTGCACTAATTTCCGACCGATTTGGTCGAAGGTTGAAGTACCTGCTGGTGATTCTCTGCATGAGTCTGCGGCTTTTAGCCCAAGCCTCATGTAGCCATTATTGCGTCCGTTTCACAACAAGTGGTCCCGTAACTCAGTCGGTTAGAGTGCTGAGCTAATAACTCAGAAGTCGAGAGTTCGAGCCTCTCCGGGACCAGCTTTTTTTGTGTGTATTACACCACTGTAATCATTGGGCAATTCTTTTTGCTAGGTGGGGCCAATATCCCTTGCGAAATATCCACCGCCATAGTCATCGTGCTGAGCATCCAAGAATGGGGGGATCTACAATCTCTGTACGGAGACTAGAGTGTATATTATCATAGGACTTGCACCCATGGATCACTCACTATCCCAACTAATGGCATGTTCAAAAGCAACTGTAGTGTTTCTTATGTTGTTGCACTCTCTGCAGGCTTGGATCCTGAGTCACCCGCATCACTGCCAGTCTAAAGGGATCTAGTATGTACTGTACCCATGTCCGCAGGCTGACAGTGCCTTCATGCTCTTCATTGTCCCTACACCGGCCTTCCATACTTACACTTGTTTATTCTTGGAATCATGGCGAAGCACATCTAATCACTTGCCAGTGCCGTAAGTTGTAACAGGACTTGCTGCCAGTAGTAGTTGACACGACAAAGTTGGGTCACGTGTGCTTCTTACTAGGCATGATTTAGCTACGTGGCATTCGAAACAACGAGATCGAGTAATAATAGAGAATACAGAGTTGTAATGCCGTGATCTCACGATGCGTCTTTGACTGCATTCAGACATTCCAAAAACCCCTACTCTAACCTTTCAAGAGAGTGATGTTGAAGCGAATCTCCGATTAGCTGTACATTGAGCCCAGTGGTTGATAAAATAAAATAGAAATGAATTATTTCATCAAGGGCGCGTGGTTTAGTGGTATAACGCCTGATTTGCATTCAGGAGGTCCCGGTTTCGATTACCGGCGTGTCCATTTTTTGATATTTTTATATCCGCCTCCTGATAAGGAGATAACCGTTCTTGCAACCCAAAGGATTGCATCTTTTTGCTTTTGCTGGATTTTGTGCCGAAGAAAACAGCACAAACATTTATACATTGAATTAACAATAGAAATCATCGCAAAGAAGCAAAACAAATAATGAATAAGTCGTAGCTATGTATGGACCTACTCCATAGCCTCATGTTTCGCCTAGATCTTTTTGAACAATACACCCGAAACTCGAATCTAATGCACCCCTGTCAAACCGATGTCGTTGGACCAGTAACCGCAGAGCCAATTCGAGCCAGGCGGGATTATAGTGGGCTATATATCTGACCGTGCTGTCGCTATAGGGCCACTGAAGGTCCTTGCATTATCTTACGCTACCAAGAAAACCAAACAAAGACAGAGCTTCGTCAAAGTAGTGTTGGCGGTTACCGAGTATACCAAGTACGTGGTGTGACGATTTGGCCTTTGTTCAAGCCAACCCCATGAATTGGTTTGTGAAAATGGGTGAGCTTTTGCACAAGGGCTTGGTCTTATAAAGGGCTCTTTACTAGAGCATCTTGCTTGCTGTCGATAACATGCACAAACCGAAAGACGTGAAGCAAAGCAACATAACAAATAGCACAATTTCCCCTTGAGAAAAAGTTTTGAAACTAACCCTTCGACGAAAAGAATTGCATCCCAACACCAAAATGCCAGCCAAGCGCATGTTGAGGGCCCCTTTCGTCTCAAGTCACGAGGCTACTCTAGGCAGCCTGATCACCAGCATCAAGGAGCCTAAACTGGGCGCTCAAGTGTGTCCCTGGCCTCTGGGAAAAATCGAGGACTACGCCGTCAGATCTGTACCCGACATGTATGCCGTTACTCAGCCCGCAAAAGAACCAGGTCTCTCTGCTTCGATTTCCCGTCTATTCAAGACCGGCGGCTCTGCAGGTAGCAATGATATGCCTCCAACCGGCGGGAAGATATACACGCTCAAAAAGCCGAGGGAGCTTTTTCACAATCTCAGCGGAGAAAAGGTCGTGCGAAAATGGCTGCAACATCGGATTGCCGAAAAAGTGGATGTGTACATGCTGGAGGGGCTTGCTACGTTAGAAGGATGTTCTTCGGTCTGCTACATGAATAGTGAGAATAGCTATCCCGCGCAGGGAGAACTGATCTGCGCAATACGTGTTTTGAAGGTTGTTTTCAAGCCTTTCAGGACGAAAAGTATTGATTATGCGCGGTTGGAGAAGGACAGCACTTGGGTGGTGTTCTCGGACGGCAAGCCGTTGCGGCCTCCAGCAGCGGAATGGGTCGAAGTGTCGTCGGACGGAAAGCAGAGCAGCCTAGGGGACCAGAATCAACAGGCTGTGGGAGAAAATGGGCACGGTGGGGTGTTTACCTTCGATGAGGTCCGTATTGAGCAGGCCAGGGGTCCGCGTGACGAGGTGAGTTGGTTCTCGGATGATTCTTAATAGTCTTTTCATCTTCAGTTTCGTGACGGGCTTTGTTTAATGCATACGCTGGGATTTCTCTTGTCTCAAGCCATGGCTGTCCCCTCCTTTATGATGTAGTGCACAGGGATGGCTTATCCCCTATTCTTCCAGTTGACTCAATCAATCTGAATATGCCCCAGGAAGTCTAACTTGATCATTAAGTCGGGTTTAGTACGTCTCATAGTTACCTTAGGAGTGCTTGAGGCAGAATTCTTTAGCAGGTCTAGTCGTCTAGGTTTAGGAGGCAAGTGAAGTCTATAGGATGCAGTCGCTGGAAATCGAAATAGAGTATACATTTTTCTCTTTTCACAAGGATCTGCAGCAATTGAGGCGATGAGATAAGACTAGAGAAGACGGAAGTATTACCCCGGCGATCGTCACCAACGAGCTAGCGGCAAGACCAAGACTTCTCTGCACACCAAATGTGAGCTACCCGGTTTAGTACCAGAGGGGCGATGAGTCAGGAAGAACAGTGCCTACTGCTCCACAGACAACGAAGCCCGAGCGTCCCTATTGGCACAGCAGCACGAGGCTGAGCTTCAGCTAGCCACAGCCTCGTCGCTCCGCGGCCAGCACCCCAATATATCGACCCGCACAACGGCATCTGGCAAACCATCACGGTTGCTTTTAACTGTTTCTTTTTACGATCAAGTCGTCAATAAAAGATGGAAGGGATTGGAACCGCATCTGCGATCTTACAACTATCCGGGACAGCAGCCAAGGCGTCTTTGCAGCTTTACGAAATCATCGTGACAATTCGAGATGCCCCGCGCGAGCTTTGTGTCCTTGGAGATGATGTGGAGGCCCTGAGCACTCTTCTGTCCAACCTGCAACGATCTTTGGAGTCTCCTCAGACGCAAAGCGCCGTGGACCAAGACCCTGAAATTCGGAAGGGCATGGATAGCCTTCAAGGCCTCATTAAAAGATGTGAGAAGACGTGCCAACAAGTAAAAGAATATCTGGGCTCGTGCATTCGGAATGAAAAACCCGACAAAGCCTCAATTAAGGGTAAGGATGGAGATGGTAGTGCAATTGCTGAGCCTCTACCCTCGATGGGATCGATTAACAGGGTTGCGTGGCTCTTCAAGCGAAAGGATGTCTTCATCCGGGTGTCTGAGCTACAACGCACAAAACAGCTTTTTTCTGACGCCATGGGCACCCTCACATTGTACGTCTTTCAGTCGCATCGTTCACTATACGAGTTTCAGCCTGACAGTTGATAGGCTTGTTACTCTGAGGATATCAGGGATATCTGCCGGCCCTGATGATTCAGCCCTTCCTGTTTGTTCAAATAGATGTCCATTCGATGACGACGCAGGATCAGCAATAGTCCGCTGGGCGACAACGGTCCAAACTCCGCGGCTGTAAATAGACAGCACAAGCACTTCCCCGACTCACACTCTATCGCGACCGGCGACGCCCAAGCCGGTCGATCCTGAGCTCGCGCAGGAGCTCTTCGAAGTAGTTAAACGCGGGTCCATTCGCCTTGTGGAGCTCCTACTGGATCGGGTTGATATTAACACTCGGCGGCCTCGGGATGGCCGTACCGCACTCTCATTCGCCGCCGAGCTGGGAAATGTAAAGATGACGAAGTTTCTGCTGGACCACGGTGCCCGAGTCGACATTCGCCAGTACACTCGTAGCTGTGCAGACAGCAAGGGCCCGACTTTCGTTGGCGGGCGCACCCCACTACACTGGGCAGCGGACTCGGGGACCTCGGCAAAGGGCGAGATCATTAAGCTCTTGCTGGACCATGGGGCCAATCCAAACGCCGCCACTAGTGCAGGCCGACCGGCACTGCAATTTGTGTGCATACAAGGTGATTGTAAGTCAGCCAGAATCCTCCTGGATAGAGGCGCGGATGTAAACTTCAGAAGCTTCCATCATGTACGTTACTCGTACCCCCCCCCCAGAAAAGTTTGATGCATCTGACCTCCTTATAGGTTGGTGCGCTGTGAATGAAGCTGCACATCATAATCACACTGAACTACTGAAGGTCCTCCTGGAGTACAAGCCGTTGCTTGACGTCAATGTTGATCTCAAAGGCGATCGAAAGGCGCCTCTACACAGTGCTGTCTCCAACCGCAATGCTGAGTTGATGAAACTGCTACTCCAGAATGGCGCTGATCCAGATATCGGCATGTTCGAAGATAACACCCCTTTGCATCTTGCTGCCGCTATGGGCTGGTTGGAAGGTATCAATATACTCCTGGATTGGAACGCCTCAGTCGATGTTCAGGATGCCTTTCTCTTTGAAACGCCTCTACACAAGGCGGCACGAAACCGGAAGGTGAAAATATGCCAAGTTCTGTGTCAACGTGGTGCCAACCCAGCAGTTGAGAATATCGACGGGTTGGATTATCAGGCTATTTTGAACTGCACGCAGCGGTACCCTGACGACTGGAAGGTGAACCCGGACAAGGTTTATTTCATGTCTTGATGGACATGTCCTGTTGTGAGCCGAAGGTGCATCTTTGAATATGAGAACCCTATATTGGTTCATCGTACTATTCACATTGCATGATGTGACTCGTATGGAAGAACTGGCCCCCTTTAGGTATGAACCTAGGCGGATTCCTTGTATCTCATTTGTCAGGTAATATCGACAACTGAACTTTCAAGAAGGAAGACCAAGAAAAGGCACGGAAGTATAGCTACATTGATGAAGTGGCCAATCGGAGTGACGGGTATACACGGTGGTTCTGTGATACTGATAGGCCGAAGCTGGCTCAGGCTCTGCCCGAGGACTATGCAAAACAGGGGCTATCTGGATATGCTACGAGTCATGTAAACGCCGCCGGGCATAAGTCCATCCTTTGTGGTCGTCATGGCAGGCGAGCCACCAAGCCGACCTGGATGCCAGGGGACTTGAGGAATCTGAGAGAAGATGAGAGAAGGTCAGGGGGGGCCTCACTTTTCCGGCACGACTCTCACCTTTGTGCTTTAAGGCTAGTTGCAATTATTAGAAACAAGTACTTGACCCCTTGACAGCCTATTGCGGAGTCTTGGGGCCTGCTTGGAATGGGAATTATTTGCGGGGTTTGCCAAAGACCCCATTACTGATTCTACTTAATAAGTGACATGGTACATAGTAAAAGCTTGTTTTATACCTATGAGATAGCGACTAGGTACTGGAAGCATGAGTATGCCTTTATCGGACAGCAAGAACTATGACGTATGGCAGATGGAGAATCATGTTCCCGAAGAGTCACTTAAGGGAACGTTATGGAGTGGTGGTTTAATCCAGATGAAAGCGATCGACCTTCAGGATCATGTACTCCTCCCAGCGACTCGTTTGACCCAAGTAGACCTGAGGCTGCATCTTGTCCAGAAGCGAAACTGGCGAGGATGCATCAGATCCTTTGACTGGAGGCAAAATCTCAGCCTGTGTCTTTACAATACCGGTGGAAGTCAGGATCCGACCGTTAGCTCCGATGGCTTCCGCAGACACCGTATGAACAGTGCCGGCCTTGAGGGAAAAGGAGGTCTCGAAACCAGTACGCTTGGCTTCACCAAGGTATTGCCGCGAGCCATAGTCATCTGTAACTTGGTAAAAGCGCCAGACCTTGGTTTCGGTATCTCCATTCCAAGAAACGTACACAGTAGTACCCTGATCATTCTCGAGAGAAACAATGGCAGGCGTTTCGTTCGGAAGACCGGTCCAGTTATACCGGAAGCCACGGTAGTTCTCAACGCCCAAGCCCAGGAAACCCGAGTCCATGTAGGTATGGAAGATAGGGGTACCGTCAGGACGAAACTCGGTGAGAGCACCTTCGGAGCCCCAGTTAACGAGAACGTTGCCGTTGGGGAGGAGTTGAGTACTCCCCTGAGACTTGGACAAGAGGCCATCGGGAGGCTGGAATGCTTGGACAATCGTAGCCTTCCAGGTAGCGGTGTTGACCTCGATGATTTTGCCCTGGGAGAAGGGATGGGTGTGGACTTCGCTACCACGGCCGTTCTCAGTCCCGTGCGCAGAGTTGTCATACAGTGAGATGACCTCTTTATCACCGTCCCGAGAGACAAAGCGCGCGTGATGCTGGAAGCAGAATTTTACATTGGGCCCAAGATCGAAGTCGGACTTGACACCACCAAGGCGCCAGATAACCTCGCCAGTGGAGCCGTTGATTTTGTGGACTGCGCAGGCATCGCGGGCGGAAATGAGATAGTTGCCCTCCACATCTTTGTCGACGGAGTTGATGTGGAAGTAATCCCACGCATCCGACGAGTTGTAACCGGAGCCGGCTTGCCCGGGATTGATGGGGAGGATGGCCTCTGTAGTAATTTAGTTACTTGTCGCTGCTCGGAAGACAGACATAGCACTCACCGTCAGGAAGCACATGATCCAAACTAGACCACTCGAAGAGAAGCTCCCCAGTTTCTATGTCGAGCTCTATGCCAACTTTAGTTTCACGCTCAACGGATATGGGATACTGGTGGTTACCTTGGATGATAGCATCGACAATCCACTGTTGCTCAGGGCTTGCACCCCATCGAGTGAGATCCTTTGGGACGGGCTGGTAAATCTGAATGAGAGCGGTTTCCTCATTGATGATGTGGAATTCGTGCTTGTCAGTCAGCTTGTGGTTCCCGGCACGCAGCTCACGAATGGTCTCGTAATGCTGATCCAAGATAGTAGTATGGCCATGACCATGGCCGTAGCCCGCATTGTGATCTCCCTCAAAGCTGAAGAGGATATCTTTGCCCTTCCAGCGGGCCTTTTGGAAGTTCGTCGCCCAGATAGAGTAATACCCATAACCCGACCAAATCAACTCCCCGTCATCACGAAAGATGTAGGGAGCTGCCTGACGAGGGCCATGCATTTCCCCGGCCTCATCCGCGAAGCCTGCGAAGGGAGCAATAAAGAGATATCCCTGTTCCACATCGGGTGCTGCCGGAATGGTGATGTTTAGTCTGGGAGGCGCCAGATCAGGACGCGACTTGAATTGCCAGTCGGCAGCCGCAAGGGGCAGCAACGCAGTAAGCCAGAGCGAGCGCATGATGCGTGCTGAGAGCACAATGATCAGCCTCGGGTCGATTCATTTTGCTCAAGGATGGGTACATTAACCTTTGCTAAAGCCTCTGCACTGAGTAAATGTCTAGATCCAATATCCTGATATTGTGACCAGTTCTAGGGTTGTCCGTGTGTGAGCTGTTACAAAGAAAAGGAAGTTGATGTGGTCTGGGTGTACAGCGTTCTTTATACTGTGTAGTGGCGATTGATGATGGCACTGTTGTCGGTTCTTGCGTGATCCTGCCCCGCACCCGTCCCAACGGCCATGTAGAATACGTTGACTTCCTGCAATATCATTTCGGTTACGACCGCAGAAGCTCAGTCCTTACAGGCCAATTTAACGAGATTCTGTCGATTCTTACCCGATTCGGTGCCCGCCGTCTGCCAAGTGAACACAATTCACCGTCTAACTTTGTTCTCGCCCTGGGCTTTCTGATCGCTCGATTTACCAGGCATAGTAAACCTATGCCAATTCTATGAGCAATATGTATGAAGCTTGAATTAAGAATATGTTAAACCGATTGCGTGATCCTAAAAGTGTCTGTGCTTGATGGGGTGGAAACTGGATACGAGGCACTACCAAGATTCGTACTTTAGAAGAGGGTTGAACAGATACTTCATGAGTTCAGCGCTTCATGTGGCTGTCGCTGAAGCAGCTTCGCTCAATTGAGAGAATGGGTATGCCAAGCGTACTTGGAGTTAACCTTGTATGATGGCACTAGCCATTTATCTGATCTTTTCACTCACGCGTAGCACATACAACCATATGGCGTGGGGTTAGGCTCCCCACCAGCCCAAGGGACTCATAATTGTGGGACCGACCAGAAGTCAACCTGTGCTAGGGGAATGTTGTCAATCTATAGGTGGGAATCTTTTGTTTCAAGATGTGTAGGTGAAATTGTGAGGCCATACCATACTCGTTAAAGAGCATTCCAGTGTTTTATATATCAATAACCCCGAGGAGTTATCCATTGGTCTGAGATGACAGCATGCGCGCTCAACAAGCGGGTAAGGGGATTGCCCAAGCTCCCAAGGAGGGCTTGAGGGATCTTCTTCACTGTCTTAAACGCGGGTCTGGAGTCTGATCCAGGACGGTTTGAACGGGAAGCTGATATTTTTTTGTCATGGGATTGATGGTAGATAGTAGTTGTGTTGAATTGATTTGCGTACCTCGCTCTCAAATCGACCCAAGCACAGATCACAAGACGGGCATTCTTAAATGACAATACGTTTTCAGCTTTAAGCTCTACAGGTAGCAAGGCTGAGGCTATTCAACTATTTTATTATGCAGAACGGTCAAATGTGAGAACAGAGGTGAGTACTTGGACCGACATAGGCATTGGCGAATTGAGTAAAGCTCCATATAATTGCTTTTACAGTTAAGTTTTCAGCATAGCTATTGTGGGGGTCATACTATAACATCCATCTACTCTACTGCGTATGGAGTTATGGCTGAGAAAGCTTTCAGCCACTCGTGGCATATGACATCATACCTCGCGGTCTTGATACCCGGAACATAGCTATCCCGGAGCCCAGATAACAATATAGCCCTTCAATTGATAAGTGCTAAGTATAGATACGTGCGCAAACGGTTGGAAAATCGCCTGAGGGAATCGGGTTTTAGAAAACATAAACGGCTAAAGCTCAAAGCCTCGACCATTCTGTGATGATTGTGGCGTCAATGGGGATGGTAAGTGCATACTGATATGGACTGAGGTCATGATCAGCAGTTGATCGACCAGGATTACGACAGGATGACCTTCAGAAGGGTGTTTGACTGCGTTTGAGAGGCTAATAATAGCCATTGATAACCTTCGAGGACTCGGAAGTAACGACTCACGAGCTACTCCTGTCACGGTTCATGAGAGCTTTGAGAAGGTATGCGAACCATGACGATTGGTGTGCAACCTGTTCCCGACATGTTGACATTCTTTCACTTTCAATAGGACAGTGAAGCTCGACGGTACACACGGTACGGACTCGAGGAGGACGTGCACAGCCTGTCAAATCCATCACTAGTAGTCTAGAATAGTGCTGCCTGATTGGACATGCTCTCCATGTTGTAATTCCACTGGCGGCTGAAGAACCCAGCACTTTCCTTGAGATATGCTGAACCAAGGTCCCCGAAAGCCAATGACCTCAGCCATGCGCTGCGCAAAACCTGTTGGGGACGAAGAAGCTCCGTGGGATGAATACGTGGAAAAGCGGGATGGCGTCATAGGGCGGCCCCACCAGCCACAGAGCAGCGCGAGCGCCACACGCGCCCCACATCCAAGACGGTATGATCTAATCAAGTATCCTTTTAACAATGCCCTAGATTCACCTTATTCATGGCTACCCCAGACCAGCTACCATCATCCTACGTCATATGGATGTATAAACCGCCTCCAGGAACAAAGAAGAGAAGGTATATAAGCTACTACTCAACCCAGCCTGACTGAGTTTGATCAGAGATACCCCAACAGACTACAATCATCTTGACAATACTCCAACACAACACAACATCACAGCGGACACTCGTCTTTCAATCCCAATACCATTACCAAATCACACACAATGTCTGGAATGTTGCACAAAGTTAAGGAGGCTGTTACTGGCCATCACGACTCGACCTCCAACACCACCCATACCAGCACCGGCACCACCGAGAACTACAAATCCTCCAACCACGGCCCTCACAGCTCCAACATCGCCAACAAGCTTGACCCTCGTGTCGATAGCGACCGTGGTAAGTCAATTTTAGCTCTTCAACATAGCTGTATTTCCATAGAAGACTGACCGCCTTTTCATAGACAACCGTGCTGGTCATCACACTACTACAACTACTGGCCCCGGTGGCACGGCTACCACCCACTCCAGCACCCATGGTCCTCAGCAAGCTCCCGTTGGCGCTGCTGGCGGCGTAGATGCTCCATTCGGCACAACTGGACATACTGGTTCCCACTCTACCAATGCTGGCCCCCACAGCTCCAACATCGCCAATAAAGTTGATCCCCGCGTCGACTCCGACAGAGACAACCGCGCTCGTCACGAAGCTCTGGGCGGTGCTCATGGCCCTCATTCGTCCAACATGGCCAACAAGGTCGACCCCCTTGTTGACAGTGACCGAGGTAAGTGACTTCTCTCTCTCCCACGGGATTATCATATATCTAGACTAAAACATCATCAGACAACCGCGCCGCCGGTCTTGGAGCTACTGGCACCATGGGTACTCCTGGTGCCTACACCTCTGGAGCCAACCACGGTTACGGCACTGGCACTGGCACTGGCACTGGCGCTGGTATTGGCACTGGCACTGGTATTGGCACTGGCACTGGTATTGGCACTGGCACCGGCCTTGGCCACCATGGTACTACTACCTCCACCGCTGGTCCTCACAGTTCCAACCTCGCCAACAAGGCCGATCCCCGTGTTGATTCCGACATGGACAACCGTGCCCGCCACCAGGGTCTTGCCAGCAGCAGCTACAACACCCCTGGCGGTAGCGCCACTGCGGGGCCCCATAGTTCCAACCTTGCCAACAAGCTTGACCCTCGCGTCGACTCCGACTTGGATAACCGCCACAACGTTGGTACCCAGCGCCATATCTAAGATGGTAGCACGGGCTTTGTCACGAGAGATGTTTATGATTCGAGCGAAATAGTACCCTTCCTGTCCCTTTCGAGATAAATTTGCTCTGGCGACGTTTTCATGTGATGTACTTTTATTCAAGTTGCTATGATCGTAATATGATCAACATTGATATGATATCTAATGCACCTCCACTCAAACTCGTAGTAATTCTTAGTGAAATGAGTATGCGACAGACCAGTATCCAGGGATGGGATGTAGACTATGGATCATCCCTAAATGGAGTTCAGGAAATGTCTTGGCTCTGAAATTACCAACAGCACTATACTGCACGAGGAGCAGTGCCGTGGCGTGTCTAGTGACCGTTGTACGAAAACGAATGGCCACGCCTAGGCCGTGTGATAGCATTGCTGCTGTCAGATTCCCCACCATCACCTGGTCCCACTGGTTCTGAGCTCGGCGCTTATATTGTCCAATCCAAACAACGATACCACCAATGGGGCACTGTTGGTAAGCATAAGGGGACTGGGATGGATGATTCCATTGATGGGCATTATCCCGAAGTCCCCTCTTAGCTGCAGTGAGCACGTAGTATTTGCTGCATGAGGCACAGTGGAACGCAGAGCAATCACATATGTGATCGTCTAATTCTAAGCACACTTTCCTAGGTGGGTACCACCAAGTGCTTTCTGATTGTCCACTGCGAAAATCATTTCTTACTTCGAGACTTGGGCTACAGGTGGTGGCTTTGCCATATCATTTACCTCCTACTGTTATCTATGGTTTACTCTATTTTATTACTGGGCGGCATCATAGGTTGAGACGAGGGCGAATCTTGAGCTGCCTGTTTCTACCCGTGTCGTTACTAACTCATCAGCTTGCCTTTAAAGGCAGCGTAGTACAGTACATAGTTCCCGAGCCCGTATCTCAACTAAAATCATGAATGTAGACAGCAAGCCTCATTCTTAACAAACCCGGACCCCGTAGTTACGTAGTCTGTAAGTTACACACATGAGCAAATCCGAGCCAAAACAACAGCGATACAACCGGGGCACGAACAGCCCTAAGTGTAACAAGGCCCATGCAAGAAACTGGCCCTCAAAAGTGGATATTGCACTCACCAGAACTTCCTATTCCTCAGCGGGTGGCGCGGGAACACCCTTCACGGGGATCCTGATAGCTCCGTCGTCCCGCTTCTCCGGCTCAGGGACACCCTTTACGGGAATACGGATGGCACCGTCACCGCGTTTCTCAGGTTCCGGAACACCCTTCACGGGGATTCTGATCGAGCCGTCGTCTGGTGAGCGGGCAGACAGAGGGATCGCCGATGCGAAGGCGGCGAAGATAGTGATGCCTTGGAGGATAGTAGAAGAGAGCTTCATTGTGTTCGCCCCGAGAGATATAGCAATGGTAAATGACTTGGAGAGAAATGGAGATCGGGTTGGAGACTTTCAAGGAATAGCGAGGACTATGTATATACTCTAGCTTTCGCCGTCCCAGTATCCGATATCCCTGTTTAGCGTAGTTACTCGGATGGAAATCCGGACCTTCCGGGCCTCTTCGTGCAGCGAGTCTGGCGGAACTGCTGTATGTCTTAGATGAATCAGAGATTATTCTCAATGCCCCTCCTTCTTGGAAAATGAGGGGTAGTACTGTAGAATGGTACAATCCCTGATAGGCATAGCCTTTGAGAAGAATGTGATCCAGTATGCCTGTGATAATGTACCTTTACCAAAAAGGATATACGTACACTTGTACTAGGTGGGAACTAGTAAATAATCTCACAAAGAGGATATGCATGCATCTCAAAAAGGAGCTTGTATAGCGACCAAGACCAGATATACTGAGACGCAAATGCGGGTGTACGAAAAAGGGATATGTTCTTGTACCAAAATGGATGCGGCGCAGATAGAGTACAGATTCTGGGCTCATCTAAACCAATAATGACGTGCTCCATACCTCTTCTAGCGCGTATCTCTAATTCCAAATATATTGTTAGGGTGGGATTGACAAGGATCTCGGACTCATGAATGGTGGATGATAAAACCAACGGGCGAGTCATCGAGAGTAACGGAAGAGAGCGCTTACGATGCCAAAGAGGGAAAGGAGGATGCACTGCACAGAGGGGAAGCCCTTCTGTCCGGTTTGGCTTATCTGTCGGCTGATGTCGGTGTGGAGTACGGTTCTCTACTGTTGCAGTCCGGAGGAAGTAGCCTGTAGAGCAGTGTGTCTTTAAAACAGATCGGGCGTTCTTTGCCTTCGCCTTCTTTCTTGGTTGTATAGGAACTTTGAGACATATCGGAAAATCCCCATACTTCATTCCTCTTCAGCGAAGACTGTGGCATTGGAAAATGGGCTTCGAGTACGAAAGGTAATAAGCCCTCAACAGCTGCATATTCAAATGCTTATGTCCTAGAAAAGGATCGACAGCAACGGCTCAGATCCTGAGCTCTCCACATCCAAAGATGCCCACGAGGACGAGACCTTGTTGCAAAGTAGCAATAAAGAACAACCCAAAGCTAGTCAAAATATCTTCGTCAGAGGAATCAAGCGACTACTATCATCTCCTAAAACTCGTATCGCTCGAGATGTCCTCATCGGCCTGCTCGCTCTATGGGGTTTAATCAGCATCGCTCACAGTATCGCGCTTGCAGCACGCCGTCACGCGCCACGAAAGCACTGTTATTGCGGCAACTCCACGGCGGAAGCGATGTCCCTTGGCTGCAAATTTGACTCGCTAGCAGCAGCCTGGTTGCCCCCCTACTGCCGCGATGACGAATTAACAGCCGAGTTCGAGAGATCGGGCCCTGGGCCGAATGGAAGCTGGGATTATTTTGCCGACGACTATCACAAGATACCTATGACCATCAAGGAGGTCGCGGCCCTTGGAGATAACCAGAGTGCGAAGGTGATGATGACACGGGAGTGGCATGTGGTACATTGTCTTTTCTACTGGAGAAAGCAGTTCCGGGTGCGGTTTAGGGAGGCGCAAGGCGGCATTATAGAGCCGAGCTTTGATAGCGAGACTCATATTAATCATTGTATTTCGGTTATCTTGGAGGATAGTTGGGGGACTGAGGCGAGGATTGCGCTGGATTCTTGAGCATCATTTATCTTGAGTCGGATAGCGAGACTAGCGATAGCCAAGTCACATCGGATTGATGCAGTAGGTATTCGCATGCTATGGGGGTGGAGAACGAAGACCCAAGGTGTTTTTTTCTTACTTTTGCATATCTCTAGACAGGGTAGTCCTATGAGAACAGGAATATAAACTAGTCCGTGAATATAAAAATGATTCCAAAAGTTGAATTGGAAGTTTCCCTCACAACCTGGCCGCGTCTCACACCTTGCACACCTTGCACACCTCCGTCAACATTCAAGTACCATCCAATCAGTCTCTCCAAACCTTGAACCGTAACTCGCCTAATGTAAAACCCCTATCTCAATGCCAACAATCGTCTATCTGTACACTGTACCCCCCGTAAAGTCCCGTCCACAGGGCCTATTCTATGACCATCTTTCGGGGACGGCGTTGAATCCACCACTCTACAAACACCAGGTTCGGAATCCAACAAGTAAAAGCTGTCGCAGTGAGCGCACCGGCCGCCGAATTTCCCAGGAAGATATACAAGGGCAGTTGCCAGCGGAGCATGACCGCCGCATAAGTGAGGGCGAAATTGCGCAGCATCCATTCTTGATGCGCCACCCACTTCCTCTCTCTGGCGGCCTGCAGCCCGAATGCGGCCGTCACCAGCCATACAATGGCCAGGACAGCGAAACCGTAGTCGCCAACTGGATAGGCGAGCGAATCCAAAGACACGGACAGGCCTCCGATTCCGCCGGCTGCGATGGCCGCCACGTAGACACGGCCCACCCATCTGTGGACAATTTTGGGCTGTTTGTTGTATAGAATGAGGAACTGGAACGGGCCCGTGGCCATCGATACTAGACCGCCAATGATGTGAGACCAACCAGAGAGGCTGGAGAGAATACGTTGTTTCACCAGGGGGTTTCCTGGTGGGGTGCCGACGATGAAATAGAATGCGTACGCGGCGGTTAGAATAGCAGCAACGGCCATGATCCGCCACTGACGAGAGGGAAGAGAAGTAGTGACACGCTGTTGCTGGGAGGCTTGATAGTCTCTGCTGGCCGCGTTATCAGGCACATCATGATTGACCTTATGTGGAGGACGATATCGCAACACGGAGGTATGGGAGGCGGCAGGTTGAGCAGTCTCGTAAGTGGACACCGTCGATGATGCTGGTTTCAGATCGATGGATGGCATTGTGAACTGACAGAGCTCATATGATTGAGGGATTCAAGAAAAATGGCCTCAATTTGAGGTGGATTATTTAAACTAATTCCGGCTGAGCAGAGCTTGACTTCGGGTTCCGACAGCGGCGGCACTCCGGGTTCCGTCTTCGTTGCAGTGGATTCGATCATATTTTCGCCATGCATATCTGCATAACTCGTCCACCGCTACTGGACGTTCAATTACGGCACCCGACGCAGCCGTACCCATGATCTTTTGCGGCTGTTGTACTATCCGGCGATTTTACACTATGAGGGCTGAATAGAATCGTATCACGGCTGAAGCAAGGGGACTAAAAGTTTCGGGTCTTGGTCCAATACCTGGAGGCTGGGAAGCCGACCTCTGATATCAGAGATTGCCCGAAGCCGCGCGAGAAGTTCAACGCCAGGATTCCTTCCAAGTAATAGTGCGAGTCTGCAGGAACTCATTGAATCCGTCACTTCCACCAAACCGACCATACCCACTCTTCTTCCATCCACCATGAGGCAGTGTCAGTTCATCGTGTACCGTCATCGAGTTGATATGAACAGCTCTGTTCCCATACAACACTCATGTCAGCAGAGAAACAATCAACGGGTGGGTGATCGAGCAATGACGAACCCTGACTCAATGGATCGTGCAATATTCATCCAACGGGCCCAGTTTCCCGTAAATACGGCTCCTGTCAACCCATATTCCGTATCATTGGCAAGAGTAATAGCATCTTCGTCCGTGTCGACAACTGTGAGCGTCGCAATAGGACCGAATGACTCTGTAGCGTACAGGTCGGCACTTTCAGGGATATTTTCAAGGATGAAAACGGGCATGGCTGAGAGAGCAGGCTGAATGGAGTTCACGTCGCCGACAAGTGCGGTGGCTCCCTTGGCGAGTGCATCAGAAACAAGGCCGTGGCATCGATTCACGGCCTCTGGTGCGACCAGGGTGATCGTATCCGTTCCGTACATCTCCGCTGCGGTGCGCTTGAGAACAGAGCGGAAGCGATCAATGACAGATCGCTGCACGATAATGCGCTCGGATGACATGCAAATTTGTCCGGACTGATCAATGTGAGACGGTGCCCGAGGGAGGAATATAGAGGGGAAGGACGCACATTCATAAAAGCCCCCAAAACACAGTTCCTAGCCGCATCTTCCAAGTCCGCGTCATCGAGAATAATCACTGGCGCTTTCCCGCCCAACTCTAGTAGAACGGGTTTGATATATCGTGCAGCAGTAGCAGCCAGGAGGCTGCCAACGTGTGTGCTCCCCGTGAAGGTAATCTTTCCAACAGCAGGGTCTGCAATGAGCTTCTCTGTCACCACGGAAGCATCCTGCCGGCGATGAAAGAGTGTATTCAAGCAGCCTGCGGGCAGACCAGCTTGGCGATAAATATCCGTAATTGCCCAAAAACATTTTGGAGAGAGTTCCGAGCCTTTGAGGATCACCGAGTTTCCGGCTGCCAGAGGTAGAGCGATTGCCCGGTTGGCGAGATGAAATGGTGCATTCCTGGTTGTTATGCATCGGTTAGCCCTCTGGCACAAAGCTTGTGACAGGGGAGGAAGGAAAGGTTACCATGGCACAACAGACAGTATAACCCCATACGGGACCTTCTCAATAAGGCTGCGCCAGCCGGGTCTAGTACCGTCGGAGACACATTTTCGATCGTTGTGACCCGTCCAGCAACGCCGCGGAGGAAGTCCACCGTCCCGGACAAGGCCATCTCTGCAAAAGAACGTGCCGCGCCGGTTTCCTCCATCTGGTAGCCCAGCAGCTCTTCCTTTCGGGAGTGCAGCAAGTCGGCAGCTTTGAACAGCAATTTCTGCCGATCGTACGCCGTCCAGCCCTTCCATTTTAGATATGCAAGCCGTGCGGATGTGGTGGCCTTGTCCACATCCTGAAGGGATGCGCTACTGCATTCGTACAGCTTCTCTCCCGTTCCCGGATTCGTGACTGGGAAGGTCGTGGAAGTTTGGATGTCCTCATTGTTGATGACGAGTGGAATAACCTGGCGAGTAGCGGAAGACATCGTGTAGGGCTCCCTGCGTTCGATGATACCTCAGGCTGGCAACCACGCTGATGGGTCCTTTGTATGCACCATGGAACCCGATTCAATCGAGTGTTCGGTCCCCCTCATCGATCTGGTTCAACGGGCTAACCGAGGCAGAGTGAAAGACCGATGAGTGGCCCGTTCCGTATCACATCGGGTTCCGATATGAGTCCCATTGTCATGTCTATAACCCAGCGACAATCATCCAGTCTCGCTGCTACCATTTCCAATACGATCAGCGCACCTCCACAAGTGATCTCCACAATCAGCACAATCATGGCTCACTCCAGTTTGAGAGGCGAGCCCGTCTATACGAATGGGGTCAAGGTAGGAGACCGGATCGAGTTCCCCAAGACCCCTGCATTCAGCAACTTCGCCGCTCCAGCCCGGTTCGAGGGTCAGATCATGGAGCTCGAGGTCGAGGGGACCATCCCCGGCGCCGTGGAGGGAACGTATTACCACGTCTCGATGGACCATCGCTTCCCACCCAAGTTCCAAGACGACATTCTCTTCAATGGTGACGGCTGCGTAGCGGCATTCCGCATCAGCGAAGGCCACTGTGACTGGAAGCGACGGTTTGTTCAGACAGACCGCTACCATGTCGAGACTGCTGCCCGCAAGAGTCTTTTTGGGCGGTACCGAAACCCGTATACGGACGATGAATCCGTGCAGGGCGTCATCCGGACAGCTGCAAATACAAACGTGGTCTTCTGGCGCGGCGTAATCCTGGCTTGTAAAGAGGACGGACCACCCTTTGCGTTAGACCCGGAGACGTTGGAGACGATCGGCCGGTATGACTTCGACGGCCAGGTCCTTGCGCCGACCTTTACGGCACACCCGAAGATCGACCCCAAGACGCAGTCAATGCTCACCTTCGCATACGAGGCCGGTGGTAATGGCAATGATGGGTCGAGGGAGATTGCTTTCTACGAGATCGACGCAGATGGTCGGAAGACGGAGGAGGTCTGGTTCGAGGCCCCTTACTGCGGTTTTATCCATGATTTTGGCTTTACCGACAACTTTATTATCCTGCCTCTCACCCCGCTTAAAATGGATCTCGACCGACTGAAGAAGGGTGGTGCCCACTGGGCCTGGGATCCGTCCGAGTACCATTATTTCGGGATCGCTCCTCGCCATGGGGCCAAGAAGGAGGATATGGTCTGGATCCGCCACCCGAATGCCTTCCAGGGCCATGTCGCCGGCCACTACGAGAAGGACGGGAAGTTGATCTTCGACCTGACCATGGCCAACGGCAACCTGTTCTGGTGGTTCCCCCCCGAGGGGAAAGACCCTGAGCCGCCGAGCGCTCGCAGCGCCGTGTCCTCACCTATGACGCGGTATATCTTCGACATCAAAGATATGTACAACATCACTGAGATCATGCCTGCGTTCCAATGCCCGACTTCGGCTGAGTTTTCCCGAATCGACGATCGGTTTCTAGGCCAGTACTACAAGAATTTCTGGGTCTTGGGGATCGATATGGCAAGATCGTACGATTTAGAGAGATGCGGACTTACTCCTTCCGGCCGTTTTAACCTCCTCGTGCACTACAATTGGGAGACCGCGAAGGAAACCATCTTCTGGCCTGGCCCTACCACTGTGTTCCAAGAACCCTGTTTTGTGCCAGAGTCAGACGATGCCCCGGAAGGAGAAGGGTACCTGGTTGTCGTGGTGAATCGGATGGACGTTAAGTTGAACGAACTATGGATTTTCGAGGCCCAGGCAATTCAAAAGGGCCCTATTGCGAAGGTCAAATTGCCCCTTCGGCCTGGAGTTGCGTTTCATGGGAACTTCGTCGACGCTCGTGATATCAAGGAATTTGCACGGCGAAGAGCTGCTGGAGGGGATCTCGGCCCAGCCACTGCGGCTCGACAGCCTCTTCCATGGCAAACTCTTGCTGGCCAGCCGTAGTGGATATATGAAGGGGATCTGCTTGCACGATTTCGGACACATTCACCCTATCTATTACAAGGCAGATGCATCTCATATCTCTAACCACGAATGAATAATATTTCTTTTTGTTGAACCACTGACCATACCACTTCGTAGTCACTGGTTAACCGAGAGACTAGCAAGACCATTCTGGTACCTGGTACAAAGAATGCTTAACCTGCAGGGTAGTCTTGCCACGGAATAAACATTTGGCTATCTTACGTGTTTCATGTATCCCATGGAGAGCAGTAATGCAGAAGATTAATCGGTCACTTTTCTAGATTTTGTATTAAACCCCAACGGGGATTGCAGAGTTGGTGATTCGACTATTCTTACCCTAGTAGTGGTTGCTATACGTATATGAGGAGATTTTGCTAAAAGATAGGTGGCACTAAATTGACTATATAACAATAGTTGGACCTGCCCGAGCAGCTTCAATCGACCGAATCTGCCGATTCTCATCCAACAAATAGAGGATGATATACTCCCCACGGAGCTTCTGTCCAATCTTGACTGGAGGCATGCTGAGGTAACCCTGTATTCAACCATCCAAATAGTTAGTTATTTTCAGATGAATGACGGCGATGCGAATCCCCAGTGAAGCGGCACTACTTACATCATTGAGATCATGCAGGGGGCTGAACTCTGCAGTTGCGCGAATTGCGAATCCCTCCTCACTGAGGATGATGTTGCTGGCAACTACCGTTTCAGTGACGTTCTGCCGCTGAACATGAAACCAATCCACAATACTCTTGGGAGACTTGATCTGGATTTCCTTGTTGAGGACCATCGTTATGTTCGGGGAGTAGAACGAAGAGAAGTTTTCATAGTCAGTGTTGCTGAAGAACTGGAGGTATTGGGCGACATCATCTTTGGAGTCAATGGATCGTGACATGTTTGTTAGGTTGGGAATGATGGGGAGGCTCGTGAATGGGCTCGTTTGAGGTCGAGAAGAAGGAACTAAGTAGAGGGGTTTCTTATTAGGGCTGTAGATTCCCAGGTCAGTGGGCATATGGGATTTATTTATCCTCCTCACTTCCCCGGTCATATCTAGGCCTATAGGTTACAGTCTATATCTTCGGGTTCCGAAAATCAACCGAGGTTATCAGTTTGTAAATGACTTGAATTCCATGTAGGTAACATACGCCCCACCACGAAGAAGGCTGTAGGTAAAAAAGTTTACAGTTAGACATTCAGACGTGATTGAGAATAAATCTCGAATGGCGCTCCCACAGCTGCCGCTTTGATCTGCAACGCGATGAAGCGAGAGTAATAGCGTGCTACGGCCAGAGTACCACCATGAAACCAGAGAGTGGGATCTACACGGTTAAATCCAATTTATCAAAAAAAAAGCTCACTAGGCCACCGGTGTAAAAGAGGTAAGGGAAAACTTACGACCACATAATTTGAAGGCACCCCGGACTTCCCCCTCATCATCAAAGCCCCAGAAATCCTCCAGCTTGTCGACAATCGCGGAACCGAAGACATCCTTCATCTGGACTTTCAAGTTGCTTTGGAACCCAGTGGCGAATACAATCACGTCTGCGTCGAGTTGTGTCCCGTCGTTGAATAAAAGGCCGGTCTCAGTATAACTCACTGGCAGTGCGTCGGATTTAACCTTGATCTATTCCAAAAATAGGGTGAGCTGGAGCCATCCAGATAGGAAGGGGGAGAGAGACATACAAGACCACGGGCAATTTTCTCCGAACACCCGACATCCATGTAGTGCCCCCCAAACCGTTCAAAGAGCTGGTAAACGATATCACCGTAACGGATGGTCCTGAATCCAGCCCGCTCAAGTGCATCAAACCGCTCCGGCTCTTGTTGAGCAGCCGCGTGGAGCACCTTTTGGTTGATGAGCCGGCTCACGGCAAATGGTTGGGAGCTTCCAACCATGTCGGCCAAATCAGTCGGGGTCGAAGCGTTATATGTTCCTGGCGAGGTTAGTAAGGTAAGCTCCGTTTACCTTGAAGTAGGAGTGATGCGTACGATTTAGAATCTTCGTGTAGTATTCCGCGGGCAAGACGTCTATTTGTGACATGCTTGAGCGCTTGTGCCTATACATCTATAGGACTCGGTGTTTTCTGGAGTAAACGAACTTACACGTAGGAGACCTCTGTAGCATTGTCACAGACGCCAACTTTGCGTCTACCATATCCTCTGCGACGTCATGGCCTGCAGGATGTTAGGGGGTTGCGATGATCCTCTTCGGTTCCAGATCAAGGGCTTGTACCGGTATTTGCAGTGCCAATAACTACACCCTTGAGCCCGGTCCATTCTTTTGAATCGGCATATGCTCCAGAATGAACGGTGATCCCTTGGAATTTGTCCTACAGTGGTGTGTAAGCAGGACAATAAACCGACTCGGGAGGAACGTATGAGGTTAAACAAAAGGGACCATAGGAGCAACACACTCGATTCGAATAAGTGGGGATAAATGGCTGCTGGCATCCAGCTCCAATGGCGACCACCAGAAATCGACTGCGTAAGATCAACTCCTGGTTCGAATGTTCCAGTGCCAGGCTCCAGAGCTGTTCCTGTTCATCCCATGATGCCGAAACGAGCTTGGTAGATAGCCATATATCCTATGGATCCAGGGTTAATTTGAATAGCAGATATTAGCGTGTCCAGCCAACGTACGATCCCAAACCTGGCGGTCCATTCTCGATATCCACCCGCTAGATCATCCTTTGTTAGGAACTCTGGATATCTATCTCCAGGGAATGTGCGGTCGAACGGGAGATGGGCTATCTAGTGTAAGCACGAACACAAGATGTCTGACATCTGGAGTCCTGCAGATGCTTGTAGTTATCATACCGTATTCTCTCGTTGTATGCACTAAAAATGCTTAGCAAGGTGATGCGCAGTATGAATTGGAAGGGGCGATAAATACGTTTCGCGGAATTATACCGAGATTTCCAGTTCTGCCCTACCTCGGCATTCTGTTCAACCACGACGCAGCGAACGCCTAACGCTTTGAGTCTCCCCGCTGTACTCAGACCGGCTTGGCCAGCTCCTATCACGGCACATTCGATCGTCGTAGAAAATGGGGAAGTTGCCTGATACATGGTAGGATCCGCAGGTTCCAAGAAATCCACATTTCTTTCCCCGGATAGTTGGTCGAGTACCGTACGAATCGCCCATATTTTCCACTCACCGTTGGTGTTGGGAACAAGAGATAGAATCGCAATACACGAAGAGGCAGGAACCGCATCGGTCTGAAACGAGTAGAAAGTGTCTACCCACTGTGTATCGCTCTCAATTCGGACCACGCGGCAGAGCTCCGGTTTCGCTTTGAAGGAGTGGGCGCGGGCCCTGGAGATATTGTCCTTCCAGGCCAGTAAGACATTCGAGGTATAGAAGGTACGAAGCGTGCCGGTTAACGCTAGCAAATCCCTCCATACCGGCTTCGCGGCGAGGTCATCATGCATCAAAATCGGTAGCCGACTCTCGAATTGAATGGCGATTGCTGCAGGATTGACAGAGCTCTCCACAGTGCTCTGTGGTAGCTCACATGGGAGTTCTTCCAGTCTTGACATTGTTGTATTAGTTTTCGATGTGACTCACGAGCCATAGCCTGAAGCCGTGGCGTATAAAGCCACACAAGCTGACACTACCCAACCTGTCCCATGTGTAGTGGGCCGCGAGCGGGTTCCGACGCCCAACCTGTCCCTTGAATAGAGGAAAAGGGGCGGGCTACGAGGCCCACTTTTGAGGGCTTGGCCCGACCGAGGGAAATCACCACCAGAGAAATCCTTGCCATCGGGTGCCGCGGGTGTTAGGGACTCCTTGGACAAGTGGTCACGGAAGACATCTTGTTCCGAGTCAAAGTATATAACCATGTAGAGGCTTGCCGGGGCTATGGAGTGAGATACAATTCCACAGAAAGCTCATCCCTCATCCCGCTGAGCACGAGTAGCAGATCTCACGACCAACCGCGAAATGGCATACATTCCTCTCGGAACAAAAGCGATTCGCTCGCTCAAGGACTTTGAAGACTATATCGAAGGCTTCAACACGGATGATTTCGAACGTTACTGTGCCTACTATTCTAAGGATGTCGAGGTAAATCAAAGATCCCAGCATGGATTCTTATTAGGAAACTTGCTCAACACCAAGATGTTCAGATGAGATTAAAAGCCCTGAAAGATCAGACTTTCATGGGATACTACACCTGGGTCAGACCGCTCCATGAGAAGGTCAACGAGACGCTTGTTCTCCAAAAGGTTGCGCTTGATGTCGACGGGGGATATGTGGCTGCTGAGTATTATACTCAGTTCTATGGCAAGTCTGGATTCCAGTCGGAGAATTTTCTGGGCAGATGGGGCCCTATATCTGAGACCTCTGGTCCTGTGGTGAAGATGGTGGCCTGGTATAAGCTGGATGCAAGCGGCAATATCTGCGCGCTCGAGGTGGATTCGAATCTCCTCCATGCGGCCCCAGGGACTTCGGAGAGAGCCAATGTTCATTAGATGTAGTAGCTAGGCTTTCAGTTCAGAGAGCCTGTCAAGCACCATAAGATCAGTTGATGGAGACTCCCCGGTTCCCAAAGTGGAGGTTTCCAGGGCCGACGCCGTGTGCAGTTTACTTCGCAGCCCTCGGCCTCTAAAAAGCCTCCTCTGCCCGTTCTTGCTCCTTCCTTGGAGACCTATAGAAAGATTAAAGTAATGTCTATATATTCTTCTTGATTCCTACTTCCTCTGCGTACACGTTGTCTCGTCTTAGGTATACGCAGTCAAACAGTAGAGACGCAGCTCTTCAGTTTAAGTCAGTATTAAAGTGACCTGGAATGTGATTATGTGTACCTAGAGACACTATCGTATCAGAGATGCCGTGATCCCTGTATGGTATCATGATAGAACAGGGTACATTAACATGCAATGGATATATCGAAGGGGTGGAGGAGAATTACATCATGATCTACATTTCCTTGTGTTCTGTGTGGTTCAAGCTACAATAATGCGGGGAGTCACATGATTGCTCGGGTTCCGACTGGAATCGCCTCTGCAGAATATCACACAATCTCAAGCATGCGAACGCATTTCGTAGACCATACCATCGTTACAACCCCTACAGCCCTTACGTCCCTTATGGCCCTTACCACGCCTACAGCACGCCCAGCACTGTCAGTCCAATCAACAAAAGTAACACCCGGACAACAACAACCATCCCTTGTGGGTGCCATATCCAATGCCCCCGGAGCCACGAAAACGACAGTTGCTCAGCTGTGATACTTGTCGCTCCAGTAAGACACGAGTACGATTTGTTGGAGGCCGAAGAATCCAAGAGATACCGTTCTAATTGGACATGGCTAGTGTATCCGACTCAGCCTCGATGAGAGCTGTGAACGATGCAGCCGAGTGGGTCACCGTTGTAGGACAACTGGAGAAAAGTCTGGGCGACCGTATTATCAGACCTCCAAAGAACAGTACGAATTGATGACAGCGATCGTCCGACATTTTTTCCCGGAGACCTCGCTGGATACGGAGGGCTTACGAGACGTCGTTGCAAACCTGAACCACCAACCGGCCCCCAGCCAGGAGAGGAGTCAACTTCAAATTCCCCCTACAGACCATGATGACTCGGTCCCCGACGCGCAATTGACGCCAGTCACTTTGACTCAAGATGACCACCGGTCACCAGACTCGCCGAGAGCACACAATGATACTGAAGCTCAACCTGAAGGTAAGAGCCTTGATCCCTTCGGACTTCACGTACTGCACAAGCGACAACCCTCTCTCGTCTTCAACATGATAAACATTTATCCCACACGTCTTATGGATCATGTTGACATCTCTGTTGCACAGCTTATTCTAGACCCCGGTCCAACTGGGCCAGCTTTTATATACAGATTCGATCCAGACTGGCAGATTCGCGCCGAGAATTTCACTGTATCCAGTATGCAATGACATATAACCCCGAACAACACGCATCGCTACTCGGATGTCTTGATGGGCTTCCAACTCGTCAAGAGGCGGAGCAGGTCATGTTGAAGTTCTTCACAGAAATCAACTGTGTTACTTACATTTTAAATATTGACCAAATGCGCGGTTATCTAGATCTTCTCTATACACGACGCTCTAACCCTAGAACCGTGGAAGTTACCATTACATATCTGGTACTATTTTTAGGAACCGACAAAGCCGGGTATTTGGAAAAAGCTATGGCTCTATATGAGCGGGCATCCGAGGAAGATGGGCTCGAACCGGTTCAGGCTGCAATGCTAATGGTTTGAAACCCTTACATCTCTTCTCCTCCCCACCCCGGTTAATTGAAAATGAGTAGGCTTTCAGTCAGCAACGATCGGGCCGCCGTGTTAGTGCATGGTTAGCTGCCGGCAACGCCATCCGCCTCGCATTTGCCCTGGGCCTTCATCACGATGAATCGATAATCCCGGAAGCCTCCCTCTTCGAGGTTGAAAACCGGCGGCGGACTCTGTGGTCTCTCATCGAGGTCGAGAGTTTGTTATCTGGTTCCCTTGGAAAGGCCCCTTTTGTGGAGGCCCAGTTGATCAAGTCTCCATTACCATCTACGACGGTAGGGTTCCTCTATCATCTCACACAGTTTCATTCAAGACTAAAGATAAACTTACACCACCTGCAGGTCTTGTGCTTTGATCCTGCTAGCCCCCCAGGCTATGCTGCGGTGTCGTCGCATCTTGGAAGCATCGCAAATAAAGTAATGCACCACGTCTCTATGGAGACGAGACGTTGTAATCAAGCCAATTCTGGATGCGATCTGCTGTTAGAACAGCTCCACAGCTGGATGGCTTTATGCCCTCGCCATCTTCTAGTCACCGCTTCCACACCACCGCAACATCTTCGCGCACTATATCTCCTTGCTATTCGCTACAATTATCTCATTCTTCTTCTTACACGCCAACATCTTCTCTTGCATACTCCACCCTCTCATCCTCCATGTGAAGTCTCGGCCTCCCTAAGTGAGTGCGACCGCGCAAATAAAGAGTGCATTAAACTACTCCAAGAGATGGCTCGACACCAACTTATATGTGTGAACGTCTGGCTTGATCATCTTTACATTCTCTCCACCGGTCTGATTCTACTCCTACGCGGACTCAGGGACCCCTCCTTGCAGCTTATAAGCGAGGTAGAGGCATTTCTGCCGATTATATCCATGGTTATAGGTACCGAGATGGGAAGCCATGGTCTCCAGTCCATGCAGATGCTGTTGCAGGATCTGAAGAATTTGAACGTGCCACGCTTGTAAGTGTTATAGAGCTCACACATTGCATCTGTGAAGGCTAAACCTGGTTCCAGGAACGGCGAGCATGGTGATACAACACACCGTCACGTATCCGATAGTCAGTTTGACGCCGCTTTGGCGAGTCTCGTCAATGATGTGTGGCCGATGGACTTGTTGCTGCAGGCAAGCGGTCTGGATTAGGGGCTGGACAGTATAATGCGGAGCAACTACTCGCTTCTCAAGCTCCTGACACCGTTTCAGGTGTCGGACTCGCCTTTTTTATAATAGTTCCGAATGTTAGCCTGTATAAAAGTCAACGCGTGGAACGTGTATCTATTCAAACAGCCACCATATCATCAAAATGATCTACATCTTGCCAAAAAGTTAATATGTATCTCCACAAAGACCTTGACTCACTATCTTCGCGTGTAGAAAACAGATAAAAATTAAAGAAAGAAGTAGACAAGGTGATACTCACAGGATCTACTGATCCTGGCAGTGCCTCAATCATTAGAGGCACCAGATTATGCTCCACTAATATAACTAAATTGTCATTTCCAGGTTCGTATAAGGACGAGGTGTCTTACACACCTCGATCGATAGATTCAATCGAACAGACCGGGTTTTGGCGGATGGTGATTGCTTCCAAGTTCAATCGGGTGAACGGAGGAGTAATGAATTATGGCATGTGGTTCGCATACTGCGTAGGACCTTGACTGCCGCGGTCTAGTCAAATAGCAATCTAGTACGGAGTACTTCGAGTCGTAATCTCCACTAGCTCCGGCGTGACGGGTTCCGTATAGTCCTGGGATCGGAACCCAGTTCGGAATGCGGGCAGTGTCTTAACATTGGCACATATTGAATTGTCACCGTCTTGATTCCTGCTTGGACCACATGCCCAAGAAGTATTGCACAATGAGGAAGTCCGAATTTATTTTCAAAAATGACCCGAGTGGGCAACCGATTAGATGTGATGTGTTTGATTCTCATCCTGAGCAGCACCAAGGCCAACGGCCACTGGGTAAGTGTAGCCCGCCATCAACCGTGACACCAAACTGTAAATAGAGAAGGAAAACCGCTAATGTAGCTATCACCTTCTTGATAGCTCTTATGATCCATGGCGGCGGCTTCGTGATAGGGTCCAAGGCTTTAATTCCTCCCTTTCAGATCGGAAAATTAGTCGATGAAGGCTTTGTTGTCGTTTGCCCAGACTATCGACTGTGTCCAACAATCAATGTGCATGATGGCCCCCTGGCCGACGTGAGAGATGCATATAGCTGGATTCAGGAGGAACTTCCACGTCTCGTCCCCGACGTGCTGATCGACCGTCAGCGAATTGTCGCGATAGGGTATTCCGCTGGGGGTACCCTGGCGTTGTTACTAGTCAGTTGAGACGGCTCTCCCCTCGCCCGTCATGAATGTATACATAAATAAAAGGACTGACGAGCGTACCCGGAGTATTTGCATCTTCCAAGGCAACTATGCCCATACCCCCCATTGCCATTGTCGACTTCTACGCTCCGCTCGACTTACTCCATCCATTCTGGCATAGCCCCCTTCCCATGTTAGCCAAGTTGCCAGAATTCGATACTGAGTTCCTCTCTACCATCTACAACCAGGATCCCCCACCCTCTGCCACCCTCTTCTCCTTAGAGAATGGAGATAAATCAGCAAACACCGGCCTCCTGCCCTTCGACTTCTCGCAGGTCCGAAATGCATGGCTTTTCCACTCGCTAAAGCATGGGTCTCACATGAAAGCCGTGGTAGGGGATGGTGACTATACGCGAGTGGATCCATTGAGACTTCTAAGTCCGTCCTTTCCGCCCACCTGCTTCGTACATGGGACGGCGGACACGATGGTCGATGTACAGTTCTCGGAGCAGGCCTTCAGTACGTTGAAGACACTAGGGGTGGCGACAGAGATCCACATTGCAAACGGCGAGAATCATGGGTTTGATAAGAGGGTTGATGAAACGCATGCGAGCTACCTGCCAGTCGCAGCGGCGATTCGTTTTGCTGTGGATTATGCGTACGCGCGCCGATAGACTACATACTGGCGAGAGGGAATTGAATAAAACCTGCTCGAAGCATCTTATGTGACTCACGTGGCAACTTAAGGAATAATAAGGGCATTGCTGTGAAAGGCAAGGCTAGGACTATTCTCTGAGATGATTCAGTAATATTTGCAGGGCCTAATATGGGCCATGCTCTTAAAGAATGTATTCATAAGCACTAACGAACATGTTGCCCTAGTGTCGCATCTAGAAGCTAGTTGAGTGGCTAGGGGAGGGGCGGGAATGCCTTCAAGCAAAGACTATGAGCGAATTTGACTTGCCCCAGTGAGTTTGTGCGTGCCTGTCTCACCCAAAATATGGTCTCCACCACTTAGAATTTGGATTTTGGAGTAGTCCATGAACTTGACATAGCACATGAAGAAATGCCCAACAAACCACGCTTAGAAGATTCAGTGCAATAGCGCAGCACTAGATCACCTTGGGTCATTACCACTAGTACCTTAGTCTCTATTTTACTTCATAGCCCCCGTACACTTGTATGCTGGGATAGACAAGTGTTTATCAGAAAACTAGTGAACTATACACAGGAACTATGCGCCATTTTCTCCAAACCCTCACAGTCCAGTGATATCAAAACAGCCGAAGAGATTATGCTTATCAATAGTTATCACACCAGCTAGCATCTGTCAGTGAAAAATCACTCAATAGTCTGTGAAATACTTACGTTGGCTGAACGTCCTTTCCCGTGGATCATTCATACCAGGACTCTGCTCTCTTGGTGGGGTCTTTTGGCAAAGACAAGTAATCAAGAAAGACCCCAAATCCCCAGTTTTGTAGTATTCACAGCTATGACAACCTCCATTTGTTATTCCTTGCCCACTAAGGATTGTCAGTTGTCGTCGGACGGAACTAACCGGCCGCAGCGAAGAACGATACATACTACTTTTGAGCGATTAGGGACCCTCCGTTCCGTGAATCCCACCCAAGACAAAAGTCCAAAGCAATTGTTGTATGGCGTCCGCCGCACTGTCCCGATAAGTATGGTTTTGGAGACCCTGGTCTTGGGCTGCGTCGTCGGGGACTGCGTAGTGTAGGCGTTCCTGGTGATCCTGGCGTCCATGGTCCTCCTGGCGTCGGTGGTGTCCCTGTCTGTGGTGATCCTGGCATCCATGGTGATCCCGGCGTCTGTGGTCCTCCTGGTGTTTGTGGCGATCCTGGCGTCCATTCTAATCCTGGTGTCTGTGGCGATCCTGGCGTCCAAGGTCCTCCTGGTGTCTGTGGTGTCCCTGGTGCTTCCGAGAGTTGGAGATTCACAGTGCCAGGCGTTCCCTGTCTCATTTGTGGTCTGACTACTATCGTATCTTGGGAACCGATTGAAGATCCCCGGTCAGAATAAGATTGATAGGGGGGCTGCTGGTTGGAGGGAGGAACCGTGCGGCGGTCGTCGTTGATTATCTTAAGCGAATTGCATCTTACGTGGATATCCTCTGTATCGAATTTCTTTGGATCAGGCTGGGGTAGGCCTTGGCTAGAAGCTAAGGCTGAGAGGTGCAAAAGCACAATCAAAATCAAATACATTTTTCAGGGTAAAGAACGAAAAATGGAAGCCAAACCAACAGGGGAAAAATACCATGGGAATCATCCTTCCCGGGACCCGCGCATGCTATTTATGAAATCAGATATAGTATCATTATATTAATAGATAGGAGGAGCACCCCACTCGACGCTTGCGTCTTTTCCCTCGGATACTATCATAAATGAAGATCTGCCTCTCTTCTTTGTCCAACCGCCCTGGGGCGCTGGGCAACGGTTTAGTGTCCAAGAAATACTCAAGTGCGATGGAACGCCAAGAAGAGTCCAAGGCTCAAACAATGGATCACTATCCTAAAAGGTAACGTTACATAGCAGGGGAAGATATAGGATGGCGTAATTCTCTTTGTCGGGGCGTGGTCGGGTGTATGAACAGGCTTCATAGAGCTATCAAAACGCACCCTCTAGTTATAGTACCGACTTTATAGTTCAGTAACACCTAAGTAACTTTACCAAAGTGAGTAGCATGTTACATAAATCGGAAACTCGCTAGGTATGTGGTTGTCACTGTACACGTACGTAGTACATATCAAGCGCCGTTGCACAAAGAGCAACCTTTTCAAACCCTTACTTCTCTCTTGAACTGTGGTTATAGTACATTCCGTTAATCCAACTTATCAATGCCTGGACCGTCTAAGTAATATAGTTCTCGGTTGGCTGTACCCTCTCCTCACCATCAGACGTGCTTATCTTATTCTCCTTCGGCAGCCGTCCATAACCTCGTCTAACACGGGTAGCTTCTAACCGACTAATTGCCCTTCTTCCCGGTTGAGCCCGCTCTTGCTGCCACCACCCTCGCGACAACAGGAAGGGGCCAGGCCAGGTGTTCTGTGGAGTCCTTGCGCACTTCTCCAGATGTCAAGAGGTCGATAATCGCAACAGCAATATAGCCGCCAATGGCAGTGAAGACGTGCCACCTGTACTCTTACTGTCAGCGGTGCGAGTAGTAGAGCGAGGACAAGAATGTTAAAGTATGTGCATACCATCCATGCAATTCGAACAAAAACGCCAAAGGCAAACCAACAGCTTGCCTTGTGCTGGTCAGAATCCGACAGGCCCAATCATCAATCAACCACACCAGGTAACCGAAGATGAAACTCGCTGGAATGGGTCAACAGTTGCCCAAAGGTCTCGCTGGTCGAACGACTTACCGCATCCAAAGAGCGCCACGCTTTGAAAGTTCTTCCGGGTTACCGGATCGGGGATTTGTCGCGGAATAATCTTGAGCGTACGTGTCGCGATCAAATAGACTGCCGTGCCGAAGGTGACAGCGTGGAGAAGGAATTCATCCATCACCATGTGGACGACCATCACGACGGTGAATAGAATAGAGAGAATAATGCCCACCATGCGGGTGTGCTCCGGGCTGGTCTGGAAAGAGAGGATGCGATACAGGAGGGGCGTTGTCAACAGATGCATGGACAATTCATCCGCTGGGGGTTCAGCCACGTGAGAAACACTATCGGAGCAATGGAGGATATGGAGCGACACATACACATTTGGGTGTGATATTTCAGGGTCATATGGTAGCCGGCCGAGCAGACTCCTACTCCCATCAACCCGAAATACGGAATCGAGCGGGAACCGGCGTGCGGCTTCTGACGGAGCTTGGATAGGCCATAGATCCCATAAACAACTGGAGAAAGAGGTCAATTACAGGCTTTACGGCTAGGCCTTGACGAACGCACTGTATACGAAGCTGCTCAGGGTATTGATAAACTCCGCGATGTACCGGGTGATTACATAGTCCTATGAAGAACCGGCGGTTAGACCGGTTTTACTGGGATTGCTTTGCAGTACGTACTTCTTCGCAAAAGCTGGAATTGATGATAAGTCACTGGCACTCTCGACACATCACAATGAAATTCAAAACATACTTGAGGTAAGAGGTTTGGGGGCCCCAGAACGGTGCCAGGGTTGAGTGCTCCATCGTGGAAAAGTATGTTGACGAGTTGGAAGTTGCGGAACGAAGGGGCGAAATAAGTGGAACTTGGTTGCAGTCGGAGATAACTGGATTTAATGGATTTAATGGATTAAATTATTTATCCGAGACCCACCAGAGATATGACCCGCTTTAGCCAGGGAGAATGGAATGAGATGCGCATCTTGGTACGTGGGAAGAGCCATGAGGAGGTAGCACCTTTATCTACTATCATCATTCATATATAAGAAGTTGGTTAATGTTAGGGTAGGTAGCATGTCAGCTGATCACGGTGGAGACGATCGTCAATCCATCATGTAGGTCGGTTATGGCCCCTCTTAGGGACTTTGATGCTGGTCAACGTTGTACTCTTGCCCTATGTTAGCAGACAAACGTTTGGGAGATACTTCAATAACAGCCTTGGGAGCATAACCAGCAATTTCAAAATTCGAGACGAACCCTTCGGCCGTTGGGAGGTGGATCTATGTATCTCACGAATATTAACTGGGTGCAAGAACACGATCAAAGCGATGAAACCGAGAGAAGTCAACGGGCAACTAGTGGATGTTGTCTCCTGTGACCTCCTAACGAACAATTGTGCTGATAATTGTTGGCCTTTCACAATGAGCAAGTGAAAGTTCTAAACCGAGCATGAAACTGCTTAAATGGAACGATGAGGGCCCGGGAGGTAGAAGTAGAGAGAGGTGTTTGGATTCACTCCTGCTTAGAATAGAGGGAAATGGGTATTCTTAGAAACTTGTCAGGGAACGTTGTCGCTAAAATGCCGATCTTACCTGCTGCTGGCGTTGTTCGCCGTTGTTCCTGCTACGGAGTGGGTCCCGCCCCTTCGTAAAGATGTAGCGTCAGACGCCGGGTGAGATGATCCAACAGCTACCTCAAATTTGCCGAGGGGCTTTGGTGATCTTGACAGGAAAGCTTAGTTAGTGCTTATTGCTTATTCGCAGGGCGCAGTCTCGCGTGTAAGCATGTCCATTCTTCTGTCGCGGCACAATTCCCACGTGGTATCTTTCTATGTCTCATCGCTCTTCTACTCGGATTGGAACGTTATTTTCCGATTCTGGTTGTAAGTTCTGAGGAAGATACCAAGCTTGTCTCGGCGCATTCGGGGCAAGCTCTTGGACTGTGAGTAATTATAACAGATAGTACTATACTAGACTGTGTACAACTGTAGCTTCGCAGTGAAACGTAGCATGATACTCAGCTCCACATAAACGTGAGATACTAAGTGCCTTTCACGCGAAAAGCAATCCTAGCCCCCAAGAACCGGCGCAGCTAGCTAAGCTGCCCAACATGTTGGAAAGTACAATGACCGCGAAGTGTCAGAGTGATGGCTATGTTCGCGGCAGCACGAACCTCGTAGCTCGAACATTCTCGTAGAGTATGGCTTGATACACCAATTAGTCTGCTCAGACTGAGAGCCCTAGCCCCAGAGATCCCTTGACTTGCTACATTCTATAACCGCCAAGAATAAGCTGACAGGGGACAGGGGCGAAACATCTTATTGAGATAGACTATCATGCAAGGTGAGATTCTGCAATCCAAAATTAACATGGCCAGTATACAGAATCTCACATTGCAGGACATACAACGTTCATTGACTCTGGAAGAAGTACAATCTTCATACATCCTGCAAGGCACGAAAAGTCTATATAAGGACCTTAATCGTCGTCTCTAATCACATCTTCATCAGCACAACAACACAACAACACAACACAACAAAGCAAACAACGCTACAGCACTACAGCCTCCAAACAACAACAACAACACCACCATTCAAACAATCTCTTTAAACCAACTCTTCTACTTCACTATCAAAATGCAGTTCCTCATTGTCGCCGCTTCTTTCCTCGCTGTTGCCACCGCCATCCCGGCTTCCAACGGCATCTCTGCCACCAACATCCAGAGCGCTGCTGATATCAACAACATCGCCTCTGCCTGGACCAAGGCCAAGGAAGATGATGGATGCAGCTGGCTCGGTAAGTAACTCTTGAAGGCTTCACTAAGACACCTAACTGACTCTTTCCAAAGCTTGCATCAGCTCCGTCGTTGGACAGAGCGCCACTTGCGCCGCTGCCGCTGCCGAGCTTGCTCTCAGTAAGACTCTTTGCATCCAATACCTTGGGATTCTTCACTGACTGGATACTCTAGACCCCATTGCCGATGTTGCCTGTGTCGCAGGACTTGGCACCATGACTGTAAGTTTTACATCATTCTTCTATCCAATGATGATTCCATACTAATCATGGAACAGGTTGCTTGCAAGCCTTGTGTCTAAGCTACTGCTGGTCAGTGCTTTGGCAATGCCACCATCAAGCTAAGGGAGAGGATTGTGAAGGGGGACGTACAGAACGATGGGAAAACAATTATATCAATTTGCTGTTTATTTTCCTTTGTTTGCTACTTAGACCATCTGCTTTTCAATTTCCTTGTCTATTTCCTTATATATCTGCATGTATGTTTGTTTGTTGACTCTCTTGTTTGCATATCAATTGAAGAATTTCAGGCCTGAAACACTCATTACAACCGTAGCTGATTGAGCTTAGAGTAAAATATGCAAAGTAACCAAAAGAATCAGTTTAATCGTGGAATGTTTGGCGTTCTTCTCTATATTTATATACTGATGGTTTGGCACAGTATCAGTGTGTTGATGAATCAGCGTGATGTATCTATAAAATTGAGATTCCAACTCTGTAGACTATGTGCAGATTCCTTCATGCTTATAAATAGCGTCAAGATATGTACTCATTGAAAGCCCGCTTTTAATACGATCTCTATTCAACCTTTCAATGATCCCATGGCAAATCGAATAACAATCGGTTGAACTGTCATGCCTCGCTCGAGCCATTTGCCGAAAAAACCTCGAACCCTCTAAGAAACAGCGCTACTATCCACATAGTTTATATTGTAAGTACCTTTCCACATATAATACTACGTATAAAACCCCCCAAAAATATTAGAAAAATAGTCCACTGCAATAAATATTATTAGTAGTTTTTAAGAAAATGTCGAGAGGCTTTTGCGTGGATTCCAAATCCAAAATAAACTAACCGATCGAAAAGTTGCTGTGGAAATATATATACACATCGAATAGCATCCCTACCACACACGAACTATTATACGCAGTTGCCACGTAGGCATTATTGATAGCTTTAAAATTCTCAGAAAATTCCCAAAGATACAAGAGCCATCCGGATATTATTCAAAAATTTCTATAAGATTTTATATTCGATCGTTAGCAAGTTAGGGGACTCTGCTGCTCTACAATCTAGAAGAGACCGATTCGACCGAAAGGCTGTCCCCCAGGGGGTTGAACCCCAAATATTATTAACCATCGTCGGCCCTAAGCCCTAAGCCAACCTAGCCTATATAAGCCTACGTAGTATAGACTCTTTTCAATTCTTGGCGCCAAGTTTGAAGTGGACGCTTGCTAGGTAATCTCTCATTAGTGCTACGCCCCTCGAAACGGGTGGAGTGACCGAGTGTGATTCAATCGGTCACGTCGCCTGATGCTATGATTCCATTGTGAGCAATACAGCTCTTTCCTGGCTAGTAACAGATAAACGAAGGCTGAAAATGAGAAAGGAAAGGAAAGAAAGAAAGAAAATTTAAGACAAGGAAAATGGTAGGAAAAAGGGGACATTCAAATACCAGGAAAACCAGAAGACCTGGAGGATTGGGTTGAGATGATTATCCTAAGCTAAGACCTACCTGCGAATAAAACCTGCCATTGATCCTCTATCCATGACTGGTGTGTCAGCACTATGCATAAACATGAACGGACTTCAGAGGGAAATTATTCCAGGCTGGAATGGCAGGGATGCTGAAATGTCAATGCGACCCTGCCCCCGTTTCGGAGATTGACATGAGAGCCCATGTGAGATTAATCTATTGTTTCGATTATACCCCTCAACCAGAGCCTGGGTGACCCAAAACGGGAAACGTACAGATGATATAGAGCTTCCTATTTGTCAATTCGTGTAGAGCATAATTCAAGTGGCTTGAAATAACCGACATACAAGGTTTAGCGGTTGGAAATGTGTAAGGAAGCGACTGCGTCCTTTCAGTTTCAATTATTTAATATCGCTGCCGATCATGTATAATAAAGGTTAGGCCTAGAGTCTGGGATCGGGATTTACTTCAAAAAGCCCTATACTGGGCCAAATATAAGTGATGAGTAACCCATATGAAAGAATAAAATTACTTCGGAGGGCCATGCATATTGGTGCATTCCTTGTGGATCTACTGGATAAGCCGTTGTAGATGGCCTTGCCAGGATTGATAAAGACGGACTCTGCCCCGACCGCAAGGTTTCATCGTCCACACTGGATCCCTGATACCATGCGTCAATCTAAGAGTACTCTCTCCAGGGATAGACTCCCCAGTCGGTTTAACTATCGAGTTGGGTTACAATAGGTCTCAATGTGGGACGAAAGCGGAGGGAGTGCACAGAGGGCTTCTTCCTTGTTGTTGATTTTTTGTACGACAGGGAATCTTCTTGAACACCTGAAATCATCTATCTTCCTCCGCTACAGACTCCTGTACTTATATGTGTCTCAAACTCTGACTTGGAGCGTTTTTTAATTGAATCAAGCCCCCTTCGTATATGCATATTTGCAAGTTGCAGCTCTTCATTTCGGAGCCACTGGAACTGCTTCCATCGCCATGACGTCCTATGACTTGAAGCAATTAACACGTCCCCGGTCATATGAGCTTGAGGAACGCTCATCATATCAAAATGCGGATGACATCCATTTGACCCGTTTAGGAAAGCGTCCAGTCTTGAAGCGAAACTTTGGGGTGATGTCGATGCTGGGATTCAGCTGCACCATTCTGATCACATGGGAGTCTGTAACGACGTAGGGTTCTACCACATCACCTGCCTTTTGTGGTTCTATCAGCTGAAAGATCGTGCCCTGAATAGGCTATTTCTCCAAAATTTCCAAAAGTAAATGAGATCCTGTCTATCAAGCTACAGCCCAGACTGATCAAAAGTTAGCGGTGGTCCTGCTGGCAGTGTCTATGGGTACATATTCGTCTGGGTTGGTATCGCTGCGACATTTGTAGTAATCTCGGAGCTTGTGTCGATGTAAGGAGTTATGGAATGACATTAGAGAAACATCCTGCTAAAGGAGAACCGATCAGGGCACCAACATCAGGAGGACAGTACCACTGGTGCTCAATGCTCGCACCTCAATCCGCAATGAGAATTTTCAGCTACATCACAGGTGAGTGGAATTGTGGATGGTCACGAAATTATTTCTACGCGAATCAGTGGCTTTAACTAAAGATACCCCAAGGCTGGCTTACGGTAATCGGCTGGCAGGCAACTTATGCGACCGTCTGCTACCTGGGTGGCAACTATATCGAGACGCTGGTGACGCTCACTAATCCATCCTACGAGCCTAAAATATGGCGGCAGGTGTTGATCGGTTATGCGATTGCACTTTTCGGTTTCATCATCAACATTGCTGGAGGAAAGGTATTGCCGCGATTTGAAGGTGCAATTCTAGTCCTCCATATTTTGGGCTTCTTTGCTATTCTGTAAGTAGAAATCCCCCACCCCATCAATAAGTCAGGCTTTCTGCTTATCCAGGAAGAATTCCGATGGTCTACATGGCCAACCATAATACCGCCGAGCTAGTTTTCACCCAGTTTCTGAATGAAGGTCAATGGCCCTCTCAGGGTCTTTCGTTCTTTGTTGGCCTGATTGGACCTGTCTTTGCTTTTGCAGGGGGTGATGCTGCAGTACATGTACGAACAGGGTCTAAACATCGACGGATCCGAGAGTTAACACGTTCCAGCTATCTGAAGAAATCACTAATGCCACAGTGGCTGTGCCCTTGTCGTTAATGCTCACGGTGCTAATCAATGGCACCCTTGGCTTCAGCATGCTAATCGCATTGCTCTTTTGCGTCGAGGATATCACGGGAGCTCTCGAGGCCCGAGTCCCCTTCCTGACTATATTCCACCAGGCCACGGGGTCGGTAGCGGGCACGGCCGCTGCAGGCGCCATTATCGTTGCAATGGGTAGTTGCTCCTCGGCCGGTATGCTGGCCTCGACATCACGGCAATTCTGGTCCTTTGCGCGTGACCGGGGTATCCCTGGATGGCGAGTGTGGACGAAGGTCACTGCTCGTACCGCAATTCCAGCATACGCAGTCACACTAACCACCGCCATTACCTGGCTTCTGAGCCTTATTGGTATTGGCTCTGACCTGGCATTCAATGACTTGATGTCCTTATCCACCTCGGGCTTGTTCTCATCATATCTGGTTGTGGCCGGCCTTTTGCTCTGGCGACGCTGTACGGGTGGAATCAGTGGGTCCACGAGTGAACATACTATGATCAATACAGCCGGAGCCAGCTTGTCTGGGGTCCTTTTCATGTCCCGGGGGTTTGGGGCATCCTGATCAACATCTTTGCCGTGGTCTTTATGACCATTGCAGTCTTCTTCAGCTTCTGGCCACCCATGAATAATGTATCGGCCGAATCAATGAACTACAGTGTCGTGGGGATTGGGGGTGTTATTCTGTTGAGTCTGTTCTATTATCTTGTCCGAGCGAGGAAGGTATACAAGGGACCCGTGGTGGAGCTTCAAATCGGTCGATAGTTGTACTCGACGTGTCAATGATGATATCATAACCAAAGAAACTGGTTCGTACGGATCTAATTTCCGTAGAGGGGAGCGGAAATGTGAACCGCCTTGCGTCTTTCTATTCACCTCATCGGGGTTTCTTTCGCTCTCCTAGTCATAGCTACGGATCATTCTATAGCTAGCTACACGTGAACCCTAGTTGAGTTGATGAGCGGTCGAGAACCGGAAAAACAAAATGAAAAAAAGAATTGGATACACGGTTTTCCACGTACGAGAGAAAAGGTAACATACATGAAATATATCGATGCAAGCTTTAAGCAGATGTATCATGCTCGAACGCGTTGTTGAATTACTATTAGTAATAGGTATGTACGGAGTGTGCTCGTAGTGTTTGGTGTGATATATCAATCCCTGTTCTGGGATGATGTAGCCAATATGTTTGGAATGATTTATTCGTCACTGCATCCCCAGACCGCCCCGTGCGCACGGTCCATTGCTGGTCTGCTTTTGAGTAAAGAAAAGAGCACTCGGGATTGTGTGCCGAGTGCTGACGGAACCACGGAGTTAAGGTGATTTGATGACACGACCATCCTTGCCATATACGACGAGAAGACGTCTATGAATATCGGCCGTAGGGCGCGAGTTCGGTCCTCTGGCCAATGATAGACGATAGGGCAAGTCGAGGGCCCCTCCCTGATGGCTGCCTTGGCAGATTACCTGGATGTAATGCTCGCTATATAACCAACATGATTTCCACCGTGGTTCTTCGGTGTGGCATCAGGAGGGTTTGCAACAGAGTGCATTCATTTGGCTAATTGCACAGACCATGGGAATGGACCCAGAGAACCAGTCGGAATGGGCCAAGCCAGATTGTGAACGACACATACCATTTTGGCGCCAAGTGGTAGATCAAGGGGCCATTACTCGGGATGTTCTGCATCACACTTACCCTGGATCAGGCACGGAAACAGATCCCTTCCTGGTCTCCTGGCTGCCGAATGATCCCAGAAACCCCATGCTCTTTACTACCTTCAAGAAAGTCAGCATTACGGTCGTCGTCTCTACAGCAACATTGGCCGTTGCCCTCGCTTCCTCAGCATATTCCGGATCAACGCCACAAGTGATGGAAGGGTTGGGTGTCGGCACGGAAGTTGCAACGCTTGGACTATCGCTTTTTGTGATCGGCTTTGCACTCGGGCCACTGGTCTGGGCCCCGCTCAGCGAGTTCATTGGTCGACAATATCCTTTTATCGTCTCATTTGGCGCGATGACGGCCTTTCTGGCGGGATGTGCCGGTGCACAGAATATACAGACTTTGTTGGTCCTGCGTTTTCTAGCCGGCACCGCGGGATCATCGCCCCTGACGAACGCGGGGGGTGTGATTAGCGATATGTTTCGAGCTGAGCAACGGGGGCTGGCTCTATGCCTCTTTGCTGCAGCGCCCTTCATGGGGCCTGCCCTTGGACCGGTGATTGGCGGTTTTCTGGGCATGAATGCTGGATGGAAATGGGTGGAAGGCCTCCTGGCTGCCCTCTCAGGAGTCTTGTGGATTCTGATGACTTGCTTCGTTCCTGAAACCTACGCGCCGGTTCTTCTGCGCCAACGAGCAAAGCGTCTTTCACAGAAAACCGGCATGGTTTATCGATCAAAGCTGGACGTCGAGAATGAAGGCGCCGTGTCGTTGAAACGCATGTTTGCCACCTCGTTATTGCGACCGTGGGTCCTACTATTTCGAGAACCCATTGTATTTATGTTATCTATATACATTGCTATCATTTATGGCGCGCTCTTCATGATGTTCGCCGCGTTTCCTATTGTGTACCAACGTGGCCGGGGATGGAACCAAGGCGTGGGAGGACTCGCCTTCATGGGCATTGCCGTGGGTATGATTGTCGGAACGAGCTACGCAATTCCCGACAATAAGCGATACATGAGAACAGTCCAAAGACATGGAGGGTTCGCGCCTCCCGAGTCACGCCTGCCGCCGGTGATGTTATCTGCCGTGTGCATTCCTGTCAGCCTCTTCTGGTTCGCGTGGACCAACTCTCCCTCCATTCACTGGATGGCCAGTATAGCAGCCGGCGTTCCGTTCGGCGCTGGGATCGTTCTCTTATACCTAGGCATCATGGGCTATCTTATCGATTCATATACCATTTCCGCGGCATCGGTCTTGGCGGCTAATGCTGTGCTGCGATCTCTGTTTGGAGGAATATTTCCGCTCTTCACGACTTATATGTATGAAGGGTTAGGGATCCATTGGGCGTCCTCAATCCCCGCCTTTCTTACGGTCGCATGCATGCCTTTTCCATTTATTTTCTACCGGTATGGGAAAGCGATTCGCAAGCGATGTCCATATGCAGCGCAGTCGGAAGCATACATGCGCAAGTTACAGGAGGCGGCGCAACAAAGCGACCAGTAGAGTCGGCACTTGGACCTTATAGACCGGGACATTCCAGCCAATAGCCGAAATATGACGACGCCTGGGGAGAAAATGGGCACGGCCATGGCACTATCATAAATTAAAAGTCGGGGTTCCTGATCAACCCCACAGGAGTGAAGAAACGCCATGCGGGGCTCCGACACAGGAGACCAAATTATAGATTATAGACCACATTATAGATTATAGACCAACTTAGCGCAAGCCGATTGTCCTCTGATCGGCACATTCATAACCACTCGGGGTAATTTACCGTGAGAACCATCCTGAACTAGAACGGACGTCGTCTGATGCGTGCTCTCCCCACCGGAGAGCCAAGAACCGCAGGGAAGCTATAAATGCCCCCCCCCCGGGTCTTCGGTATAGAGCATGATGCGCAGGGACAACTAGCAAAAATGAACTGTGTGAAAGGCCTGGCTTGGGCCAGCTTGTTTTTGCAGGCCGCAGGGCTGGATGCAGATGCCATTACCGCTCAGTATTTCGGCAATGATGCACCGTGGTATCGCGACCGGATCCCGCTCTTCGAGTCCAGTGCGTCCGACATCCAGGATGTTTATTATTACCGGTGGAATATCTTCCGTGCCCACCAGCGTGATTTGGGTGCCGATGGGTACATCTCAACCGAGTTTCTGAATGATGTCAGCTGGCAGACTCAGCCCTCAGCGTTGCTGATTGATGCCGCGAATTTCCATCTGCGTGAAGGCCGTTGGTGCCGTGATCGTCGCTTTAAGAGCGATTATGCAAGCTTTCTCTATGGCCCGTACAGGAACCCGTACCAGTTCTCCGAGAGTATGGCCGACGGTGTGTGGCAGGGCTATCTGGTCGACGGAGTCGCAGACGATGCTACCACCCACTTGGATACCATGCAGGAGGTCTTCAAGGGATGGAATACCACCACCATGACAACGGGAGGATACGACACCTCTAAAGCCCTGTACTGGATACAACCACTCACCGATGCGACGGAGTACACGATTGCTAGCATCGACGCATCCGGCGGCGCGGATGGCTTCACAGGAGGGAATGCCTTCCGGCCCAGCATCAATAGCTACCAATATGCAAACGCGTTGGCCATTGCCAGCCTGGCGACCTTACTGGGCCAGGAGGATGTGTCCAACGAGTATCAGCAGCAGGCCACCGACATCAAGAACACCGTACAGGACACATTGTGGAATAGCACCTTCGAGCACTTCATCGATAGGTACAAAGTGGACAATGAGTATGTGACATACTGGGACTTCATTCGAGGCCGTGAGCTGGTGGGCTATGTTCCCTGGGCGCACGACCTGCCAGACGACACCGAGGATTTCGCTCAAGCATGGAAGCATCTCTTGGATAGCGAAAAGTTCGCGGGCGCGCACGGCCTACGCACCAACGAGCCGAGCTATGAATACTACATGAAACAATACCGTTATGAAGGCGATCAACGCGAGTGCCAGTGGAACGGACCTGCCTGGCCTTACCAGACCACCCAGGTCCTATCGGCCCTTGCTAACTTGCTCGACCACTACAACACGTCCGCTGCTGCCAACCTTGTGACAAAGACCGACTACACCAACCTGCTCCAACAGTATGCTCAATTACATTACAACCCCGATCAAGGTGGTGTCCTAAACCTGGAAGAAGACTATGATGCCGATACAGGCAGTCCGATCGTCGGATTAGCGCGCTCCCCGCACTACTTCCATTCTGGCTATGTTGACCTCGTCCTCTCCGGACTTGTTGGCATCCGTCCTCGCGCTGACGACGTGCTTGAGGTGAACCCGCTGGCGGACCCAGCAGTCGTGTCATACTTCCGCGCCGAGCGCATTCTCTACCATGGCCACGAGATCGCCGTCCAGTGGGATGCCAGTGGAGATCACTACGGCACCTCCGGGTTAGTGGTCGAGGTTGACGGCAAAGTTGTCTCCACGGCGCCAAGCTTGACCCGTATTACTACAAGCATCACCCGAGAAACTCCGCCGGCAATCAACCGCCCTATAGCTGTCTCCGTGCAACAGAATTCAACTCTATATCCCCTAGGCAGTGTCTCGGTCACCGATGCAGACACCGATGCCGTCCACGCCGCTATCGACGGTAGAGTGTGGTTCTTCCCAGAGTCTGACGTCGCCAACGGTTGGGATACACCCGCTGGAGATGGCAGCGAGCTATGGTACCAGATCAGCTTCGAATCCTCAACCCAGACTGCCAGCGCAGAGATTGCCTTTTTTGCTAATAGCACGCAAGGCTTTGATGCTCCTGAGACATACAGCATTCAGGTGAATATCTCCGGCGAGTGGTCGGAGGTGTCTGGTGCGAATTATAGTTCCCCGGTTGCGAACGGAATTACCCGGGCTACCTGGGACGGTGTCGACACGGACCAGATCCGACTTGTTTTTGTGCCACCAGAGGAGCAGAAGGTTCGACTGGTGGAGTTCAAGGTTTTCGGTGAGGTTGTCAGCGATAATTAGGTGTCCAGCTTGGTCTCGCTTTGTGTGTCCTCCTCTTCGTTAGCATATTATATGTCCTGTGTTTTAGTAATCTGTGTTTGTATCCATTGGTATTCTGAGAGAGCAAGATCCTGTATAATTTGTAGTTATTTGTATGCAGTACTTTTGTCTGGAGTCGAGTAGTCGCTTATAGATTGCCTTAATGGGCCATATCTCCAGGTGATAGCTGACTGTACTGGAGATGTAGCGTGGCTGTCAACTTCCCAAATGTTACTGCGTATATTCGGCCGGCCTATACAACCATAGAAAAACTTCCGGAAATCTTTCCTTTTGGTTAACGGCAAGCCGATAGTCCGTCATTGGTCTCTCTACAGGGTAAAGAATAACCCCGGATATTGGAAAGATGGCTACGATCAATGGTCCAGGCACGGTCTTGTCATCTGCCGTAAACTTCATCCGGCCCCATTACTGGACCAAGTGCGAGTCATGTTTCCATCACCCCAATGTCTGTGCTACATTTCATTGCAGTCTGCAGCATGATAAGACCAAAACCCATTCCCCGCTGTGGAGCTGGTACCCAGTGTTAGATTGTCAATCACTCAATTAGGGCATCATCGGGATGCCGAAACCCGACCGAAAACAGCCCAGGGCCGTGATATCAACTCGCATCAACTCCACAGCTCCACAGCTCCATCCTCGTAGCCCTAGCACATCTAGATCGCCATGTATAGTGCTAGTTTTTCGAATTAAACATCCGTCGAATGAACGGGATCTCTCGGCTTTGCTTGTGTTAAGCTTTGTGCCAAGTGATCTTTCCCTGGGACAGGCCTCGAGAGGCTGAACTACTTGCGGCAGGGAGCAAGGTGCCAGGATCATGTGCGACTGCTATCTATGATGAGGGTAGAATTGTAAATAGCTCCTATAGTTTTCTGGAGTTTATGTTCATGTGTAGATCATGATCTGCATTTGGTCTTGAATGCACCTTTTCTTGCTGCGTGGACTTGTCTACCTCCCTTGCAGTATTCGATATTAAAGTAAAGAACCACAGAAAATAGTTTAAACAGGCACCATGGCCACCTTCGTTCCATGCTTACTTGCCAATGTAAGTGCGAGACGTTCCTGCCACGGCTCCGGGTCCCGATTGGTGATCTCCTTGAACGACTGCACAATTCTTACGATCGTGTAAGAGGCCTCAGTCAGGGCGAACTGCTGTCCGAGGCAAATGCGAGGGCCCCCGTTAAAAGGTACAAAAGCCCAACCGGGTCGTATGGTCTCCCATCGTTCCGGCCGGAACTCCTCTGCGTCGGGGCCGAATATATCATGGCGTCGATGCATCACGTATACGTCGTAGGCGACTCTTTGGCCTTTGGCGACAAACACGGGCGATTTCCCGTCTGGTCCTCCGCCGACGGGGAGGAAGGTGTCTTCGTTCGCTGTGCGGCTGTTGGATGGGACCACGGGGTACAGGCGTAACGCTATAGGTTGTCAGTATTGTCAGGATCCGGGGAGTATTGCACAGTACTGCACATACTCTCATTAATGATCCAGGAGAGGTATTTCAACTGTTTCAGCTCCTCAAATGATGGGTATTTCCCGTCGAGTGTCGCCACCTCGCTCCGCAGGATTTCCCAGATATCGGGACGCCGTGCGAGGTGATAGAATACCATGCTTAGGAGACTGGCGGTCGTGTCTCTCCCTGCGAGGAGGATATTCAAGACCTGGTCGGTGATGTCGGTAGGATTGTCTGTTTCCTTGGCGAGCTCTTGGAGAAATACATATCGCGATGGTGAGTTAGTTGTATCGCCCGCATGTTTCTCGGCGTCAAGCGAGCGTCGGTATTCTATGGCTTTTTTCACAAAGTTACCGACATATGCTCTCGCTTCTCTGGCAGACTCCCTGAGCTGGGGTCTGAAAACCAGTCGGTCGAAAGGCGCGATAGCCACGCTGAAGGCTATTCCATCTTGGGCGACGTTGAAGTGGTAGGCAAAACTAGTCGATTCTGCGGAAGATCCAGGGCGTAGAGACTCAACAGACTCTCCGAACAGAAACTCGGTCGCTGTATCAAGTGTCTAGAGGATGTACTATTAGACATGGCACTGGGGCATTCTTAACGCGGGTATCCTTCCATACCAGCTTGAAAAAGAGGTCCTGAAGGTCCACCGTTGAACCATCTCGAGGAATCTGACTGATCAGCCTCTGAATGTGTCTCTCATATAAATCGGTCGCCGCGATCTGCGTCCGAGTGAAACTGGGTCTCAGCAGAGTCCGCGAATGTTCCCACTGTGGCCCATCGGATGCGAAAATACCATCGCCTAAGAGCGGATGGAACGTTCTCCGTCTTTTCTCCCCCAGGTCGAACTGCTTAACTTCACCGCCAGGATCGTTTTGATGTTTTCCGGCTCAACGGTGCATATGTTATCGTCACCCAGAACTGAGCTCGCGAAGGTGTTCCCATAACGTCGATATTTCTCTAACGCCCATTCCAGAAAGCAGTCCTCACGAAACACTCGAAGCATAGATCGCACTTCATCCAGACCCAGCACCGGATCTTTATGGTACTCTCGTGCGGGGGGCAAGCAACCGTGTAGTTGTTTGAATCGTCGCACTATGGAAGTGCTGGCATCAGCGGGGTCTTACATGGTCAGCGGGGCTGTACAAACCTTGGACGAGTCTAGCGATCTTGCGGGCAAGATAGAAGCCCGCAAGTAATAGGGAGAGATATGTAACAAAACCCAGGGAAACGGCCATGGTGAATCTCCTGGTTTCCGTGGATTTGGGTCGCACAATGTTGGACCCGGATTACCTAGAAGCAAGACAAGGCACCAGCGTTATATATCGACGATGGCTTACGTGCTGAGATAAGCTCCCCGTGGGGGCCCTTACATGGCGCAACTTGCATTCTCGTACGTATGAGAGCAGTGCGTGATGACGCTTACCCCCGACCTCCGAAGCGTTGTAGACCACCAAGAGCCAAGCCGGGATCTCCAGGATTACTTCCTTTTGGAATTATGGGGATTAAATGACTGGCTGTGTCCTTTTAAAGGTGGGGCTCAGAGGACCGGAGATCGGTACCTAACACATCTAGACACATCATCACAACCAATGTTGGTGGTTAAGATTCGACACTCAAGGTTGATGGTGGCGCAGGAGCGGGAAGTTGACGCCTAAGGCAATTAGGATGCACGATGACTGGTGGGATTCTGCCGGTGAAATCCTTCAACAGGCAGGCGGAGGCGGCTGGGAGCAGAGACGGTGAGGACTTGTGGGTTTTGTCCAAGGCCGAACCCCGACAGCAAAATGGACGCCTGAGGCATCGACGTGGAACAAGCAGCCGTGACATGAACGGTGTTCGTGGATCTACATCAATACACAATCACGATGTCTGCCTTCGACTTGATTCCCATAAAATATCCATTATATGTCGACAGCTCGGAGCTAACTAGGCCAATCCATATACAGATCACATATCGTGAAAGCCATTGCAGTAGGCAACTCTACGCCATGTCGAAGCGGAGCTTCGTGGTGAGTCGTAGTCTCGGGGTGTAGACCCAGCCAGCAAACGCCAGTACAGTGCCCAACCTCTCGGGCCGGGCCAGCCAGCTGATATCACGTCGCCGATATTATGTTGGAGGTGTCGGCATGATCCCACCAAAAGTAGAGGCATCGTCAGGAGAATCAAAGCCGGTCGAGATAACCGACCCGAACAACGTCCGCAGATCAATACCGGGCAACAGAGGGTCGCTACCAAAGTCGAAACTGGCATCCATTGCAGGATAGTATAGAAGGTCTGCTGGCTCACCGGCGCTCTCTGTGTGCTTGTACGGTTCGAGCTCCCCGCTGAGTTCAACATTAGGTCGATGATCATCCTAGATGGGTCCAATGGTCACCAGATTAGATCAATTAATGAGGAAGGTAGGTACTTACAGAAATGTTCCCTTCCATTACGACTGGCATTTGCGTGTCCCTCGCGGCGTCTGATCCTGTCCTGATATGACCACGGTAAGTTCTTTGCGTCGGGGTAAGCGGGGCCTCCATCATGTCTCCGGGACCGCGTCCACCGTTGACATCTTTGACGTGCTGTCGTGCTATATGGGCAAACTCCGAGACCAATGAGCAGGGTAATGAGCCATTTGATGCATGCTCGACAAGAGCGAAGTGCCCCGAAACAATATCAAGCATTGCCAAATTGGTCTTTGTCTCCGAGTGTGTGGGGTTGTGGACTACAAAGTCGAAAAGGATGAAGAGGGCTACAAGTGGCATTATGGCAAGGATACTGTATCAATTGTCAGATTTGGCAAAGGACCATAGAACGACGGAGGCTATTCACTTACAACAGTGGTGTATGGGGTGCCTTGTCAATATACTGAGTCAGCTCAATTATCCGTCGGGCAGAAGCCATCAAACTTCGTCTGCTGTGTTCTTGTCGCTCACTGTCGTCGGAGCCGATCTGCAAAGTGAGCCGCGCCAAAGCAATAGCCATACTGTGGTAGGAGTAGTGGGTCTGGAGAGCGACCGTTTTAGACACAGGATCGACGAAGGTCTGTGGAGGACAAGATTCTCCCGGTCGAAACCCGTCCGGCACGGTCAGTCGCCATTTCTCCAGGCGCCCCTGGACATAATCAATCATTGTGTGGTATGTTTCTGTGGAATTCTGAGTGGCACTAATGGAGAACAGAAGCTCATATGCTTGTGACGTTATCCTGGCAAACCGGATGCTGGACAAAAACCAGTTATAGCTCCCAAAGCTTGCCTCTGGTGTTTCTGGGATTGAACACCCTACGTTATAATCTGCGATCAACTATCGCAGCGTTAGAGCTGGTTCCTGCCTAGTGAATTGTAGGCTTACCGAGTTCTCCCTGTTTAGAAATGCTAACTGCTTTTCCATACCGTAGATGACCCAAAATGTTCGTAGACACCACACTTGCTGCTCGGTGCTGCAGATGGCTCGGTGATATCGGAGGGCATGCGCCATCCGCGCCGCTTCCATGATTAGAATTTCGTCAATCTGCAAACAACAGGTGTTCATGGCAAAGATGGACATAGCGGTCAACGCTTGTAGGTTAAGCAACGATTCTCGTGGCACGAGGATGTCGGCCATCAGACCTAGTGACATTTGGAAGAACTTCCATGCTTTGCCCTTTCCGGGGTCAAAGGATCCACCATCATGGTACTGACATCCCAATGCAAGTACTGCGTGATACAGAGCAGAGAATGCGGGAGTTGTTTCCAACGTCTGTGCGAGGTGCGTCGAGAACGCTGTCTCCTCGAAACTTTGTCGGTCAAGGAACGGGTACATGGGATGGATACGCATGAAGTAAACTATCAAGATGTTAGACTGGGTCTGGACATAAAGAATTCCTGGATCACAACCATCCACATAGACCCGCGTCAATTCCCCCGAGATACGTGTGGAGCTCAGTGGCTTTTTGAATGTAACCGGGGAAATGGATGTTGCTCCGCGTGCTGTAACACGGTCCTCAATGATTGCTTCAATACAATCGACTAATTCTTTCAGGCGAGAATTCCCCAGTTTCTGTGTCAGCGATTGGATCTTCATATCGGAAAAGAAAGCCAGATTCGAGCTGCACACTATAATTTCGGTCAGGTTTGTCTTCACAAAAAACAGCTTGTTGTTTGAGTCATGCCTTCATTTTCCTGCGACTACACGCTTAGGGCTCAGTTACGATCATGATATCCCGGTTGAAGATTTCTTACCCTTAGCACATGGATTTCATCTTGAGACACACCCCGGAGGGGTTGGCTATCCAATAGCTGGTCCACAAATAATGGTGCTAAGACTGGTTTAGTCTGTCCATCATTGTGTTCCCTGCTACCATGGGCCAGATTTAGTAGCGACGGCTCGCCTACTCCACCATTCATTAGACAGACTATCACGCGCCCGGCATGCTATGGAACCTACGGGCTGCTGTTTGGAGCCGAGACTTGAACCTGCGCCTGGCTTGTTTGAACTCACAACGTTCATCGCGCTTCTAGAAGCCAGGTGATCCGATTAGTACGTTTTAGCAGGGGCATAATGACTAGGATCCTGCCTACAATGCAATGCATGCATCTGGAAGGGTCCTCCGGGGAGGCTTCCACGGTGTCAGTTCTAGGTCTAGGTGTCGTAGAACTGGACAGAAGGCTCACCGATGCACCGTACTTTACGAGCCCTGCACGGTTCGCAGGACTTACAGACCCGGTTCTGATACATCATCGCCTGCTGGTTGGTTCACCTGTTACGCCTTTGACGAGAAGCAAAAGAGACTATTCGGTGCACCACTGAAGAATCACCGAGATATTCTTAAGGTCAAAAATGAGGAGTCCCGTCGGTAGCATTATGCCCAGAACAATTCGGTGTTCGAAGGTCAGCTTCTCGGCTCTCGGTGCTTGGCGGTGGGGACGCGAAAATCCTCGATTGGAAAGGCATCACTCCATTGACCGCCTCCTTGTTCCGCCTTCCTGTATAAGTGATTGACCGGCAGAATGGAGACAGTTATCGTTAGAATTGGGCTTTATCACTAGGACTTCAAGTCTGGCAGAAACCTCCTTGAGCGCGATTTCGATAGACTGCGAAGGGCCCCTATCTGACACCCTAATCACTGAAGCATAAAAAGTGATTTTCTAAATCAAAAAGCGTTATTCTTCTTTTCTTACTTTGTCCTTGTCGTATGGTGGGTGCCAACAACGTCATTGACAATACATATAGTTGGAATGAAAGCAGTCATTGATTCCATGGTATATTGCCTCCCCAAATTCCAAAGAAACTTCGCTAGAATTATTCTACCGAGGGAAACAGGGAAATGCACCCTTGAACATTACTCAGCGTCGTATACCGTCACTGCGTTCCGAATCTCACTCGATTCCATGGACAAGGCCAACTTACTTTTGCATGTCCGTCAACGCGATTTGCGGGACGCACTCTGGATCAACCACTCGCTTGTGACGATCGAACCTAACCGGGTCCGCGAGGCCTGGATTGAAGGTCCACTTGATCAGGCGATTAGTACCAAAGATAGCACATCCTGCTGTGACCTCTAGGATGTGTCGATCGTGAATCAGTCCACATGAATTCAAATCAGACATCTAGCCCTGGGACCCAGAAGCATTTGGCGTCGGGCCAAATTCCCACAGGCAAAGAACACCTTATGGGCCTAGACCAAGACGGATAGATATAAGTAGGTATGGCTCTCCCATCCTTTCAGATAGGGTTCAGGTTCCCCGATGTATCTTGGATCTCTGACCTAGCAAACTTTCACATTCAATAAAGCCCTCCAAAACCATCGACTCCTCTGACAATGCCCGTCGAGAACTACGGCGTATGGAAGGCAAAGCCTGTCCGCTTCACTTACGAAACCGATGCAGATGACCATGTGTCTCCTCATCTCTCGCTGTTCTTTACTACCAGTGACAATAGTCGGGGGGAAGGCCGCGCAGCAATCAACATCAAGTCTGGGGACAAAAGTGACTCTCGGTTAGTGTTTTGGTTGGTCAAAAACTTCGAGAACTTTCAAAATGAACGACTTCGGGAATTGAAACCCGGCTTTCATCAGCTGGAAGGCACCATGGAGCAAGCCCCCAACGGCCTCGCCTTGGACTATATTAGAGGTAATCTGTTCCACCGAGAAACAGGCAGACTCCTGCCCCATGACGTTCCTGGACCCGATAATGATATATTGGATGAACTGATCCCGGTGCTGGATAGTGCGGTCGACCACGACAGCGTGATTTACATGTTTGGATCGCATTTCAGCAATGGCAACGGGATCCACAATATTCACATGAACCAGGGAAGCCCGAGGAAGTGGAAAGGTGACAATGGGATCTATCAGGATGGGGGGATCCTGCTGGACTTTGGGGATTACTGGATGGGGGTATTCATCGGGTTCGCGTCTCAGGCCGTGCATACCGATGCCGAAGGTCAACCTACTCCTGCACGTGGGTATCTTAGCTGGAACGAGCTCTTAAACCCTGAAATCCCAGGGGAGCAACGACAAAGGCGCGATGTCCATGACCGGACCGTGACCATCAGCGAGGCCATGATCCGTCATCATGGTTCAGACCCGAAAACCAAATCCGACTCGATCGTCACTCTCACGAACCGCGCGGACGCGCCCGTGATCCTGAATGGCTGGAGCGTTCGGAATCACAAGGGCGAAAATGAATACCTGCCTGACGGTGCCGTCTTGCGTCGCAGGCGTCGCCAGAGTTTCCAGCTGCACAACTGTGCGCTTTCCGACGAGGGCGGTACAATCACGCTGCTGAATGAGCAGGGACTCAAGGTGGATGGTGTGCGATATACGGCCGCACAAACCAGACCTGGCCATGTTGTGTCATTTTAGGTCGACGGGTATGTAGGCAGATGCTATTTTCTTTAGTTTTCCTTGCTTTTATTTGATTTTGATTTTTATTTTTTTTGATTTTTATTTTTTGTTTTCTTCCCTGACATAGCAATATTGCATGGCTGTTGTTTGAGGCACAGAATGTAGGCCCGGTTGGTTTTTTTTTTTTTTTTTTTTTTTTCAGTGGACATGCTATAGTTGTATTAGCCTCATTGTTATAAATTATTATCTCAGATATGATCTTCCTTTGCTGCGAACACATTCGCCCTAAGGCTTAGCGTTCCTAGTACACTCAGGTTGCCGTGGTCTTCACTGAACCCCAAGCCAAGATGGTCCGATATGGAAATCCAACCATCCGAGAGATTATGTTCGGGATCCGCGGAATCCGGGGAGGGTTTTCCGTCCAGGAGCCACACATATAAGAAGTAATAGCAGACAACCTATAGGAGAAGAAGCGTAGTACTAATTATTATACGCGGGAGATCCGATTGGTGTGCCTGAACCCCCATCTTTACGCTCTCTCTATCAAGGCCGCATTAGTCGCGTCACCATGGTCCCGCACCGGTATTATCCCACCGGGATACATCTACCACACTTTGCCGCCAATGAGACTCCGGTTCTCTCCTTAATCGCCCAATTTGGCTTCCTATGGGCCGCAGTCTTGGGGATAGCCTTTCTCATCATACGACGGGTGCGACCGAAGGCAAGTCGGGCCGATCGATTGGCCTTTGTGTGGATGTGCTTGAGTAGGTTCCATGGCCCTCTTATTGAGATGTCCAACTAAAACAATCTATGTAGCGGGGTTCATTCACTTATTCTTTGAGTCCTATTTTGTCGTTCATCATGAGACCCTGGCCGGCTCACAGGAACTGTTCGGTCAGCTCTGGAAGGAGTACTCTCTGTCGGACTCCCGCTATCTGACTTCGGACGCATTCCTCGTCACTATGGAGGCCGTCACTGCTGTAAGTGACCTGGTTCTGCCAATGGCAATGAGCAGATGCTAACAGTCCCGCCAAACAGTTCTGCTGGGGGCCCCTGGCCTTCTTTATTGCCTACTGCATCGCAGTGCAGCATCCTGCACGTCATGCCCTCCAGCTACTGCTCTCCGTCGGCCAGGTGTACGGCGACGTCCTCTACTACGCCACGAGTCTGTTTGACCTTTACTTCCGCGGAGAAAGCTTCTGTCGGCCCGAGGGTTACTACTTCTGGTTTTATTACTTTTTCTTCAACTTCATCTGGATGGTTGTTGGCTCTTGTGAGTAGAGGTCCAGTGGGTGAACAGGATATGGCTGACTCCTCCTAGATTACGTGAAACAAAGTGTGGGGGAGATATACAGAGCGTGCAAGAAAGTGCAGGAGTTGGATTCATCGCGCAAAAGAAATTAATTCGGGGCGACGATATTTAATCCGTCGATCTTCTCCGGAACAGGAAGACCCTGTGGTTGGATCCGTGAAGAGTATACCCTAGAGTTTCTCCACCAAAAGGTTGTTCGGATTACTATGTATGATGGTAGATCATTTATCACCTTAGATTTCAGTGGCATAATGCATGTTTATTCGTTAGGTCTTGCCAATCTATTGGTTCTTCGAATATCCAAGCACCCGGACTCCGGAGAGTGCATAAAATGATGGACGGTTAATCGTCCCGCTTCAATCCTCCGGTCTTCTGCCGACAGAATCGGACAACATCCCCGGGGGATAGAGCACGTATAGGACGCTGGGAGATTCCGATCCCCAGCCGTCATGAGACGATCTGCTGGTCTGTCTTTCAGGGGAAGATGATATTTCAGAAACGGTGATCGGCCCGACCGGAGCCAGGCTATTGTAACCGGGCTATGCTATCAGGCTGAAATTATGCGGAGCTTGTGCCGGTTAAGCTTGGAATGCCTAGAAAAACAAGCTCTTAATGGTTGAAGATAGCGATCCAGGATGTCCGCGCTATGCCATTCAAGTGGGGCCTTTCATGATATGCCACCATTCATCGGCCTGGGACGTCGACGAGCCAATTTATGGCTTCCCGTCTTGCACATGTTTTTCTGCTGCAGCCTACAGCGAGGACAGGTCTCGATGGATAACAACTGTCTCATGGATCATGGAATCACTAGTCGGATAGGGACGCATTCCTCGCTCTCCAATCTTTCTCGCCCCGAAACCGTTTGGATCGTCAGGGGCGGTGCAAAGAAGCAATTTGAGATTGCCAATCGTAGACTAGAGCTCAGCACCGACTGTCAGCGAGGGAGTCCCGTTGGCTTCACTGAGCATGTCACTGGCCGAGAGGGGAAAAGCGACTCAGCGTCTTCAGCTTTCGATGGGAGCATGGATCCTCCTCTGCCACTGAGACAAGCCTCGCAAGCAGCGACTCCACAAGGCGGAGCTCCGTCGGGGAATCGCACTAAACTAGCCGTAAGCTATATCGGGGGCCATCATGGTAGCATTACTATACACAAGGGAGTGAGGAATCTATAAAGGTATGCACCCGCCATGATGTCTCCGAGATCATTCTTCAGGCTTCTCTGGCTGTAGAAACATCGGATATCAGGTCGACACAATGCGGCCCTTGTCTCATCTTTCTTTGTTCAACGGGCTCCTGCTCGGCCTGTCCGCCCTCTCGGCTGCGACCTCAGTAGTCCACGAGAGACGCGAAGTAACATCCTCGCACTGGGTCAAGCGGGCGCGTGTGAGCCCATCTGACAAACATGTGGTCCGCATCGGCTTGGCCCAGAGTAGCCTCGAAGAGGCTCACGACCTGCTGATGGATGTGTGAGTGAACGGCTGGGCTCTCGCTTGTTAATGTTCTACTCTCCTCTGACGCGCGATTTTAGCTCAAACCCCAGCTCTCCCAACTATGCCAGGTTCTACTCGGCAGATGAAGTCGCTGCCAAGTTCGCGCCGTCGACAGAAACAGTCAACGAGGTCCAGAACTGGCTCACCGAAAAGGGAATCAATGCCAGCCGCATCGCTCAAACCAAGAACCACGGCTGGCTCGTGTTCCACGCGACGTCCAAGGAGATCGAGGACTTGTTCGACACCACCTACTATGAGTACCACAATAAGAAAACTGGAAAGAAAGTAATTGCTTGTGAGAAGTAAGATTTACACTTCGGAAAGCCGTCCCAAGAAGTCGTGACTAACACACAGTATGCAGGTACCATGTCCCAGCGTCAGTGCAAAAGCATATCGACTATGTGCATCCTGGTGTCAATCTGAACCCATCTTCGGGCAAATCCTCTAGTATCCGTAGAAGGGGTTCGGCCGATAGAAAGACAAAGCTCCCTGCTCATGGAGGACGCCCTATTCACCAACGCGATCTCAAAGGCCTCAATGTCACTCACTGCGATCAGTCAATTACGCCAGACTGCATTCGGGCATTGTATAAGATTCCCTCAGCGCGTGCGGCACCTCATCCAAATAACTCTTTGGGCATTTTCGAGGAAGGGGACTACTATGCGCAGGAGGACCTTGACCTGTTCTTCAAGACATTTGCCACAAATATCCCTGGAGGCACCCACCCGATCCCCGCGTTCATCGATGGCGCGGAGGCACCGGTCCCCGTCGGGAGGGCCGGTGGGGAGTCTGATCTCGACTTCGAACTGGCATATCCCATCGTGCATCCGCAAAGTATCACATTATACCAGACCGATGATGCAAACTGGGCTAGCAATACCACGGGATTCCTCAATACTTTCTTGGACGCACTTGATGGCGTGAGTTGAAGCTGAGCCACCGTATGACCCGAACAGCACCGCTAATGTGACGAAATATATAGTCTTACTGCACCTACTGCGCGTACGGTGAATGTGGCAATGACCCATCTCTGGACCCTGTTTATCCCGACCCCGGTGGCTACGATGGACAGCTTATGTGTGGCGTGTTCAAGCCCACTAATGTCATCAGTGTTTCGTACGGCGAACAGGAGAATGACCTTCCCGCAAATTACCAGCAGAGGCAATGCATGGAGTAAGTCATAAATACTGCTTTCGACGCAGGTGCTCTATTGAACGCTAACCATCCCCCAGGTTCCTGAAGCTGGGCCTGCAAGGAGTCTCAGTGCTCTTTGCCTCTGGTGATAACGGGGTTGCAGGGCCTCCGGGCGATGGTGGCAGCTTGAATGGCTGCCTGAACAACGGAACAGTTTTCAGCCCTGCATTCCCTAACAGGTAAACAGACATCGACTGCCGCTTGCAGGCTTCATGCACTAACGAATCCAGCTGTCCTTATATCACCAACGTTGGTGCTACCAAGGTCTACCCGGGATACACTGTTTCCCAGCCCGAGAGCGCTGTATACGATCCGGATGGTTTGTACAGTTATGCTTCAGGTGGTGGTTTCAGTAACATCTATCCCATCCCGGACTACCAAGCGGACGCCGTAGCCACGTGCGTTGTCTGAACCATGATAGCATGTCTTTCACTGACGTTGAATGCAGGTACTTCAAGGACCACAATCCTCCCTATCCGTACTACGAAGGCGCCGAAAACCTGGGCAAGAATGGGGGTCTGTACAATCGTGTGGGCAGAGGCTATCCGGATGTAGCCGCTAATGGCGACAACATTGCCGTATTCAATGGCGGCGAGTTAGGTTCGTCGGGCGGAACCAGTGCTAGTATGTTCCCTTTTATCCCCTCACTCCTGCAGCTACTCACCAGACGTCTGTTCTCCTAGGCACTCCGATCTTTGCTGCCATCGTCAACCGCATTATCGACGAGCGTCTTGCCGTCGGCAAGGGTCCGGTCGGCTTTATCAATCCGGTCCTCTACAAGAATCCCTCCGTGCTGAATGATATCACCAATGGTACCAATCCCGGATGTGGAACAGACGGTTTCGCCACTGCACCTGGGTAAGTAGTTCCATCCCTGACTCTGTTCCATTGCCAGCTTGCTGACACAGAACGTCTCAGATGGGATCCTGCCACTGGTCTGGGAACACCCAACTATCCAAAGATGTTGAAGTTATGGCTTGATCTCCCTTAGGTGATAGATTGAACACTTACCTCCACGATATCGCCAGAGCTGGAACGATAAAGTGATGTTTGGGAAGGCCCTCTGAAAGAGATCCAGATTGATTTGTGTTTATGCTTCTATCTGTTAATATTGATAACGTTAACGCGAAAACCCACGGACCACCGGTTCAAGCGGCATGTTACTACCTCGTAGCATGAGGAGAATTTGTGGGCTTGTCAGTCATACCCCCCGTAGGAAGTCTTCGCTACACATCTATCACCGCTTGAGGAGTAGCAAATAGCGACCGAGTGCACCCTGTCAGACCAAGAATTGGAATCAGCAGATATGATCATTGTCTAGTGGTTGGTAGAACACCGCACACGCTAGATTCAATTGTATTCAGTAGTTCATTTGACGCATGGTCCATGATGGACCATTAAAGGAACCCACCGACGTCCACGACGCATATTTCGCAACCCTGTACCCGTTTCCAGCACACCCAAACCTATTAATAGTCGAAAGGTTCATTATTCCCTAAACACATTCCCTGTTTACCGCTTTCGCTACTTGGTAAGTCGATATGACAGCCCCTGAGCAGCAGAGCACCGCCCAGAACCAGGAACGCCATTGCTAGTTACCGAGTCGATCAAGACCAATGTCAGAGAGGTCTGAAACCCTGCCACCTCAGCTGGGTCGATCGCAAATCCTTCCCAGGCATTAGACTCATTTCGGTTTGACACCAATCAGTCTTACACGTTATACAAGTGCAATGATTGGGCATACGAGTAATGCGACTGTGTACTGTATCTCAGTCGACTGGAGAACTCACCCGTCACAATGTCTTTGATCGTCGGGAAGCATCTCACTCGCACAATCACACCGTTTCGGTACTGATCACCTCCTATGTTGGTGGGCAGTGGCTCAGCAACAGTCCCATCGAAGCGATATTTGGAATTCACGGGAGTCATGAGAGAAGACATACCTATTACTGATAACGGGGGGCGTCGTGAGAGTGAAGAGCAAGATACATTGCCAGTGGAGGCAAGCATGAGTCGGTAGGAGCCTAGCTACCTGGAGACAGAACGAGGAAACCAAAGATGTATTCCGGTTCCTAGGCATCTCCCACGGGGGTGTCACGCAGTGTGTGCCTGAAGTTGTGCAGGAAGTTCCTGGTGACATGCGACCTCTCAGATTGAAGACTAGGCCTGCTGCCAAGGGATAGCCTCCCTGTCGGTACTGCCTCCTAGCGGTCTAGCCGATGCGAGCGTCACTAGAAAGGAGAGTGTCTCAGAGCAACCCTTGCCAGTTTTGGTAGTGTTTAGGATTTCATTGCCCAGGCTGGTAACAAATAAGGTCGGTAAGGGACGATATCTCATCCAATGGCCGCCATTATTGGCACTGAAACCAATGGTGCCCAAGGGCCCTGCAATTGAGTGTGCTTGAGCGGGAACCTGCGCATCAACGGCGCAGGGGGCAGCCTCCACCTACTAGCTCTATTTCCTTTGATAGTTCGGTCGGTTATGTCTCTGACCCCTTGAGCGATTGCCGAGCCCATATCGACTGGTTTCCCGTAGTGGGGGCTTGGCGCATCCCGGTACCATGTCTTGGAGCTGAGGCCAATTCAGATATCATGAACCCTGGATATTCTGGAGGGGTTGAACACAATATGGTACCTATCCTGGGCCCACACAGCAAAATGGACAGTGAAATAAGGAATGAAGACGATCAATGGTGCTCCAGTGGACTAAAGTTCACAGGGATGTGTCCCTGACTCGATGTTTCCTATTCCACAACAGCATCGCGTGAGATAGACCATTGACTTAAGGGGGAACAAGGCTGGAGGAAGTGAGCAGATGTTCTCTCGTTCCTAGTGTCAAACCTAGGGACGCAAGGGGGAAAGTCAAAGATTCGTATGCGCATGCGAAAGATGCGATCTGTCAGTTAGACGCAAAATTTCCCGACCGAAAACAAAAGGACATTGTTTTGCCATTTCGGAATTAGGTTACCGTCCGCCTTCCTGCGGCGCTCTGATTGGCGGGTATGCGTATCTGACGTAAGGGGATTCTTGAGGTCTGACCCCCAGCCCTAATCCCCATCCCTGCTGAAACGAACTTCAGCACATTCTCTATTGCGATCTGTCGAAGACCGCTCACATCAACGGATACATGGAGCGAACATCCAGGGACGTCTGCGGCAGCTTTGGACAGAGCGCACCGTTTCACAACGCTGCGCAGTGGGTTTTACGCGTGTTGGTGGACACCGAGGATAAGACCAACGGGATCTATCTGGTGGGAAAAAGTTGATGTATCCAACCGCCGCCGTTCTTTGCTCAAAGCTTATCGGGGATATAACTCCATCCAACGCAAGGTTGATACCTGTCAAGGCTGGAAGGGCCTTGGAAGGCATTCGATACCTTTGATCCTTGTCTCTGATTCCCTCCGCTGCGCTGGACGCCCCACCGCGCTCGTCCTCGCGAGGGATGTCTGCCACTGTCTGGACATGGATACCCCTCATGAGAACCACATGGCCAGTAAACGATGTTGATCGATGCACGTAAATGGATCCTGCTGGGCTCGGCCTATCTATTGTTCACGCTATTTATTCGGCGTTCAATGTGATGAATCGGCGCTCCCTCCCCACATTGATCTTTTGACTTTTATTTTTGGACGCCCTGGACGTGAAGAACCTGACACATACGGGGAGTCGATGCGCGAACTCCCTGTCCCACTGCGAACGCAGGTAGTATTTATTAACCCTTCGGCTGGCCGCGCGAGACGGTGATTCCAAATACTCGAAGCCACAACCTTCATCCTCCTGCCGTTGGGATTGCTGCCAGCGTATGCTTTGCTTGGGCTCCTATTGCAGTCTTGGACAGATTACCTGTCATGTCTCAGCAGCCAATGTCCGATGATGGCGTGCCAGGGGATTTCGAACACCCCAATCAGAATCTACGCCGGTCCATCATTATCACACTTTACTTTGCCTTCATCCTGTCCACAGCTGCCGTCGCTCTCCGGCTGCTAGCGAGGAAGATGAATGGCACCCGGTTGTACCTGGATGATTATCTGATTCTCATCGCTCTTGTATGCAGAAGGACCTTCTAGAAGCTGCTTTACCAGGCTCCTCGCTAATCGTTTTTTCGTAGCTTTTCAAATATGGATGCTCCATTGGCGTTGCGATCCGTAGGTGGCCCCGTTGATGCCATCCCTTCCTCGATCTGCACGTGTTTAGGTGGCTAATGCGATGCCAGTGCTTTTCAACGGGCTGGGATCCCACATCACAATGATTCCCCAGAAGAATCTCACCGTCTATCTGAAGGTTTGCGGCTCCAGTTTTCTTTGCATCCTGATCCACTTACTCATTCCATCAGATTGGATGGTCCAATCCCTTGGTGTATACCAGCTGCATCGCCTTTATTAAATTATCCATCCTCGCACTTTACAAGCGTTTATTCTCCACTCCGCGTATGATCCTGGCCGCCAATATCGTCGCCGGGTTTGTCATCCTATGGGCCCTGAGTGTTTGTGTGGTGGGGGTCATGTTGTGCCTTCCGGTCAACAAGTTTTGGGATCCAACGGTGCCAGGATCCTGTCTCGACTCCGCCCAGTATTACTATGGCCAGCAAATCCCCAACATTCTGACCGATGCCGTTCTTCTCGTGATGCCTTTGAAATTCGTGTGGGCACTGCCGATCTCCAAGACCCAGAGACTGCTGCTCTCAGGAGTGTTTGTCACTGGCGGCTTGTAAGTACTCTTTGCCCTGCCCAGAAATCAACAGCTAACTCTCATATTGCTCAGAACCCTGATTTTTGATATCGTCCGTCTTGTTGCCATGATCAACCTGACACGCTCTGGTCCTGACGTTACTTGTGAGTATCCGCCGCGATACCAGTGGTCTTGTCTACCTGGACCCTTGCTAACCGCTCGAGCGCTAGATAACCAAGTCCCGGTCGTGGTGTGGACATGCATTGAAGCAACGGTCGGGATTATCGCCGCCTGTCTTCCTAACATGAGGCCGCTCTTCAAACTCAGTCGCGGCAGTTTCTGGTCCCAGCTGCGATCTGGCACGGGCCATTCGAAGCAGCCGCTCAACCCGTCCCAGGAACTGTCGATGCAAAGCAGCAACTATGACCCTTACTTTACCCAGACTAACATCTATGCTCGACACAGTGTCTCCATTCACTATAGCAAGCCTTGAGTGTAACTGTCTTTCATATCTTTCTTTTGTTCGTCATTTTGACTGCAACAGCCCTTTGCCAGTCAGGCAATAGCCTTTTACAAAACCCTGAACATAACGTTTTTTAATTGTGTATAAATTCGTTGTCGCGAGACACAACCCCAGGAAGGATCTCTCTTGTATGTACATAGCCATAGTGAGCCACATATATTCCTTTCTTTGTCAACACTCTTGTGTCTGGGCTCGTTTTCTCCGCTGGTAGTTTCCACGGCTGGGAAACCCTACATGACCATATGAACCGGTGGTTCCCAGGAGCTCACAGGAGAAACACGACGATGTCATGCAGGATAAAAATAGACTGCTTGTTGCATAAAATAGCAAACGCCACGAACCCCGGAGATTATTTATTACGTGTCATTTTGTTGAGGCGGATCGCGTACGTCTTGCCATGTCACTTGAATGTCAATTAAGTAGCAGAAGATATAAAAAAGCTAGAAAACGAGGAGATCCCAAGCGAAGATCATTAAGGGAATTCACCCTATTTATTTACCACTGTCTAATTGCTTGTAGCATACACCACTAAAACATGGCCGCCAAAAAAAGTCCCCATAATGCTGAGCGACGCCGACTCCATCCCGCTCAACTAAACCAGCGGCCAAGAAGCTGGCAAGATAGTCGACCAACCCTCGGGCTTCTTCATGGAACTCGCCAAATCACTCCAGAGGCTGCGCGACGCCGGGTACGAAGTTACTTTCGCGTCGCCCAAGGGCCAAGACCCCAAGCCCGACCCCAACAGTGAATCAAATCTCTCGTGTTCGCGGGCAACTTCTACGAACGCCGGCGCGAGAACTAACTGATTGATCGCATGAAGCGGGAGAACAGATTCAGCCATCCGCGGACCTTCAGCTTTATCAGCGATGCGGAGTTGGATTCCTTTGCGGGCGTGTCCATCCCCGGTAGACATGCGCCGCTGAGAGATCTCGGTCAGGATCTGCATCTTGATTGCATCTTGCGATACTTCCATGCCAGGAGTCGTCCCGCAGCTGCTATTTGTCATGGGCCGTTTGCGTTCTTGAGTGCCACGTTTGCTGGCGAGGGCGACTTTGCATGTAAGGGGTACCGGATCACCTCCTGGAGTGATGTCGAGGAGATGATGGAGACCATGATGGGTGGGGAGATTGAGAAGGTGGAGTGTGATCTTTGGAATGAAGGCGCCATTTTGGTCGAAGGCGCGAATCCTACGGCTGCGAACGCTTTAGGAGACCAGCTTCTGCAAATGTTGAGTGTACATTGAGTCGCCGAGTGGCAGTAATGGTAGAGAGAGCTGTATAACAGTATGATGGAATGAATTACGCTGATATTTATGTGATCTAACCCGTCGATTCCCGTCTCAAATGGAACTCAAGGAACAGGGGTCCGAATAGCCCGACGGAACATATAATAGCTTCAATAGATTTATCCTTGTAATTTCCGCTTGACTTCGCTCCACCTTGACCTTGACCTGCGGGGTGGTCGACAACCGGGCCGAGGTTGAAGGCATCCACACGTGGGCTTATATTATAATCTTCCGCCTGTATATTCCCACTGGCTAGACTTGGATAGCCCTGCGATCAACATCCTTCAACAATGCAAGCAAAATCCTTCAAGACGATATTCTACCAGAAGTCCCCGGACGGTAAGATCGCATACATAACCCTGAACCGTCCCGACCGATTCAATGCAATTGACCAGCACCTGCCAAGAGATCTCCGGGATGCAGTCAGACGGGCCAACGCAGACCCTACCGTACACTGTATCATCCTCAAAGGGAACGGGCCCGGATTCTGCGGGGGCTATGATCTCGACATCTACGCGCAAAATGCGCAGCGTGGCGAGACGCATGGCTCACAGGATCTGTCGAAGGGATACGACCCATTAGTTGACTACGCGATGATGAAGGAGAACACCGACTGTTTCTCGGAACTGTTCCATAGCCACAAACCGACCATCGCCCAGGTGCACGGCGCTGCGGTGGCGGGCGGGAGTGATATCGCCCTGTGCTGTGACCTGGTCATCATGGCGACTAATGCGCGCATCGGGTATCCGCCGAGTCGCGTCTGGGGTTGCCCAACTACTGCCATGTGGGCGTACCGCATCGGAGTCGAGAAGGCCAAGCGGATGCTCTTCACCGGTGACTTGGTCAGCGGCGCTGAAGCGGCGGAGATGGGCCTGGTCCTGAAAGCGGTGCCTGAGGAGCAGTTGGAGGAAACAGTACTGTTGCTGGCAAACCGCATTGCGTCGGTCCCGCAAAACCAACTCTGGATGCAGAAACAGGTCATCAATGGCCTTATCGATGGTCCTCTTCTCAGAAGCCAGAAACTGGCTACGATATTCGATGGCATCACCCGCAACTCCCCGGAAGGTGTTGCGTTCCAGGAACTGAGCAAAGATAAAGGATTCAAGGCTGCCATAAAGGAACGCGATAGCCCGGCGAGGTCGGAAAGGTATCAGAAGGTGTGGAAGAGTGTGCTATAGCGAGCCTGATGAGTATAGTGCAGTATGTTGGAACTAAATCTGTGTTATATTGTGGGTCACTGCTTTGTCATTTTGATGTCTGAGCTAGGAGCAACCTGAGTCTTTCTATTTCCCTGCGGTGTCTATATACAGCAAAACTATTCTATGAATAAAGTTCATAAAATCTCAAAAGATAACAAAGCTAGACCTAGAGAGCTGATGATCGACGGTGAGTCTGCCGTTAAATGCGTGGATGGAAATCAGCCTTCGGGCGAAGAAGAGTTTGCTGCGTCATGCTGGCAATCAGACGACCATTCTCATCCCATACGCGTCCTTCGCTAAAGGCTCGAGCATTCCCAGCCACTGATGTTGTTGCTTCCGTCAGATGCCATTGTCGCATATCGATGTCATGCGTGAACAATCGAAGAGAAAAGTCCAGAGTCGCGCAAGCACTGGCATCGGTGAGCGCATAACCACTGTGATTTGCGGGTATATAAGCCAGGCCTTTGTCCATGTAAAACGCCAATGCTGATACATGTTCAGCTTCACTCCCCAGCGGCGCCTGTGTGCGGAACCTTTCCGCCGAAAACCTAGAGGGTGCAGAGGAAGGGCCTTTGTGCCCGTCTTCCTTGTGCTTGCTGGCCGCAGCGGTAGCCGGTTGCATATCCAGAAAGCGCTCGAGGTTCCGGTATAGCCCATGTTCCTTTGGCGTCTGCGGAGATATGGTTGAGATACCGGTGTTGGTAAGTGGCAGCTTTGTCTGTGGAAGTGTAGAATAGGTCACCATGGATCGTGGCTCTTCAATATGGAAATCCGCGGAAGCAATGAAGCACAACTGGATCGATGCACCGTCTCCTTCCTGGCTCACTCGGATAACGCGGGTCTGAAAGGTACGCGTATCCCTGACTCTTTCCACCTGGCAAATGAGCCTGCGATCTGTCCTCGCGGCGCGGATGAAGTGCCCACAGATTGAGTATAAGTGGAATAAAGGTTGCACCGTTTGATAAGCGGCATTGACCGCCACAGCCAGTGTATTTCCTCCGTATGCATATGAAGCCAGAGCGCCCATTCTAGTTGGGGGCATTACCGACCCATACGAGTCAGTCCCCAGTGGCTCTACGGCTACTTGCCGATCTAGAGTGACCATTGCGGTGTTAATTGGTAGGGAATAAAAGGCAAGAATCAGGCGACAAGATATAAGGGGGTACAAGGAGGGATTAGGCCGGTGGAAACGTTAGTCAGAGCGGTTATTCTAGTATGAGCTCCGGGTGCATGTTTTATAATGTCACAGTGGATAACAGGCTCGATATCCCGAGGTAAGGGCCCAGGTAGACCCATAAATTCTTGGCTCCCATCTTCGATATGGACCTCTAAGCCAATATGGTACGCCACCGTCTCATTTACATGGACGCAATTGTGGTCAGACTTGGTCAGATCCAACTCATCGCATTAGGAATCTGTACAGCTACAGCTCTGGGCTACTGCCTTCGTGAACAGAACGTGTCGACATATGAAACCCATATGTACCTGGGCAAATATAGTCTTGGTTTACTTTCAAGGAGTGCAGAAGCAGGTATTGTATCTATTCTTCTCTTGCCGAGGACACGTGTGGGGCATTCATCCCCGGCAGCGACCGAGATATTGTAATCTGGGGTCGAATGCTCGTGCAAATTCCCCGTGAAGTTCAATCTGCCCCTATGGCCCGATGGTAAGATTCGGGAAACCGAAACAGTAGCCTACAGGTAGGGGATGGGTTATAATATATACTGACTGTGGAACTGCAGCGTGCCATGTTATTGAAGGTGGTGGCGACCAGACAACTGATCATGAATTAGTTTCCTATGCCTAGTTGTATGCTGGAGATGACGGGATGTGTAGTTCCATTCCTATAGAAAACTAAAATAATGTAACACCATCGACGTTGGTTATCGTGTCGTAGCTATTACTCGATCCAACGCCTGACAATTTGGATAACCTCCGCAATATTGCCTTGACCACACGAATCCAGTAGGTTTACCCTCCATTCAACAGACCAATAGACCCATGACAAGAGCTGCATACTGCCTGCTTGTCCATTACTCAAAAAGATCCTTCCGATCTGCCACCAGCATATGCCTGATAGCTGAAAACCGCCAACGCAACCCCGGCAAAGAAATCCGTGAAAATGGTTATAAACCAGAACCATGGAATCTGGGGTACGCCGCCAACGAAGTGGCCTGGTGTGCGAATGCCAAGCGTTGCATGGCAAGCTAAGTATGGAATAGAGCTGCGAACGTGGCCAGCTTGATACAGGTAGTAGCCACGGATGCCGCAGAGAGTCTGCAAGGGAAAGAGAATTGCGATGCCGATGCGATATGCGTCGGGTGTGGGATAGATACCCGGCACGGGAGGGTAGTCTTCGGCGCGAATGTAGTTGTGGGCGTAGTGGATGGTGGTCGTGAGAATGAGGCAGCTCAGGAGTATTCTCAACTGGCGGAGTTGAGCCGGCGGAGGTGGGCGTTGAGTTCTCATGGTTATACTAGGCTTTCGTCCACGTCTACTAGAACGCATGACACTGGGGACAGCAGTGTATTTATATACCCTTGATGACCCCATTAGAAAATGCTAACAATTCGTGATAATGTAATCATTGTCTGCTTGATGAAGCGATACAATCGCCATATGCAAAGTTGCTATACAACTACCACCCGAGGTTTGAGTCAGTGATTACATTATGAAGCAGCAATCGAGCTGGCGATGAGTACCGGATCGTGTACATAAGAGGCTGATCATTTCAAGCCTGAAGCCCGAATACGATTACTTTCGTGAGAACGCTATCCCTCTTCTCTTTACCGAACGGTCCTTTATACTGGCTTGAACCCGTAGACGATCATGTTGATGCCATAACAATGAAAAAGATTATGTCAGATACCGCTAGGCCGTGGCCCAAGGCTTCTAGAATCTCATTTCAATGAGCACCTGCACTGGGTCGTCAATGCCATATCCACCACTCCTCGGTGTACTGCGATGGATAACCGTCCACGACAGACAGCGTCAGCCCTTGGCTGCATAAGTCTAGACCTCGCCCAATGATATACTGAGGCACTCGAAGCCCTTCAAATTGCAACCTATCATGGTGGGTCCACTAATTAAGATCATCACCGATCTAACTATATGAAGAATAGGTTTGTTCATGGCAACAGCCTCCAAGTGCCGCTACGGTTGGGCCGATAACCCTGACTTGACCATTAGGCTGCGGTTCCTTACCTTTTCCAGCATAGCATCATGGTCCATCGTTGAATCCTCAAGCCTCAGAGGTGAGCATTGATCCCTCAGGGTCCACTCCATTGCCCTGAGCAATTGCAGAATGAATTTTGGCCCCCAATTCATGCTCGAGCCTCAGCCTCTCCGACGGTAAATACTTCTCAGCCGCAGTCCCGCTCTGTCAATCAGAAAAGCTCTCCCGCAAAGCAAAACGCAGACCCATCCGTGCGAAGACAGGACCGATTCTCCACCATGGCTTCAGATACAAGGCGGTGCTACTTCCCGGACGGAAGCGACGCGCCTGGTAACGTTCCCTGCAAATCCGACACAAACACCCACTGCTGTGGACAGTCAGACATCTGTCTGGACAACGGGCTGTGCCTTAATGTGGGCCACCAGCCCTACGTGCTCTCTCGTGGAGCCTGCACAAATGAAAATTGGAACGGATGTAGCCCCATTTGCAGTAAGTAGTTTTTCCTCCATGGCCAACGACATGTTGGTTGACGGGTATGATTCTTGTAGCAAAAGCCACCCCCTCTATAGGCGCCTCCATTACCAACGTCGGCTTCTCATCCGGTAAGGCTACATATTGCTGCGGTAGCCCAAGGACAAATGGATCCACGGTCGTTTGTCTCGCCAGTGAGTCGGACAATAATAGCAACGTCCCATTCTCTATCCAAGACGGCAATCCCATCCTGAGCGCTGGAATGCTCCAAAACATCACGACACTAGACGCCCCCGACTCGTCTTCATCAGACCACAACTCCAACTCCAATTCCTCTACGGCCACACCTGCGACCTGTCCATCTTCCCATGACACCGCGATCGGAGCGGGGGTGGGTGTCCCACTGGGTGCGATCGCTATACTGTTGCTGATTTGGGCACTGCTGGAGCGGAGGAGGGCCAACCGAGCCTTACAGCACATGCAACCGGTGGCATTTGAAGGGGGTCACAGTGCCTTTGGACACGCTCCTGCTGCTCCATATATGAACATCACCGACATGACTGGGCCTCCGCCGGTGGAGTTGGAACACCGTCAACCGGTCTCTGAGCTGATGGGCAAGGATGCGCGGAGATGAATAGGGACAGGTCGTTCGTGGATGAAGATGTACATCAAGATACCCATATACACTAGTGTTTTGTTCCATAGCCAGAGGGCAATTAATATCATAATATGTCACTATGCCTGCGAATATCGGGCCCAGTACCGTTTGAGAACTATATGAGACCATTGTGCATCATCCCATGGGTTTATTAATGGGAACTCACCTACGAAACGGGGCTCGATCAAGAATCAGAGAGTGGTTGACAGTTCCGGATCCAATGGCCACTGGTAGGCCGATCAGGCATGAAGGGGTAGTCGGCACGGGTTCTGTGCATTTCGTGCATTCTTGGCTTTTGGAATCAGCATGCTATCTGCCTATTATCGAGGGTAGAAAGCCAGACGTCGTCGCTTCAACTGCAGGTTTCGCGCAAACTTGTCCCTCTCGGCTGTGGTGTGCACGATCTCAACCACGCCAGCAGATACCATGGGAAGTCTAGAAGCAAGTCCCGAGGTTCGAGTATAGCGGCGCGACTTTTTGTCGATCATTCAAATTTATCCTCTGGCTGCTCGGGAACCTCTGCCGGTGTGGTTATTATTATTTCTCTGCCAATAGCGTCGTTAGTCACCACGCTTGAATATTATGTGAAACGCATGATGGCCCTTGGTTTCAACGTTTCAGGCTCTCGATAAGAGACGGGGTTCCAAGCCAACTAGCGCATGAGGCTACACAGTCATCATACACTTGCATAGGCGGCCAACAGGCGTAAGATTCCTGGAGGTATGCTGAGATTCGTATTAATTGGCACATATATACCTGCTCATGAAACAAGCCAGTACATACGACCACAGGGTGTGGAGACCAGGGCTTCCCGTCCGCTCAGCCGTACTTAAGCCATATATTGAACGCGGCCGACTGGAAAACAAGCCCTTTAGAAGTTGCTGCTTTATAGATAAGTGTTGCTAAGTCGCAGAGTAAGTATAGATAATTTAAATAAAACTGTCCAGACCGCGGGTAAGATAAACCGGATAAATAAATAGATAAGCTAGACAATCCAATAGAATTTTATAAAGTTAAATAGAGATACTTTATCTAGTTATCTTATGTCTTTTTATTTGTTCTTCTCTTCGAGATACTCACTCCTAAGAAACAGCTTCAAGTATAATTCTATACAGAAAATGAACTATATTATATAATAAAGACTCAGTACTATCTGAGGAAAGGCAGAGAAAGATGAATCAGCTCTGTAAATTTAATAAATTATATAGTTTTATCAGAGAGTATCAGCAAAAATACAAAAAAGGAGAATACAATATACCAATAATACTATAAAAGAGAGCTTTAGCTACCAATAAAAGATATAACAGAGCTATTGAAAATTGAAAAATATAAATAGTAAAAATATTCTGTTACCGTATCTAAGAGATATTTCTAATTTAAATTGAGATAGAGAATAATCTAACATAAATCTGAAGATAGATATTTTTTACAACTGCTGTTGCTTATGTCAGTTCGATCAAGGAATAACAAGGGTTTTGGCAAACTGAAGGAGTCTGTTATAGGACGCAAGTCATTTTTGGGAATCTTATTTTTGCGTTTTTAAGTGAGTATTCCTTTTAGATATTTCGAAGGCTTCAAATGTTGCGTGAGGTGGTAGGTACATAAATACTACTCCGTACATGCCACCGAGATTCTTGTTCCGCCTCCCTGATCGGGTTAGTGGTTAGTGGGAATCAGGAATCGCGTCTTTCAGGGAATACGGACTCGTGCCCATCTCGTTGCTGTGCCAAAGAGGTATTTCATCCACAGAACTGCCCCCGATGGATCCAATTCAGCCCAATGGTCATCAAGCTCGCCGCAAACGCCAGAACCCGGTATCGTGTCGTTTGTGCCGGCTGAAGAAGCTCAAGTGTAACCGCCAACGACCTTGTTCCAACTGCTCCGCCCGTGGCGTCGGCTGTGAATATTTTGCACGAAACCCTGGTTCCACATCCACGGACTGCACGGACCGAAGAGAAGCTGTACCCGCAGCAGCTGAAAGCGCGGGGTTACAAGCTCGCCTGGAAAGGCTTGAGGAGGCGGTGTTTGGCAAGCAGGATGACAGACCCTCTGTGCCTACTGCAATGGTACCATCAACTCGTGGCGCATTGACTACCACGGTTATACCAGGGTTCGCTTTCAACGAGGAGCATGAAGTGACATCTAGATGGCTTGAAGGCATCGGCACGCTTGAGAACCCGATTGTAAGATTATCTACAACTGTTAAGACAGTCAATGCCTACTGCGCTGACCCTGCATCTAATCCGGCCGCCAGTTTAGAGCGTATGTAGTCAACATACCATTCAAAGTTGGACCTATAAGCCAGCTACTTGAGAATGTGTCAGCGACGCGGAATGAGGCAGCACCTTGGCCACCCAGTGTTCAGCTGCCTACCAAAGATGAGGCCATGACACTGTCCCAATACTTTCTGGACAATGTCCAGTACCTCCATCCCGTCTTCCAGCCTCATTCCCTGCAGCATGTGATAGACGCTGTGTATATGCACCCGGATACACCGGTTCAAAGCAAAGTGGCAGATGTCGCGCTGCTGCTCAGCATACTTGCTAGTGCCAGCCATCTATGGAGACCACAGAGAAGCAAATGCCTGGTCTTCTTATCTGCGACAGAAGCTGCATCCATGTCCTTGATCTGGAGCAATGCAGCGCTGGATATTCTGGAGTACTCGAAGCGAACTACTGCTGCCTCGATTGAAGTTCTCCAGGCCACGATCGTTATCTCCTACGTTATCTACAATTCCCAAGGGTTCTCCCCCATGTTCCGTTCACTTCATAGCAACATGATTATGATGGCCCGAGATCTTTCTTTACACAAGACTGATAGTCCCCGAAGAAAAGGAGAGACAGATCCACCGCCAAGTCAGATTGAAGCTGACGTAAAGAGAAGGTTATGGTGGCACATTGCTGCCACAGACTGGTAAGGTGCAGTCGTTACTGATCAGCTTTTCTGCTAATGCTAAAGCGCGAGAAAGGTTACTGGCATTCACCCCCGGCCCACAGGAGGGCACCTATTCAATTCAGCTATCACAGATGCATGTGGATCAGCCGCATTATCCCGAGAGCTGTGATCATGATGCTGGGAATGTTTCACTACTATCTACCTCCTACTTCCTTCAGCGTGTTCGGCTAGCAGAAATCTGTCGTGCGGTGGTTGACTCCTTGTCCCCCTTTAAAATGATCGAGAATGCGAACTACGAGCAGATTATCTTCTTGGACGGCAAATTCGAGGACTTGATCAGAAGCCTGCCGGCCTTTTTTCGGCTAGACCAGGGGAGCGAACTCTTGTATACCGCGCCCCAGCTTACCCTCCAGCGCTATCTGATCCACCTTGGGATCTATACCAGACGCAGCAGACTTCACCAGCATTTCGTGGTAGCGGGGTTCACCGATCCCAAATATACGTTTTCCAGAAATGCTTGCCTAAACTCCTCCCGCGCGGTTCTGCAGATCTGCTACAAGCTGGAGGAAAAGAAGGATGACCTCGAGTTGATCCCCGCCAGGCTGGCAACCGTGGTGCACCACGTCTTCATGGCCACTGTTGTGCTGGTGATGGACCTCTGCTCCAACAAAGTGGAAGGTTTCGAGGAACAGCGGCAAGCCGAAGTCACCCGAGCATGCAGGATGCTCGACAGCTTGAAACAAGACTCCGCCATGGCCGCGAAACTGGCCCACCTCCTCATGGAAATCCTGCAGAAACACAAAGAAAGGCTACAACAAAGCCAGTCCTCGACTGTGCCTCTCACGGTGGTGGTACCACCTACTGACAGCAGAATCAGTCAAGTATCCCCGGATCCGTCAAGCGACTTCCATAGGTCTTTGTCTAACACTATCGGCCAATATACATCAGCAACTACTGCCAGTGGTGGCGGCCAACAGCCAGCAGCCCGAACGGAACACCACCACCAACAACAACAACAACAACTATATGTCGAGGACTGGGAATTTGATGCCATGATGCAGCAATACATCGATTTGGGCCAAAACATAGATGGGCCTTCTTGGGGTTCTCTTTTCGATGATCTGGATTCTCACCATATGACGGATGCCGGGGGCACTGTTTTTTATGGCTAATTGGGAAGGCTCTTGTTTGCAAAGGGGGGCCTGGTTGCTAAAGCAAAGAGGAGACAATCCCAGTGGATGGCTTGTAGTCATCGTGTTCCAAGTTCGGTGGTACACTGGTAAGAACTGAGTATTGCTCTATTGTTGCATTTTTTTCACTGTCTTCACTTGGTCTGTTCAGATCAACTGAAAATATCTTTGGTTCTTTGAGTCTGGAACCTCCAAACCATAAAAAGAGCAAAGGCTCTAAATAAGATGGCTTTAGATCATAGCACAAACGTGCTCTCTATATATAATTTCACTATGTACAGGTTCCCCACGCATAACTAATGGTTCCTGCTTCTGGGACCATATCAGTGAATCCTTTCCAATGGGGCCGAAATCGGCAGCGTGTCCTTTGCCGTCGAAACCAATTCTGCAATCCGGCCCTTGGTCTCCGTGAAAGCATGCTGCCAGGCAAACATGTGCAATGAATCGCCTGCAGTACCCATCGCGTCTGCTTCTTGGTCGGAAATGCTCCACTGCTCTGCTAACCCAGGGAAGACCCGTTCCATCTGCGCTGCAACCTCGTCCCGCTCATCGGCAACGTTAATACTATTTTTGGAACTGTTCAGATCAAACGTATAGTGCCTGTGTCTCGCAAAAAAGGACAGTGTTAGTCGATCGTGATCATGAACCAAAAATTTGGCAATGTGCGCGTCGTTGTCGTCGCAGTCGTGTTCCTCATGTCGCTGGCGAGTGCTTGAGGCCGTCATGTAATCATCATAGGAGCCCTCTATGCTGTTTCCCATGATGATGACGTGCGGAAGGTGTTGATCTTCATGCTGCTGGAGCCACTCCTTGCTGATCCTCTCAATTTTCCATGTCACTTTCTGCTTGAGGGGTAGGCGCTGTGGTGGGAATCCATCTCGGTCCGTTGCA